GGGGGAAGAACTTCGCCGGTTTATATCACCGTTGACTAGCCCCATCGGGAAAAGAGGAAAAATGTTATTTGTTTATGAATCTCCGGCATTTGCTTTCCATCCCGATAGGCGACTCCCACCGGTTTCCTGGCGCCGTGTAAGCGTTGACTTTCTTTCCTTCTTAGGGGATGCCTGACATACTCGGAGAAAGAGAGAGGAAGGGGACATAGATGAGAGAGAGAGAGAGAGAGAGAGAAAAAAACTTCTCTCGCCTTTTCGCGCGAATGTACAGTGCGAATCTTTATATTTAGACATGCATATTCTCGGTCGATGGCATCCACTTGACTTTCCGCGGGACAAACGTATATCGCGCGCAGGTGGGGGAAGAGCGAATTCTGTCGGATGTACGCGATATACCTGACCGAACTCTCTCTCTCTCTCTCACTCTCTCTCGGAGCTCCGTCCGTCTCTTCCAGCACGTGTCTCACGAGGGGGAGGAGGAGGAAGAGGCTTCCCCACGGTGGTGCCCGTTCGTATGGTTATTAATAGCCAACAAACGCGTCGCTCGTTCGCGCGCTGAATCAATGAAGCCGTAACGCCGGTGTGTATCGCGTATGTATCGGCGCGAGTCCGTATCGATAACGCGGATCGCAAAAAGGTAGCCCCGCGTTCTCAAGGCAGGCTTCATTTCTTCGGCCGCGCGCGATATACGTTCTCGAGGGGTTCCACCTGCTGTCGGAATACAGGCCGCGAGAGATCGGCTTCTCTTCTCTTCTCCGCCGCTGAGACCGCTCGCCTTGCCCCGGCCCATCGTTCGATTACGATATGGAACCGGTACGAGAAGCGCTCTCTCTCTCTCTCTCTCTCTCATGCGCGTATCCTACGTATCCTAGAAAACGTATCTGTCGTCCCCCTTCTTTAGCTCCCCCGCCGGCGTTTCTCACCCTCCTTGCCGCTGTATACGGCATTATATCCTTCTTTCTCTCTCTTTCTCTCTCTCTCTCTCTCTCTTTATCTTTCCCTCGCTCGCTCGCTTGCTCGAGAGCACCGATGCCCGGTGGCGGAATCGCCGGATCAATGATCAGAAGCGATGTGTTATTTCTGGTAAGCGGCACTCGCGATCTGTGCGGGCGATCGTGCAAAAAGGACCTCGCGTGACATCCAAGACCTACCGCACCACGGAAACCGTCTCTCTTTCTCTCTCTCCCCGGCATCCTCCTGTGCAGCACAGGAGGACGTCGCGAGCTTAATGACAGGGTGTACGCCGCGCGGCCGTTTCCTCCGCGACCGCGATTCAAGAATGCTGATGAATCGGCCGGACGAACGCGGCCGGTGGTGCGCGCAGAGGTGCATTCTGCGGTCGTGACCATCCTGTGTGTCGAGTTCCACCGCAAACGTGTTTTAACGTGAAATGTGGTTTGTTTGACGGGAAAAAGAGTCTTCTCTCTCTCTCTCTCTCTCTCCTCTCTTTCCTGCTTTGCTCTTTTTCTTTTCTTTCACGCGCAGAATTCGACGATCCGTGGTTCTCGAGGATCTACGCCGTTCGCCTTCGACAACGGGGGTAATAACGGCAGTCGTTGGCCGTGACGTCAGTCGGCCGATTTGAAAATTCCTTTCAGCGGCTGGCCGCGCTTTCGGGAGACCTCCTAGGATTTCTGTGTGTACATCGAGCGCAAGCCGTGAATGCGCCTCGTACCTCGGCGGCGCAAGTCACGTTCCGCCGGTGCCGCTTGGTGTAGGTCAGTTTAACAGGTTGAGTTCCCATCGCGGTGCATTCCCGTGGGAATGCGTCCGCTCGAGTGCACTCGAGCCCGGCGATACTTACGGGGGTTCTGTTCTCGCGTTCACCTCGGTGCCGGTAGGTGAGAGGAGAAGCTCGGTGCGTTGGATAAACAAGCGAACCTCCGGCAGAACCACCCCGCCGTCGTCGTGGTCTCTTCGTTCTTCCGCCCTCTCGTGTCGCCGTCTGTTTCTCTCTCTGTCTCTTTTTCTCCCTCCCGTCTCGTTCTCTCCTTCGTCCTTTTCGTCGTCTTCTTCTTCGTCGTCGTCGTCGTCGTCTTCTTCTTCTTCTTCTTCCTCCTCCCTTCTTTCGCTCGATCCGTTCCATGCGAGGGAGACGCTAGGAACAACTTCTCACAGCCGCGCCAAGGGACTTGGTCTTTTTTTGCTAAAACAAAAGCGAAGACGGGGGTTCGCCGCGCGGCCAGCGACGGCCAACGGCGGCCAGCAGCGACCATCGTTGTCCGCGCGACCAAGAGGAAGAGGAGAGGAGGAAGGAGGTGGAGCAGCGAGGAGGATGCCACAGGGGGATTCTTGCCGAGGTCTATTTCAGGCCCTGCCAGCAATCGCTATGTAAGGCCCTCTTCTTCCCTTCCCGCTCTCCCGCGTCTCTCCTCGTCCTTTTCCCGTCCTGCCTCCCCCCCCCCATCCTCCTCATCTTCTGCCCCCTTCATCGATGCCCCCTCGTCTCCTTCGTGGCTCTCTCTCTTTCTCTTCCTCTCCTTCTTCTGTGTATACGGAACTCTCGGTTTTAGCTCGCGAACAGCCTCGGACCGAGACGATCGGGGTAGCCGTACTGCCCCGAAGGCTTCGACGGCGTCCGCTCTTCCATTTTGATACCTCTAGGAGGACAGTGATCCTCATGCGGGATCGCTCCGGGTTCTCGATTGAGCGCGGCGTCTCGGTTGTGTGTGTTGCCTTCGAAAGAAACAGCGTGTCCTTGCGCGGTAAAAATGCACCCGAGATACGTATGAATTACGTCCCGGGCGAATTGAGGGAGCAAACTCACGCGGTACATCCCTGCCGGGATGGAGCGTTTCCTACGTAATTCTCAGTTTAATCGGCGATTCGCTCGAGACGTTACTTTTAATTAACTCGCGAGGATGACGAGCGTTCGAGCGTCTCGTGAATTCATGCGCATCGGCGGGATATTTCGCGCAACGTCGTAATATTTAAGAATGACGGCGAGACAGGGTGGGGACTGAAAACGAATCGTCCCGACGGCGGAACATAGGACACCGAGGAGCGAGGACTATTTATAGATTTTAGGTTCTATCCCGAAAGAATCCAATTATAAGTGCGCAGGAGTGGTCGAGCGACTCCGTAGGTACGAAAGGGCCGAACGACCTTGCACACTCTTTTACGGTTCACCCTTTCGGAGCCATAATTCAGTTAGTACCGGGGCAACTTATGGACTTGCCTTTTCCTTTGGAAGGTCTTAAAACAGTGATTCTCACCTCAGCGTCACGCGCAACACACCGGTCAACGGCGCTAAGTGAACGAGTCGCAACGAACGAAGACCGTTTCATAACCCGGAGGACACGTTCCCCGGACATCTCCCCCGCGAAAGATTCACAATCCCGGGCACACAATTCACTGTACTCGCAGCGGCCTCCGATCGCTCGTCAAACGACACGTTTCTATCGCAGGTTCAATTTACTTTTGCGCGTCCGAGGGGATAACAAGCATGCCCGAGAGACTTTCCGCCTCTGTTCGCGCCGGGAAGAACCTCAGAGAACGGAAACGAGGAGTAAACTCGAGAGCTCGAATGGAGAGCTTCGAGCGAAGTCCAGCGGAGTTACGCAAGCACGAAGCTTCTGCGAGTTTCTATTCTAAAACACGCACGTGTGCAACACTCGCTCTCCACTCTCTCTCTCTCTCTCTCTCTTTCTCGCAGCGGGGATGATCGCTCGCGCAGCGAAGAAGCTCGGCGTGCATTTTGGCTCTCGTTTTTCCTTGCATAACTACGTCGTGCGGATAATCAATCAGCGGCGCAAAAGTCGCGGCGGCGGGGAAGACGCGAGTTGAGAACATTGCACTACCGATCGGAGGAGACGGAGAGCGCAACGGCGAGGCTCATCGATTACGTGCCCTCATCTTATTATGTACACGGCTGTCTTGCGAATATATATTTAGACAGTTCGTTTCTCGCGGAGATATAATGAAATTATAGCGGTCGCGAGACTCCGGCGACTCGGCGAAGACGCGTAACGAAATCGAGCGTGGAATACGTAATAATACCGGCGGATTGCGCGCGTTATCGGCGTTGTCACGGTTTCTTTCCTCTCCGTTTCTCCATTCCACCCCCCCCCCCTCCTTCCTCTTTCTTTTTCCATTATATCGTTCGTACACCTTATATATGTTCTTCATATTTTTATCAAACACACGTATGTACGTTATTATTCATCTTCTAGATATCTCATAATTATCCTCATACTCGCTGGCATGTAAGCTTTTGTATAACCACTAGTAGTCTTTTTCGACTCGGCTGTGTAATATTGTGTACTATAAACTCTCTCAAGGGGGGTTTATCTCAGAGTATTAATAAAACTCTCTCTCTCTCTCTCTGTCTTCCGAAAGTGAGAGAGAGAGAGGGGGAACGCCACTGACAGGGCGCAATTAACGGACGGAACACGTCCGAATGACCGATAATAACGAGCGACGATGATCGCGCGTCATTAAGAGAAGAGAGAGCGCGTCGTCCCGCGTTGCCACGCAGCTTTACTCACGCCCTTGTTGCGGTTACGTGCCTGGAGTTTAAGAGGATGACCTAGAACCTGAAACCGTGAACTCTCGTCGGCGATTACAGGGTCGAGGTGAAGAGGCCTGCGTCTTCGCCCTCTTCCCCGCCTCGTCCTGGTCTTCTCTCTCTCTCTCTCTCTCTGTCTGTTTTTTAACGTGATCGGCCAGCTCGTTATACCGGGGGCAAAGCCATGGTGTTTTCAAGAAAAACGCCGCGCCACCATACGTAGCGCGCAAGGTATTCACGCACTCCGATCCCACGAATGCAAAAATAGCTTACACGCGCGATCGCCTTTGCGTATGCAAATCGGAGAGGCGAGATATGCGCGGGCAACCAAGATTTCTCCCCACCGAGATCGTCCGGCGAGCGTATCGATTCGGGTGATACGCGCGATCTATCATCGCCGCGTGTTCGTGCGCGAAATCAGATTTTTTCGTTCTCGCCTCACGCGGGTAAACAGCACAGGTGGAACTCGATCGTGCGGCACCGTTTCGCCCGATTTGTGAAAAGGTGTCGTTGGAATTGGCAGCTTCTTCGTAATCGCGCGATTTCGCGTAGCCCGTGACTCGTACGAGGGAAGAGCGAGAGTCGGTGCAATTTCACGACTGCCCCCCCCCCTCCCTCCTTCTCTCTTGATGATGATACTTAACAGAGGTTTTATCTACGATCGACGATGTGCGATAACGGTGGCGGCCGGAAATTGCGGTATCGCGAACTATGACGCTCGACGACGCTAATGAAAATTCTCGATGAAAATTCATCAATCGCTGGGAGGATCCGCGCGTGTAACAAGCGTGCGCATCCTACGACGCCACGGACAAGTGCTCCCGGCCTTCGCCTTGTGGATTTCTCGCGTAATATCGTGCCCTCCTCTCTCTCTCTCTCTCTCGAAAGGAACAGGGAAGAGAGAGAGAGAGAGAGAGAGAGCTTCTTGGATGAGAGAGAATAAAAGTCGCCGTTCGATATCGTCGAATCATTTGGTCCATAAATCTTCATTAAAACGGCCGCGCTATCCGGCCGGATCCGCTTCTGGAATAATTTATCGGGGGGAGTCCGCGCGCCGGCCCGGTGAAAATCTCACGGCATCTCTTCTCGCTGCCGGCCCGAATATATTATGTGTGTGTGTGCACGCGCGTGCGCGTGTATTCATAGGTGCTCTCGGGCCTATTTTCTTATCGGGCCGCGCTAAGCGGGCCCCGCGTAGACATTATGAATCGCTATGTTCGCGGGCAAAAACCCGCGCGGAAACCGCATTCCCGCTGTTTTGTGCCTCCCGCCGGAGGAAACAGCGCGCGCGCGAGGTTTCAACGGCGGACGGAAAGAGGCGTCTTCGAAGAAACGATCCCACGTGAGAGAGAGAGAGAGAGAGAGAGAGAGAACGATGAGGAGGACGGGCAGCGCAGGAGGAGGAGGACGAGGAGGCATAGAAGAAGCGAATGGATCTCGCCCTTTGCCGGCGCGAAGTAGAAAAAGGGTCGGCTCGCGCGGTGTGCCGACCGGTGTGGAGAGACCTTGGGTCGGAGGAGGAATGCAAATCGGGACCGGTCACGAATATTCTAATGTGCAGTTAGTCCTTACCGCACGACGATCGCGAGGGAACGTCATTCGGTTCCTCCCATCGGCGCAACGGCCACGATTGCGCGCACCCGTGGGCCCTCACCGCTGCACGTTCGCCGCAACAACGGCGAGGATGTTCTTGCGTCACGACCCGTGATTAGATGCTCCGCGTGCCTCCGAACCGGCCTGCGGACGCACGAAACGCGAATGACGATGTCGAATCTTCCTAATGACCGCCGCGCTCGTACGGTATTTTTAGCGGCGGCGTCGTGAGCGGAGGAGAGTCGCCGTTCTCCTCCGGTCTCACCCTTACGCGACAACTCGTCTTGTCGCGTTCATCGGATTTGAGAGACGACCGGAGGAAGGTCTCCCGAGTCGTTCGATTGCTCTGGGTGAAGATGTGAATAAAAGAGGAACGTATTACGAAACGTGCTTTCTCTCTTTCTCTTTCTCTATCTCTCTCATCCGTCGGCTGAAAAACAAATATTGGAGACGGGTAATCTCCGGAAAAATACTCATGCATACTCGTATGTATTCGTCACATTCTTTCGCTTAATAGATGGTACCAGAGAGCGCAAGAAACGGGCATAAAAATGACAGAACCGGGCCGAAAACGAGCCATGTGAGGAAACCTTGGAATATTTGTGTGAGGGTCATCGTATAACTTTTTTTACCGGATGATTCCTACAGAGATAGTGGATTCAACGGTTTCCCACTGATGCGGCGAGTTGTATAAGAATTATCTGACGAACGGGTTTGCACGACGATCGCGAAGAAGGTCGTCGGCTCTATTCGTTCGGCCCTAAGCGCGGATCTGGATACGCAGGACGCGCGAAAATTAGCGAGGCAATTATGAGGGGCATCCGCAGGGTCACGGTGTGTGCACGGCAAACAACTAGCTGTGCTGTCATCGCATTCCTCCGTGAACGACGGGACGCCGGTGACGCGTTACAAAAGCAACTACCCGCGACAAGATCGTTCGTGAGATGCGGAGACGTGAAAAAAGGCCCGCTGCTGATGACGTTGCTGGTAGTGATGATGGTGATGGTTGCACGATCGAACCTCCGGATAACCCCGGAGGAAAATGCCGCCGGAGTGGAGGACGGGACGGAGATAGATGCGAGCGGACATGATGGTAGTAAAGTTCACGGTGAAGAAATACGGGATACGTGGAGGAGGAGGACTCCGGGAGAGGAGGAGGAGGAAGAAGAAGCTTCCCGGAGTTCCCAGGGTGAAATCCCGCGGATTTCGCTTTACGATCGCAAGAACGGACCGCCACGGAGAATCTCCGTTTCGCGCCCCCTCCGTTCGCCTCTCTCTCTCTCTCTCTCTCTCTCTCTTTCTTTATTCATTCCTCAACTTTTCTGCCGGTCATTCTCGGAATTCGCGCGATTCGACGTCTTACGGGGGTTTCTTTTTCTTTTCCTTCTTTCTTTTCGAGCAGCATCTTATCCTCGAGCTGCGTTATTCTTCCACGGTTAGATTTATGCCGCTCGTTCGCGCGGCGGACGGTAACGGGTAACGAGTGGACTCGAGTAAGCGGAGAGAGGCGAGAGAGATCGGCGGAACTATCATCGTTCCTCAGGAATTTCGAGAGAGACAGAGAGAGAGAGGGAGAATTTAAATTTTCGCGTGTTCATGAACTCCCGAATTTCACGCTGGTGTGCGCGTTTGAGATATCGAGGGATATTCCGGACTATCGAGAGGCAGTGAAATGTTATCGGTAGTGAAATGTCGACGGGAATCAGGTAGAGCGGGCGGCGATCGCGTAGAATTCGAAGGTTCCGTTTCTCCCGAAGATATTACGTGCACGCGCGGTATTCTTTGAGCGAAAAACAAGTCCAGGGGGCGAGGGACGGGGTCGGCCCGATGTAATTTGTACAGGATCCCTCCGACGAGAGAGAAGTTCGCAGTCAAGGCTCCCACCTCCGAAGTCATTGACATTGGCGGCCGCGGCACGCAGAGACCGATGCTGCCCATTACGTCGAATGGTAAATAAAGCAGCAACGCTCACGTGTGTCGGTCTCGCGTGGCGATTCGATCATCGTTGGCAAATATGCGGATTCACCGTTAACTTCTTGTCGCCCCGCTACATCGAATCTGCGTTATCTTCATAAATTTGCAAGCGAGATTCTGGAAGCGTCCTCTGACGCAAGCCTTGAACTTGAACGTGATCTCTCTCTCTCTCTCTCTCTCTCTCTCTACGAAATCTTGTATCCGTCCCAAAAATACGTTATGTACCATAACGTTAAATTTATGTTGTTACATTGACTCCCGCGGGCTGATTTTCTTCACAATTTTAACAATTCTCGAGAGAGAGAGAGAGAGAGAGAGAGAGAGAAAGAAAAAGAGAACTTAGAACATAGAAAGAAAGGAAGAACTCTGTTTTTCTCTTTCTCGGTTGAAGAACCTGCCGAATCTCTCTCTCTCTCTCTCTCTCTCTCTCGTTCTCTCTTTATTTCCCGTCTTGCAGCGGGGCCTTCGGATTTTCCAAGACCGGTCCCGCTCGGATCTAATGCTCGCCGTCAGATGTTGAATGTTTTCAACAGCATCAACGGGCCCCCGGCTTCGCGATGCTTCGCTCTTCTCTCCCCGCGATTTCGTTTCGGTGCGCGTCCCGAGACGCACGGCCGCTTTTTCAGCATCGTTGCACGATGCGCGCGATGATGAGATCTATTATCCTGGATGACTGTCCTCTTTCGCCCGGCTTCCACGAACCTGGCGCGCCGGTGAACGTCCTCTCCATCGGCGAGACATTCGTACGCGCATCATCAGGTGTAACGCGTCAGCGTGCGCCAACCGACGGTAGTTGTCACTCTCTCTCTCTCTCTCTCTCTTAGCCGTACGCTTTCACCATCAATCGTTATAAGGGCGTCAGCATTGTCCCTCGCTCGGTCGCTCGAAAAATCGCGTTAGATACAAGTCAATACGTCATCAACGCATTCTCAAGCAAAATCTAAGGGCGCTATTCACGATGCGACCTTGCACTCGAGATCGTCTTAAGTTCGTCTTAAGACGCTGTAGGACGTTCCTTTGGCCACTTAGCATCCTTAAAAACTTAAGACGATCTCGAATGTGAGATCGGCAGGCGAATACCGCTTCCATAAAGCGGAGGAGACCAGAGAAAAGGTTTGTCCAAAGGTCCTTTTGGAACACAGGCGATTCCCTCTGCTTTCTAAAGCGATCAGTATATTATCGTTCACCGATTCAATCAGCGATACTTTCACCGATACCATTTTCAAAGAGCGGTTTTCGTCCAAGATCGGAAAACCGTAGTCGTTGGAAGGGAAAGAGAGAGAGAGGGAGAGAGAGAAAGATCCGATTGAAGAACAGTCGAGCTTTCGCATGCTTGCGTCCGCATCACCCCCGGCCTTCGTCGTCGCGCCACGACGCGGCGGTCCTTTTCGGCGGCTACGTGCCCGAAAAGGACACGCAGGGGGGCGCATTGACATGCCGCGCAGATCGAGATATTAGTGCGGGACGATACAGCTCCGAATGATGTCAAGCCGACGGAGGTATAGTGATTCAAGCGACGGGTCTCTCGTCTCACTCGTCGCGCTATGCCCCACCATTAGCTATGCGCGACGCGGAGGCGTCACTTCCTCCGGCCGCGGCTTCCGGCCGCCGGAAACGTCCTTCTAACCGCGACTGAATCCTTAAATGAAAACGATCTCTCTCTCGCTCTCTCTCCCTCTCTTCCTTGCCTCTCCCCTTCCTCTCCCGGCACACCCGATCGTCGATATCGCGAACGATACATGGAGACAAATCGCTGTTGAGCGCACCGTTGCATAATCCATCGCGCGCGTGCGCACCGACACGTATGCGCGCTCTCGAGGGGGGGGGGGTTCCCTTTCGTTTTGCCCTTTTCATTTTTCTCCTCCTTATCCGACGAATGTTAAGAAATTGCCGCATGTATATCATGTCGCGGCGGCCTGACAAAGCGTCTTCGGGGCTCGGTTAATAAATAACGCCTTGCAAATTGCTTTCCCTCGCGGAGAGACGCATAAATACCCCGCTAGCGCGTGTATATTCGAGGTACGCTAAAATTACCTCATTACGGAGCACTGTGCGCTTTCCTCCCCTTTTCCCTAGCCCCCCGTAGCGGGAATATCGGGAACAGACACGTAGAAACGAGTTAGAAATGTGTATCACGTCGGGAGAAAAACGCCGCCACGGAATTTCCCGTCTCTCTCGGCCAAGCAAAGATACGTCTGCAGCAACGACGTGACGGCCGATGGTCGCGTTTCAGCGTCTTCACGGGGTCGCGACGTGGGTCCCCTCAGGGTGTCCCGCAGGACACTCTCCTCGCCCGGTCGATCAGATCGATCGCACGTCCGATCCCCGTCCGATCTCTACAACGCGAGCTCTCTCTCTCTCTCTCTCTTTCTCTCTCTCGTTCTCGGCAGCAATCGATACGGGCTGACGAACGAGGACCTGAACCGACGGTGGAGCAATCCCAACCAGGTGTACCATCCGGTGATCTATCACACGAAGGGCCTGATGGAGTACTGCGCGAAGGTGCTGCAGCGGCCGCCGCACGTTTTCGTCGACTACCACGGCCACTCGCGGAGGAAGAACGTGTTTCTGTTCGGCTGCTCAAGGTCGGGTTCCTGGAGCGCCGCGGACAGGACGAAACCGGACCAGCCGGTGCAGTATTTGGTAAGGGAGCCGAGTGGCTGATATATTCTTAAATCTCGTCCCACGGTATCACCCATTTATCCTCCATTTACCTGCCGCCGGGCCGGCCACGCGGACGTTTATCACTCTCACCGGCCGTCCCTTCGACGAGCGCGCGCGAGTAATTAAACGTCGACAGCGGCGCCCCTCGCGGAGCACCTCGCATGATAGCGCGTGATAACGTGGTGATAACAAGGCGAGGCAAGCCGCGAAAATCTTCCCGCCGGTTCTCACCGGTAATCCACGCTCGTTCCGTCCGCCAGATGTTGCCGCACCTCATGCAGAAGACCTCGGCGGCTTTCGCTTTGCCACTGTGCTCCTTCAAGGTCGAGAGGAACAAGGAGTCCACCGCCCGAGTCGCTGTGTGGCGGCAGTTGGGCGTTGCGAGGTAAATGACGGGGCCGCGTCCTGGCCGCGGCGATCTCGCAGCTCGACTCGCGAGATTCCGTGCGGCAAGGCCGAGGCGCGTATCCACCGTAGCGATGGACGATCCTCCATTTTTTTTTAGGCAAAGTCGACTCGAGAATCGATTCTGACTCGGGCTCGAAATGAATCGATTTCCCAAGAATTGATGAAAAAAAAATCGAATCAAAATCGCCCGTCATTAGTGCCCGGTGATATCGCGATGTCGAATCGCCGAGCGATTTAGATTTTCTCTTCTTTTTTTGGCTGAATTTATCGGTTTGCAAATAACGTCCCGGCAACGCGATAAAATAGCCATGTTTTACGCAATCAGTAGTAATCTCGCAGATAACGCCGGTGCGCGATAGAACGTCTACATTTGCATTTATACCGGGGAAAGAGGGCACGATGGGGACGTGTTAGTATTACGACGGTGCGATTGGAAATGGACTCTGACGATTCACGTTCCGTTTGAGCAGGAGTTACACGATGGAGAGCAGTTTCTGCGGCTGCGACCAAGGCGCTCTGGCGGGCCTGCACCTCGACACGGAACATCTGAAAGCCATCGGCAGGGACTTCTGCCGAGCTTTGTCCATGATGAAGTACAGCGGCGACGACTGGGCTGTTGAAAAGTACGTGAAACGTCTATCACGGTTCGTTCGTTCCGAGAGTAGATCCCATCAATCGCGAATTTGATTATCTGCACTACGCCGGACTAGTGCATACTGAAGGTCGCTACGTATAAAATATCCAATCGGCATAGCACAAGCACATTGACGATGAAATAATTAAATGTACATCTCGCTTAATAACGTGACGAAATATCATTGTTAATCGTTCAAAACGCTTACACGAGGTTTCGACAATTCCAAAATCCACCTCGTACGTTTCTTTATTTAAATAACCGCTTCACGTGTACAGCAGCTTTCAGCATATACGCTGATACGGTGTAGCGACTGATCACACTTTCGAATTCGCTGAAAGTTTCGACAACGCGTGTGCGAAATAACATTTCGGCAAAATATATTGCCTGCTATCGAAAGAGAGGGGAGAACTCGCGTGAGAACGAAACTTCCGCGATCGGCGAGCGTGAAATAAGCGTCTCTCCCAGGAGCGCGATGCGACCGGCAATTATTTCCGAAGAGATCCGCCGTCGAAGCCGGCCGTGTGGCAACTCGATCGCGGAGAAATCACGCGGACTGAACTCATATATATACGACGTAGATCGACGACGGAGCAGGCCTGCTGCCCGAGAATGTGCGTTCTGCGAAACAACTCCTCAAGGAAGACCCCGAAATGTATTCAGGATAAACACGCTATGCATCACACCACGGCGCTCCCATAGCGACAGAGATAGCCGTCGAGTAATAGCTTCACAAAGGCAAGACTCGCGTAGGGTCGTCCGTGTGTTTGTTTCTGTGTGCGAACGCCATTAACGCTTTCGCTGACTCTTCCCCCTTGTCCTTCTTTTTTCCCCCCGTCGACGTTCAAGAATCTTACGCTACCGTCGATCGAATTAACATACGTCGACACGCACCGGCGGCTTGAGTGAAAATTCATTGTGATCGTTTAACCCTGAGAGTAACAGCCGCGATCCTCGCCGAAGTAATATCACCCGCATCGCGAAAAAAATCGTAAAAATCGTGGTCCTTTATGAGTTACTCGGATTTATTAAGTTTATTAGAGGAGAAGGTAGTGTCCTATTTATATTTTGTACAATAACTTTGTCAATAAGCAATATTTCAAATATTGATGAAAAATTGACAACGATTATTACACTCGATAAAATTTCTTTCGATCGACTTTAGACTCAAGGTTGAAATATTTATTACTTTCAACGGTGAATCACTAAGTAAATGATTCCACGAGTAATCGCTAGAATTCGTCGCCTGATAGCGGATATTTTTCAAGCCATAATACTTACAAGAGCTATATAATGCCATTTTCTTCTCTACCAATTTTTATTTATCGTCTTTATTAGAGACTGATTGCCGTCAGGAAACCACTTATCCCATTCAGCTCTCAACGGGCTAATAATAGCAGTGGTCACATTAGACCCAATTTTTTTTCTGAGTGATAACGGAGTGTAATAGGAGTGGGGTACAACGTCTCGCACGAAAGAGGGGGAGAGGGGGTAAACCGAGAGAAAACGGCGTCTCTCGTAAGCGGTAACATGTTACTGTCAGGGTTAACACGTGTGGCTGGATAATTCCCCCGGCGTGGCGTGTAGAACGATTAAAATCCGTGGAGAGTTAATCGACGAGGCTCAAGATTGTCCGCTTCGTGGTTTGAGATGTGCCTACCGTTAATTACGATATGGTTCACCTTTCAGAATCCCTACGGAGGAACATATCCCCGAGGAGTCGAGATGCATGGACGACAGAGTATCCACCAGCAGCGAGTCGGACGAGTCCGAGTATGAGATTTAAGAGAGACTGCTGTCACCGGTCGAGCGTGACCGGCCAAGTCGCTGATCCGACACACGAAATTCACCATGGATACTTAATCGGCGGTGTGCGAACGTAAAATCACTCATTAATTGCAACGATCATGTTCGTATTTCCGTTCCGACGATATAGATCAGCGCGAGAAGCGGGTATCACTCACGCCGGATGAATATTTTAAACAATGTTTATTTAAAACTGGTAACAAATGTTTAGAGCTACTAGCTATGAAAAAATACTATCTATGTCTACGTCCTATTTGTACATTATTCTCGGAAAATTATTATTGCTTTGCAAATTAAATTCGTAACGAAACATCATTATCCGCTGTAGATCCGATACGGCATAGCTGATTAACTACTTAAGTTTTACGTGGCCGCGTATTAAGTAACGATTAGGTGGTTCCCGGAGAAAGCCAAGTATGGAGGTTGAAATTATCGCCGCGGGATTACCCGTCCGCAGAGCGACGAACGGAAATCGGAAAGGAATTTACATTCTTCTAGTGAGATTTCGACAGCCTCCTTGAGAGATCGGAGGTCCCGGTTAAAAGCTAAAAAGAGAAGAAAGGAGAAGAATTCACCAAGGGAGTTACCGCTCTTTCTCTCTCGTATTGTACCTCGCTCTCTGTACTTTGTATACGTAACGTGTAATTGTACCAAGCGTAGGAAAAAATAAATGTTATCGAGTTGTGATTTCCCGGTGACTTTCACGAGACCTCGCCCTTGACACTTCCCGAGATCGTTCACTCTCCGCGGAATGTGATAGCTTCGATTTACGTTGAGAAAGAAGGAAAAAACCCTCGCATCCGTACTGACGTATTTATCAGGTGCTAATTGCAATTCCGCAAGGTTCAGAGCTGTTGCCGCGTTGTGTTGTTCAAGCGTTTCGAAAGCAGTATTCACAGTGACGCGTGCTACGCGATAATCGGTGACGGAATTTGGAAAATCGGTGGACCATCGGCAGCTGGTAGGAAATTAGAAAACGCAAAGAGGAATCCATCGGGCTATCTTTCCTGACTGAATTGCGGGATTTCTTATACTGCTTTTTCTCTAACGCGTATGTACTTCTCTTTTCATTCCTCGTGCGAAGGAGAAGGGTCGGTAAGGTCCGTTTTTCTGCTCCCTCCCGATTTTCATTAAACAATTTTTTATATTGTATGATCATGAGGAATGTGAAAAATAATTATTAATACATAATAATATAATCATTATATTATTATTATATTATTATATATTAATGATTACTTTTGACTTTTCTAATGAACATATAATACAAAAAAATTGTTTAACGGAAATCAGAAGGGGAGACAAAATCGACCTTATTCCCGTAGTAAAATATCTAGTTTCTGAAAAAAACAATTCGTCAATCAAGCATCACGGTCAGTCCCGTGGAACTTCCGCGCGTGGGTGTGCGTGTGTGTAATACAATCGAACGTGTCACTTCGGAATCAAGAAATTATCGTCGTCGAAATTCGGCAATACGCACATATATTGCGTGGATATACGTATATATATATATATATATATCTCTCTCTCAGAACAATACTTCGTCGCGCCCTAATTGGATTTGGCAATGGCTGTATTTCATCACGTACAAAACAGCGGGTTACACTTAACTAACACGTACTAACGTGATGATCGAGATACCTTTAACGCGAGCCGCCTGCGGATCTAAAATTATTCGATGGCAATGGTGGCGTCGAAAAAATTCGTCGAGATCGAGCTACGAGGAAAATTGTGCCCTGTATATGTGTGTGTACGTGTACAATGTTTCAATACAATATTAATTGACCGAATCGAGATTACTTTGTGTATATATATATGCGAGTAACTGCGCGCTACGGATTTGATGACAGTCGAAGCGCGACCGCGGAAAGGGGGAAAAAGGAGAAGGAAGGGAACACATCGCCGTCTACGTAGAGCGCAAGCCAACACATCGAGATGAAGCTGGGTTTACGTTATTGTCTGTTTCGCGCGTTAACGATGCCGTCGATGTCGCGTAATCCACCTCGCCGCGAGGAGTAGAACCTACTGTGCTTTATGAGCGTAGAGAAAGCCGACGTTAAGCCGAAAGTTTCTATATAAGTACGTCAAGAAACCTCTACTGTTTCTTTTGCGTGTTGCTTCGCGCGTACGTTTTGTGTGTGTGTGTGCGCGTTGTGTCACGCGTCTATCTCTCTGTTTTTTTTCGTGTATACACTCGAATGAAAATCGAAAGAAACAAATCGAATCGTCGTTCTATCTTCTCGCTATGCCTGGCTACAGCCGGTGTTTCCCGAAGCGCAAATAATTTTTCGTCGATTAACGAGCGAGGCAAGGGTCGACCGTCGCGTCGAACAATAGCGTCGACGATAAGCGCGGGTGTTCGCACTACGCTCACATCAACACGAAGCGAAAGGAAAGAAGAGAATAAGAAGAAGAAACGGTAATACACAGAGGATATTCGTCGTCATCGCCGACCACGAGATCGTATTTTATCGTCGAGCACACGATATTCTCTCTCTCTCTCTTTCTCTCTTCCATCTGGCGGAATACCTTCGATTCGTCTACATATTGAACTCGCGCGTTTTACCCTAAGCGTACGATATTTTTCTATGCAGAACGCGAATTTTGACAAGATAACATAAGATTACGATGGATTACACCGATGTTTAACGCCGATCTTCTCTCTCTCTCTCTCTCTCTCTCTCTTTCTCTCTCCCCTCAGCTGGTTTACAAGGACCTCCTCATTCAATGCCGTGCATTTTTTTCATCTGCAGCTTGATCTGTTCATAGGTGACCCAGAGCACGATGTTCCAAGAAACCAGGCGCGAGAAACTCGGCACGAAACCCTTGTAGAAGGCTAACGGGCCCTCCTGGACGAAGGTCCTGACAGCGCAGTCTATCGCGCCCTTGTACTCGCCGGGCGCGCTATTCATGTAACGCGTCTTTATCACGTCCACAGGACTGGCCGCCAGGGTGGTGCAGAGTCCGGCGGCCGTCGCGGCGGTCAAGTGACACGGGACTCCGTCGCGGAGATAGCCGCTGGCTAGGATCAGGTCCTTGATGATGTCATAACAGACTATCTCTGCCACGTTCACGATCGCATTCCGCGAGACGTTCGGCAGGGTTCCTACGAGGCAGTCAATCGCGATTAGTTTTCACACTTTTCATCGAATATTTATATAAAAGATAAAAAATAAGAATATAAAAATAAGGAATAGACATTTTTTTTCAAATATAAAAGTATTGAATATAATTTTTTTTATGTAAAAATGTGCGATATAAAAATTAAAGTACAAAAATATGTGAAAAATAAATTTGTGAAAATATACAAAAGTATCATATATAAATATGTACAGAGTGTCTTAGAGTTTACGATAAATATTTTAATAATAAATTCTTTTCGCAATTTTCGCACTTGAACTTTCGCCTTAGAATGTTATGAAGAATTCATTATTAAAATATATTTATCGTAAATTTTTGAACATTCCGTAAAAAAAAAAAAACACCGGTCGATATCGCATCGATTTGGCGAGATCTCGAGGGAGTCGCGAGACGACAATCCCTCGCGTCCTCACCTTTCCAAAGGCCTCGTGCGCCCTCCATGTGGGCGATATTCTTGTACGCCTGCAGAGTGGAGCTATACCTCATCGACGGTCGCCCATTATTTCCAGCTTGCATGCGGACCTTGACGACGTCGGTCGGCTGAGCAATGAGCACCGCCAAAGCGCCCGTTGTGATCCCCGCGGCGACGCGCACGCCGATGTTCATGCCGCCGCTCCTACTATTACCTGCTGAAATAAAAGCGAACGGTGAAGACCGGGCGGACCGTCGTGGCGGATCGGTGTGGATGAAAAATATATTAAAAATTAGGAGATGCGGGCAATAGTAGTAGTAGGAGGACGGACGGACGCGGGTTACGCGTCGATCACTTTTTTCATTGGCTCATTAAAGATGTTCTCCAATTACAGTCAGTGTCGTTTTCTAGCAAAATTGTCTTTAGCATTCGCGAGTGTGCGTTAACGGGCATTAACTTTCTCCCGAGCGATTCTCGCTGCGGCGTTACTTCGCGAAAAAGAGCAAAATTTGTCGAGAGACGCGAATATCGCGACGGCGAAATTTATCTCTCTCATCCGACGAGATCGGCGAAGCGAGTGGGAAGATTTTCGCGCGGAGATCGTATATCGAGATTTCGTTTCACTCGAGGTTTCAGATCGCCACACGAAATTGAGTTTGTTTTTTTTTTTCTTTCGAAGGAATTATCTGACCGTCGTCTGTGCATGCTCTAGTTATATATAAAGCAGATTCAAATCATACCGATAGCTCGGTATCGTCATCAGCGAGTTGGGAAATTTTTTTGCATTCGAGATAAACAATTGCTATGTATGCTACGATTAAAATGTCTTACGATATCGGAGCATGCACACACAGACGTGATGTACGAGAAAAAAGAAAAGAAAAATTCACATACTATTCTGATGGAAATATTTTACTGAAAGTACTATGAGATCGACGAAAGTTATTACAAATTTATTAAATATATATAAAAATTAATTTCTCCTCGTGAAATGCAATGTAGTACTGTGACATATAGAGAAAGTTAAAGCATACTGTTGAAAAGTAATAATAAAATTTTGACTGTGTGATTTCTTAAAGGAAAACTGCTGGAATATCGATGAAAGTTTTTTACTGAAATATTGAGTGAGTGATGAGAAATAAGGTCAATTGAGAGAGAGATTTCCGACTACATATCGGCGAATTTTCGTCAGCATGTTTTCAGTAAAATATTTCCATCGGGGCACGAATAGATTTTCGCGCGCGTTTTCGGGAGTTGTTACGCGCGAGACGAACGGCACCGAGAAGTTACCGCGAGAGAAGTGTTGTGGCGTTTGAATTGCGAGAGTTTCGAAATACGTACGATCGAGTAAAATTCAGGAAAAGTCCCAGCGATTCGTCACACGCGAAGGGAGGATCACACATCTCGAATCATCGTGTCCGATTCAAACGCAAGTACTTTTACTCGCGACAAGAGCAACGCGAAAACACTTCGCGCGAATGACGAATCGCGACTTTTCGCCGAACGTAAAAGTGGAGTGAAATATGCATAATTAATATGTAATTAGTCTCACGATTGTCCAATGCGGCGGGTAAGAGTTACAAAAGACGTTCGGGTCCCCGCCTCAGAGGTGGTAAGCTCTTCGCCGTACACTAATCTTTTCGCTCCCCCATAATACCCACTCTCTTACTGTTAGCTCATATCTTTCCTCCTATCTCCCATTATTACTCTCTCGGCCGCGAAAACCACGAAGGACGAGAACGAGGACGAAGGACACAGGTTTCGAGCATCCCAGCCGGGGTGGTCCAGTCCCGCGCGTGTGAAGCTTGCGAGAGTTTTCGCCGTGGCAAAACGAGCGGCCGATATGATAATCCGCCGTTCGTGTGGGTGGATGAGTATTCGTGTGTGTGTGTGTGTGTGTGTGTGTGTGCCAATGTCGGGTGGCTCGACGCATCCCCGTGACACGCCCTCGTACTAAGTTTTACAAATCGCTCGTCAGACCTCCATTTTCGTAACATTAATCGCCGCGGTATCAGCAATTATCAGCGTTATGTAATATAGCATCTGTTATCTTCGAAACCTGCTTACTTTAGCGCTCGAGATACTTCCAGTTTTGATAAAAATACACCAAGCATTATTGACACCCCCACATACAAACTTATGATTTCCCGTTTTTATCAATATTTTTCAGAATTATCAGAAATTGAACGTATTTTTCTTCAGCCACTCAAATAATTTCTTTCTACGATCACCCAACATTGGCGTTTGCGTCCGCATCTGTGTGTGTGTGTGTGTGTGTGTGTGTGTGTGTGTGTGTGTGGTGAAGAAGGCGGCATCGTATCGCGCGGCTACTCGTATCGCAAGAGGTATATTATCAAAAAGTTAGGAGTTTGTTGGATGTACCGTCGATGATTCCGGCGTAGAGTGACTTGACGCTGTCGTAGAGGCCCAACCGTATGCTGGCGAAACACATCTGTCTCTGGAGTCCCGCGGACAGACCTCCGTACAGGCTCCTGTAACCACCCTCGCTCAAGCTCACCGCCCTCACAATTCACCCTCAGACGCATCCCCAGGGCATATGTTTTGTTACACATTTCTCTCTCCTTTCTCCCTCTCTCTTTCTCTCTCTCTCTCTCTCTCTCTCTTTCTCTCTTTCTCTCTTCCTTTCTATCTTTCTATCTTTCTCTTTGTCTTTCTCTTTCTCTTTCTTTCTCTCTCCTTTTCTCCCTTTCCGTCTCACCGTATTTTTCTTTTCTTTTTATATTATTATTATTTTTTTTTATACAGATCGCCCCCTTTTATTTAAATTATATTGCGTAACATATCTTTCTTTTTATATCTCTCCCCCGTTCTACCCGTTTCTATCCCGCTATCCGTATACAATTTTCCCCGGTTTTTGCTTTTTTTTAAATTTTTTTCTTCTACGTCCCCCTCTTTGCTACCGCAAAAGTCGCTATCGCTTTACAGCAAAAGTCAATCATCATCATTCTGTTAGTGAAATGAAGATATTCAGATCGGAGGCGCGCACGAGAGAAAAGAGAAGCGGCCCGAGAGCCGAGAAATGAATTTGGGAGAGAGCGTGCGTCATATCGTCAGGGCCGGCCGCGATTTTTGCCGCGTTGATTAGAATCGCCCCGCGGTCGGAAACTCAATCAAAGGAAGAAGAAGAAGAAGACAGCGGGCCCGGCGATCGGAAAAAAGAGAGTAAAGCCGCCACTAGGCCAGGCGAACGAAATAAAAAAAACCAGGAGAGAAACTGCGTGAGAAGTTGGCAAACCATATATATATATATTACACGGAGGGGAAACGTGAGAGGGATAAGCGAGTTGTCTTCCGCCGATTTTACAGTCGAGCGACAGAGATTCGTGATTTATCGCGTCTGGCGTGAAACGAAGATTTACGCAAAGTGTCACGTGCCTTCTCGGATCGCGAAGCTGCGGAATTTCCTCGATGGAATTTCACAAACAATTTGCACGACAAAGAGAGCGTGAGAGAAATCAATGATTCACGTTAATCCCACGTACGGTATCGGCGAAAGACAACCCACGTGCAAAAGAGAAATTAAATAGTAGTAATAATAATAATAATAATAACGTTTCTAGTATCGACCGGAGTGCCATCGACAAGGTTCGTTACGTTCGTCTCGCTGTATCCGCTCGACCTTCGCCGAGATGCGGCGCGCAACCGAATCCTTGGAAGCCGGTTGCATTCTCTTATCGTGTCTCATGCATGATAAATCGCCTCACGTGGGCGAGCTCCCATCGTCCTTGTCTATGGCACTCGATCGAGAGGCAAGACCGAAGAAAAAGAAAAGAATGAAATTCGCCCGGCAAATCAGAGCGCTAGGAGAGCTTCCCGGTAAGAGCGAAAAGCGTCGTCGTTCCGCGCGTGTGCCAGATGTCGAGCTGCTAACCGTGTGACCGATGAGGACCGCGCGAATCGTGCCCATCGATCTCTCTTCCTGCGACCGACGGCGTGTCGGGAGGACGTAGTTGAAAAACAAATCGATTTACGTCATACCGCTTAAACAAGCGCGCGCGCGAGCAGTAAACATCTGCTGTAAACGTGTGTCACATAACAATCGGGGAATATCGACAAAGAGACTGACTGAGCGAACGACATTTCGCATTCAAATACATTCTGCATTCGCGTTTCCTCTTCCCCCTCCCCTTTTCCCCTTTTTGTCGAGATCATCAGAGGATTAAATTCCGCGTTTCCACCGTTTCTCATGGAATTACCCCGAATCGTTGGGAGCTTTTGGCTTCGTTCGTTTCTTCTGAAAATTTCGCCGCGTTTATCGTCACGAGTCGCGGTCGAATCGGCGAAAGCGACGAAGGGATCGCAGTTCGAGCTGGCACACACGCCTCGACGAGAGCTGGCTGGTTAATAATAGCACATAGTTCCGTGTATTGCGAAGTACCACAATATCATTTTCCAGAGAGATCGATACTCGAGCTACGTGGTCGACAGTTATCGGCAACTACTGCATAAAAGGCAAAAACGCGCTAGCTCGCTCGCGAGAGAGAGCTTTCACACTACTCTCGAGCTCGGAATTTGAATCCGGCGGATCAAGCGTACCGGGAGGGGACGCGCTCGATACGACGGATTCGTTTCGCGATATCGCACACCCCCACGACGAGATCGAATGAAGTTCTAAGCTCTTTACTTCTTTACCTACCATCGCCTCTTAGATTCACTATTAGGACGATAAATCACGTACCTCGCTCCCTCGAGTCGGACGATGTTGCCGATGGTCTGCAGCAGTCCGGGCTGGCTCGCTCTCATCGCAAGGACCGAACCCTCGGCCGACGCCAGCAGCATGGCTTGACCCTCCCCCGCGATCTTCAAGGTAACGCGCATCGTGAGATATCCGATTCGCCGGACAAACAGTGAATAATGGAGGAGAATCGGGGATATAGGTCGAGCGAGTACACAGAGCGTAATTGTCGTTCGCGTTGTACTCACTTGCATTCTGACTTTGGCGGTGTCCAACGGAAAGGTCGCCAGGTCGGCGATGCAGGCGGCGGTGCCTGCGGTCAGCAGCTTCCAACCGAGGGAGAAGTCCTCCTGCGCTCCTTGCTTCATGACTTCCGCTCTATTTTCAGCGCTCGATCTCTTTTTCTTATTTCTCACTCCCTCTCTCTCTCTCTCTCTCTTCTCTCCCCTCAGTTACTATGGATACGTGCTGTCAAGGGTGCGCGTGCGACGACCTCGTGGAGAAAACAGAGTGCTCTACAGTACTCTCGACGAATTTTTTCTTTCCTTTTTTTTGGTTATTTTTCCTCTTTCTCTCTCTCTCTTTCCCCCTCTTTTTCTCTTTCCCCCGGCGGTATCGATTGTTCGCTCCCGCGTGATAGATCCTCCTTTCTCTCTCCCTCCCTCCGGGGCAGGATCGACTTGTTAGGCAAGCGATGTATGTACACTATATACAAAGTCCTACCAGAGGACGGGAACCCTCAGATGTTCATGAATTCGAATGGTTTTTTAGAGGCCCTCCTCAGGTTCCCTGAAGTGATCGGGGTAAGCGTGTAGTCCTCCCGATCGCGAACACTCGTGTTTGATTTCCCGAAGGTGGACTTCTTTATACATACTATTCTCCTGCGAACAGAACGAGGCGCGGATGATGCCGTGCAGTTTTATAGAGGTCCATCGGATCGCGTGACACCACTACTACTGCCGACTCTCGTCGACGATCCAGCGATCGGCCGGCGATCGTGCGAGCGCGCGATTCGCCGCGCACTTCCCGACAACCGTTGCACAAAATCGGACGACTGATAAGTAGCGAAAATATACAGCTGCGCAATAACAACGGAGCGATGCCGAAGGTGACAGACTTGATATAGAGCGCGTATCGAGCCACCGATAATCGATGTTATTTTTTTGTTTCCTTCGCTCTCATCGGCCGACGCTCGAAAAACGACGCGCGCGTGCGCGCGTAATATTACGTATGAAAGCGAGGAATGCGAGGAATGCGAGGAATGCAAACGGATTTCTTTGAGAGTAGATTCCGTTCACGACACGGCGATCGCCTATTGCTGTGACGATACACGGTGAAAAATCGATGCGTTAAATTTAACACATCTCACGTGTCCGAAATGGCTCGGCGGAATTTTCGTTTTAATACGACACAAGGTGAATTATATGTGTCGAGAAACAACATAAATGTTGCGTCCAAAAATTAGCGTCAAAATAAATACTGATTGATTGACACTGCAGTGCGAAATGTGTTGTTTCAACACGTACACGTGTACCGAATATCGACACGCAAGACAAAATGTTGAAATAACGTGAAACAGAATATGTTAAATTAACGCCCAATGTTAGGAATTTAACGCAAAAATCTGAACAAAGACCAATTTTAACAGAAATACAAAATGTTTCTTACTGCGTTGAACTTTTTTTAGAAGATTCTTCGGCATACGAGTCATATTATAGTTCTATCAGAATTCCGTCGGATATCCGTTTAAGTAAACCAGGATTACTTCAGATGTATGATAGAGCCCGATAAAAGTGGATAAATAGATAATATGTATAGGGTTTTACCGGGAAGAATCTGAAGAAGGAAAGTATCGATGATTAAACGCATGGACGCAAAACAGCGTGCGCGGGTCATAGGTCGCGTCATCGGGCAATACGCGTGCTTATGATCGCGCCCGATAATCTGCCGATATCTAGATAAGATTTATTGAAATCAACCGCCATGACGCAGCCCGTTAATTGGCTATCATGAATCCAACGGTCGGCGTGATCGCGTCCGCCGCATACGTCGTTATCGCGGCGCGTGCCTCTCGCGATCGCGCTGATATCAGCCTGACAGCTTTTTTCTCTCTCTCTTTTCTTCTTTCTTTTCCACGTTCGAATTGAAACATGCGAATTGAAACACGCAAATTGAAACAGGCGCGCGCGACACCGCCGCCACCTCGGCCGTATTCTCGTTTTTGCACACGCAAAGAATTTTCGGCTACGGACAGCCGGTAGCCCGAAATAGAGCGAGCGTGTGGGATGAAAGGGTGAACCGCTTTGGTGAGCTGCCAATTTGAGAAGAGAGATTAGGAGGTCGCGCGTATTCGCGATAGCAAAGTGATTAACGCGTCATTCGATTACCGCTGCTCGTTGATCACCGAATTGCCGAAGTTACGGTTCATTAAGATTAAAATGAATCACCCTGTATATCCGCAAATACATCGTAAGTTCATCATGAGCAACAAATTTATTCAAAATATATCCTGAATCTTAGTAAATTTAATATACTTCAATCGGGAATATTAAATTAAAACATTAAACTAAAACTTCGGTTTACTCATTTCAATTAATCGAATTTAAGATTTAATTTTCCTTCCTCACTAAATTTTCCTCAAATTTTCCTTCATGTTTATAATATTCTTGAAAAAGGGAGAACGAATTCTTGTTCCGAGTAAATGAATAATGAGCTTTTCTAATATCTGCGATGAATATATGTTAATACTAATATTATCAAGAAAAATATATTCTTCATTCAAGGTAACCATTACTTAAAAGAAGAAAACTAAACTGAATAATTGCTTTTCTTCGCAGTACAATAATATTTTTCTCCGGACGCCTATCTCGTTAACCTTAATTAATATACGGCGAATAAATGTGTCCTTCATTTCCTTTTGTCGGCTCTCCATTGGCTGTGCGAAAGTGATTTTGCAAATGCGACTAGTATTTAATGAAACGCGGTTATATCACGGCATATACCTGTCACTGTGCTCAGCCTGTTGATACGTGTATATTTGCAAGTGTACTCGCCAAGTCACTTCTATTTATATCGTTTTCTAATTCCATAATTATTTAGAAATATAAAGGGTAATAAGGGCCACAAAAAGCCAAGCACCGATCTTCTACTGCTATATCTCAGGCACAGCCTTTATATTTCGTCATTTCAAAGAATTTGCATAATTTATGGTAAATATTTGACTTCAGGTTTGCATAACTCACGGGTCTATCTGTTTACACGAGAAATAAAAATCCGTAAGAATAATTAGACCAGCGACATTAGTGACATAATACCTATTCGTACGCCTACATTCGAGCCATGAAGTCTGCGTGCGCATATACATTACGTCGTAAATATGAATGAGCAGACTAAATAAGTGTAGCGGCGTAGCGCGCGCCGCGAGTTCAAAGAACGCGACGAAGCGGCGAACGTTAGACTTTGCCCGGTCGTTTTATTGCGAAGAACGATGCGGTGTCTATTGAGCATCAACCGCATCAATTATTGGTCTTAAGTAACCGTTATTACACGACAGCGCTGTCAACGTGGCTCGATAGCCTCTGCACGTTCAACCAATTAAAGAAATATCGCGCACGGGCGGACTTCGGACCTGTGTATTTTTTCCAAGAGGTAAACTTCGCAGAAATCATTGGTAAGCTACGCTCTATCTCTTTATTAAACCTAGTTATACAATCTGTCTGGCTGATTTATATTTAGAAATCGCGATGATTTCACAAATATTTCTAATTAACGGATCAATCTGTTCCCCTGAAGTTTTAGATTTGTATGAGTGAGAAAGGTGTGAAGATGAACGAAAAATTAAAGTGCTACATTCAGATAAATATTCGCTTGTGGAATATATCGGAGCAATTATGGATCAAACACCTTTCTTTCTCTCAGTGCGCTACACTCGAGTAAAAAATATTCACGTAATTTAAGAAAAGTAATTACTCTAATATCACTCAGCAAATCTTGACTTGAATGTAGTACTTTTTCAATATATTAGCATTATTTTTAACGAAGGCATAACTGGGAATTAGTTGCTGAAAAGATAATAATAAACGATTATATGTCCATCAAGTTAGAGATTTTTTGTTCAATAAAAAGAAAAACGTGCTTTAAGTGAAGCGTCAGCCGTTCACGGATCAATCGGAGCGCGCTTAATCGATTATTCGCGAAGTGAGCGAAATATTGTTATTAAGTATTAACGTTTTAACTTGCTCAAACTTGTCAATTCCAATCCCGCATTGGCCGAAGATTTGCGTAGACGCGTATAAACGTAACAAACGCAAAAAGCGGCGGTGCGACTCGCGAATAACAACACGGTGCCAAGTCCATTTTTTGAATTATAACTCGCGTTTAGAAATTTTGGCTAGTCATATCAGTGTCGTGTTTTTTACGCGTGTTCGCAACTCTCGCTGCAAAATATTTTCCGAATAACCGCCTGTCAGTCCGTCTGTATAGTCACGCGGCTCGAAGAGATCGATAGAGGTCACAGAAGTGTCGGGAGAAACGTTTCCATATCCGCGGGTCATCGATTCCCACCGGTTCGAGGCCGGCCTTTGCGCGCCTCTTTTCCTCCCGTGTCGTAAATCGCACGCGAATTTGCTCGTTCGAGACATTTTTATCTCGGAATTTATATGTGACGCAGATCGAGGAATATTAAATTCATCCGCACTGTCGCAACACACAGAGCATTAATCGCAAGCTAATCGCATTCGCGCGCTGCCCTCCTTTTAGAAAACTCAACACACCTTCGAAACGCGGAATTGCCGCGGTATCCTTGCAACCGCACGTCGGCGCGAAGGACGAGAGGCGCGTATCGATTATTCCCGTTGCGTCGACAGAAAAGCGCGAAACAAGGGGAAAATGGCGAAGTATCGTGATGTTCTGCAATCTAAATAAAGACCCGGCCATCGAGATTTCTCTGTTTCAACCGAATATCGTCGTCACGCCCGTTACATCCTCTCATTCTCTCGAGATCGTATCAGGATCGTTCTGGAATTTTCGTCCCCGTGACTGCGTTTACACGGCGACCTAAAACCGATTCAGCGACAATCATAACAATAATAATTTAATAATTCTCTCTCTTTCTCTGCCTCTCCTTCCTCTCACCCTCGTTCTTTCACCCGATGTCGCAATTATCAATGTTACATGTGTTAACTTTGTTGAAAATAAAATTTTTATATTAATTTTGTTGAAAATAACAGAGCATTTTGTTACGAAATTATATATTTATTAAATAAAATAAACTCTTAACAGGGATAACAATGAATACAACCGTGAATTTTTAATGTAAACACTGACATTATTTGTCAGAAAATACAATCTATCTTAAGTATCTGTGTGAGAGTCGTGAATATTTATCAGAAAGAATCGATTTATCGAATAACTACTTCGATATAAAAATCTCAAAAAAGAGGTCGCATTATCAGCACTCCAGTTTCACAATCCGATTAACTTAATCCGCTGATTATTCCATTGGAATTGACCAACAACATATTTGTCGTTAAGTAGAATTGACCAAACAATCGCGATTGATTGCCGTGCACAATGCTTTAAAAACGCTTCGAAATGCTCGTAAGTACAAATGCGTTATAACAAATGTCGGCTATTCTCTATTGACTTTTTTTTCGTATAACAGTTACATCGTGAAAAATCGTCAAATCGATTTCGGCTACCTTGCAAACGTAGTTGATACGTTACGGCAGTACGCTTGATGGTTCTTCCTCCGGTAAAGATTTTTCCGGATAATTTTCGCCCGCTGTCTGAGAAGGGCCTGACACCTTTCCAGGTCACGACGTGTCAAGTTCGAGCTTTCGCCTTGCCCAGCGGGAAACACGACGCGTTGGATCGATCGACCGCTCACGTACATGAGTCACATGCAATTGGACACGACAAGCGAAATTGCCACCTACGGCGACACGCGAAAACGTCTCTTCCCGGAGAAGCTCGCCCTTTTCCCGGCGTGGGTGTTTCGCGAATCGATGTGGTTGCGCGGTCTCTCGCCGCGCATATTCCTTGACACGCGCGTCTCGCCGGCTGTGGCTCGCTGCTGCATTGCGATTCGCGAAATTGCCCCGCGAAATTGCTCGAAGCTGCCGACTTCCTCACGGCACGGCTTTTGACCCGTTTCTTTTTTTCTACCCGTTCTATCTATTTTATGCCCGTTTCTCGCTCACTCTCACGCACGCGCGGTCTGCCATATGCGAGGAAATATGACGAGTATTTTTCAGAAGATTGTCTGTCTTCTCCATTTGTTTTCTAGCCAGTGAGTCACAGCGTGTTATATACGTTCCTCTTTTATTCAGGCTTGCTTCAATATGAAAAAAAAAACATGTCCGAGAGTCGTGCTTCACTCGCGCTGTTTCAAAATGTACAATGTGAGTGCTCGTGAATATTAAACGGGTGTTTCGTATCCGTAGCTGCGATGTACGTTTGTACGTCTCAAATTTGTACAGCACTGCGCATGTTTGCTGCTACTCGAAAAGATTCAACAGTACGACGATATCCCCGTTCGGGTGTGACAATCGAACGCAATCCGCTGTAACCGCTCGTTATTACAGAAAAATATCCTTTCCCGACCTAAAAGCGGGATCACGTTCAGCAGAATGCAGGCTTTCACTAGTCGATCTAACAGTTTCGCGGGCTAAAAACGGTGAAATATTTTCTCAAGAACACGCGTGTGTATACGAGGTAAACGATAGCAGGTCTCGCGTGGGAAAGCTCTTCCATGTCGTCGTGCTCGACAGGTCGAGCGTCATGTCTCCGTAATTAACGCTAATCAGCCGAATTACCTACGATCGCCTGTTTTATAATCATCACTATGACCTAAATAAAAAAAAAAGAGAGAAAGATAAAAATCAATGTAATCAGAGTAAGTGCGCGCAGAAGCGTCTTTCAGAGTCTCGTTCGCGGCCCTTCGACGAAAATCAAACGGAAACTGTCGCGTTTCGGTTGAAGATCCGTTTTTCCGCGCCAGCTGTTTGGCGGTGAGGCGTAATGTCGCCGTGGTAAAATCGATCGCGCGCCCGCCCGCCGCGCGTGACCGAAATGTCCGAGCGAATTTTCCGCGGCACAGAAGCTCGCGGGAGTCAACATTACGGCGACCACTGGTCTATTTCCATATATATGCATATATAACCTCTTGTATCGGAAATTGGCTCGGGTTACGTGTCGTCGCCAGCTATCGTGTCTCACGGAATCGAACGCGATAAACGCGGACGCGACACAAATGTCCGCGGACCGATCGATTTCTCGCTCGGCCACCGGGGATGCGGGCGGGGATGACGGACGTCGGGTCGTCGTGATAACTGCATTTTTTTTGCGAGTTATCAGACCCCCGGTGTGCGACTCGCGCGTTCACTGCGCGTCAGCCTCGGACGAGGAGTGCCGAGACGGCGAGTAGCGGATCGACGAAAACACCGGCTGCAAAACATCCGCAGCCGACCCCGACCATCCTCTCCGGTCAAATGGCGACATGTTACTCACACGCGCGTGGAATAATTAGAAACTCGAGAAGGAACGAGCGAGGAACCGCGGGGAAGAGAACGTGGCCGAACGCGTGATCGGCTCGTGAGAACCGTGAAAAATCCCGGGATAAACGGGCGAATGCGGCGTGCAAAATCCGCAGGCTACTTACCAAGTGTACAGTGAGTGGGTAACAACACAACTGAAAGAAGTTACGGGGAAGCACCGCGTATATACCGGCCCGGCTGGCCAATGGCGGAAGTTCAAAGTCTGCACCAGCCAATGAATAGGCCGGCCGTGGCGTCATCCTCGGCCAAGGAAAGCTGAGCTTGCGAGCAAAATCGATAGTTTCGCGAAGCGAGCCGGGGCAGGGGTGGCGCGCACTCTCCAGCCCGCACCCTTTCCTCGCGAGAGTAACGCGAGGGTGTCATGATACCCTTCACCGTGGAATGCCTGCTCGTGAGCCAGCGGGATCTCCCATTGTGGGACCGCTGACGGATGAATAAAAGAAAAAAGGAGAAGTAAGGGCGGAAACGGTCCGGTCGATTTTCACGGCGCAATTTTCACGACTGAAACGCCACTAAAGCCGGTATTCACAGGCGGATCTTGCATTTAAAATCGTCTTAAGGTCGTCTTCTTCAGCCGCTGTATACGGGTCGTTTCATTGACCACAACGTATCTGAAGATGACTTAAGCTAGCTGGTCCGTGAAAGAAATTTCTTAGAAATCCTTTTCGATTTCAGCCGTATATTGATGGAAATGCTGTCCGCATGTCTGGTTAGAAAACGATTGGGAAGGGGAGAGACTATTCGGAAGCTGAGATATTGGCAACTAAAGGCGAAACTATTTATATTATTCCTTCAGGTTTCATTTTTATTTTCAATCTCTTCTAAACCACATTAATGAAAAAACTATGTGTGATATTAGGGACTAATATAGACGTTGTACAAAAATTTCGGAGTTATTGACCGTTTTGTCGTGAAAATATATAGCCTGGGGGGAATTAAATTTACAGCAATTCCCCGCGCGATACATGTACATATACATTTAAGTATATATTTAAATACCACCTTCTATTATGCGTACATCTCTATTAACTCAATTGATGTATAAATAAAGCATTAATAATAAAAATAAACATTTTAAATAATTATAAATAATTTCCGTGTCTATAATATTGCAGATATATTCATCTTAATTAGCCCAAAATTAACATTCATTACTTAGTTAAATCAAGTTACAGTAGTAGGAAAGTATGTTTTTTTCCAGTAAATAATAAACTTATGTAGGAGCCTCTTATAATATCGCCACTGAGGATCCGACGCTGATCCGAATCAACTACCTCAAGATGGTTTTGAAAAATAAAAGATCTAACTATGAGTGCAAACCTAAGACATGACTGCGAATCGTCCGTCAATCGCAGACGTCGGATCGCATTATCTATTCGCTGTTTTGCGCGTTTCCGATCGTCGCCTGACGTCGGTTCGCGACCGAGGCAGATTTATTTGCATTAAGTGCTAACGCGCCTCTCGTGACATCAGCCGCTTGCATTTCGAAGGCTTGAAAAGAGGCAGAAGGATACACAGTCCCTGGCCGCCACAATTTGCCGATGGCATTGCATAATATAAGTGCTTGCGTAACGACTTTAATTTTAGTTTCGAGAGATAAGAATTATACACGCAACTTCTTTCCGCTGTGGCATTCGATTTATTGTCTTCTTCTTTACTTCTGTCTCACATTCGCTCACGTTTCTCCGCGATTTTCTCGTCCTCTGTTTTTAATCAACTTCGATAAACTCGTTCTGTGTGTCACGGAAGGATTATAAACCTCCGATAAGAAAAAAGGAAGCGTTATATAAGTTCGGAATATTGCGCGATCATGCGTAATTTGTTAATTGGCTCATTATGCGCGGTGTTGGTCGTTAAGAGGCCGTTAAGAAGTAAGGATCGATCGTGGATCACGTATGAGACGTTTTCTATTCGAGAATCACTCGCGAATCGCGAATCTGGCTAGTCGGATTTTGCAGTACGCAATATATAAGAGCACTCTTGTACTTTGACTTTGCTGTGTATCACTCATCGTGAATAACGTCCTTTCCCCGCTGAATCATATACACGGAAAACTTTGAGCTTTCATATATATGTATATGTATATAGAAAAAAACTCTGGATATATGGAATGTAATTTCGACAGCCCTCGAGACGAAAGGGGATCTCGACTGCGATGGTATTGCAGGAATCTACCAGCGTCGTCGATAAAATTTCGCCGATGATGACTGAGGCGGCCCTCTATGAACGTATCAGCATGTCAATCGAGTCGCGTCGTATTGATAACGCAGCAATTCCTAATACGAATGCTGAAGGTTTAACCGTGCCGTTTCGACTGTATAAATAAGTTTGTGTGATATGTGGTAAATAAACTGCGCAACGACAGCGTAACAACAGTGTCGTTAACAATTACAGAATTAACAGAGTTAATAATTACATATAAACAAAGGGTGTCCCGATTTTATAAACCCATTATTTTAGAGAGCAAGTAAAGGGCTTAAATGAAAGGTCCAGATTCTCTGATCCGTTATCTTTGCAAATTACTTCAGTTTCTGCTACGAGCCGCCATTTTCATTATCGAAGAATCGTGGCACGACTTAGCGGACGATCTCACGTTTAAAAATAGTATTACTCAAAGGCGATCAAATATATATTGTTATTATTATTATATCCTGGGGATAGATAGAATTTAATTGTAGCTTCAGCAAAATTTACGCTATCGGGATAGTTTAAAATGCATTTTGTAGTTTGTTATCTGTAGTTTTTAACCGATTAATATCATCATTTTTGCAGCCGTTTCCTCTAAGACAATTAATCTAGTAAGAGCGCGACCGATATAACTTGAAACCGACTCGACTTGAGAACACTTACGTAGAATTATGTAGAATATGTGGATGTTCATCACACATATATGATTTAACCTTAAATAGATAACCAAAATTTCACAGCATATTTCTAACATATCTAATGTTCTTTCTGTTCATATCTAACCTTCAGTGTCATTAAAAATAGTCCGAAGGCTAACTAATACCTGATACATGTAAGAAATAAGTAAGATTTTTAATGAGAAATTGATTAATAACAGTAAGGCGAAGGTCGGTTATGTAAATGTATGGAGTATGCAGTTTCGTTAACAAGAATATCCGACATTTAATTTTTCTTTATTTCCACCGCACCTGTTTTATATTTATCGCAACTAAAAAACATAATATCCTCTCTGCAAGATAACATTCGATTTGAATTAAATAAGAGCTTTACGAGCGCAATTTAGTAAAAACCATATTATGTATCTCACGTCATACGAAGTAAGGTCAGTTATTCTCAGAAATTGCGCGCGATAATAGCAAACAATTACACATAGGTACGATATGATTAGGTTCATGAGACGAGTAAATTGCTCCAATTTAAGTTCATTATCAGAATATATTGTTGTAAGTGTTTCCAATATATTCTACAAAGAGGTCTTCCACTTTTCACGCAACAGCTCTTACCGAAATGCAGATGTTACGAAGATGCTCATAAGAGGGTGAGGATCAAGCGTGCGACAATATCTTCCTGCTCAGGGAGACTCGGGACGGCTGCTGCTGCATGTTCAATCACGCTAAACATAACGGTGAAAAGGAATCAATTTATGTTAAGAAAATATTGCATTGCGATGTGTTGTCGCATGCGTATATCGTATCGCGTTGTAATATCTCACAAGATGAGATGAGCCAAGTGGACCGCAACGCACGGAAACTTTATTAAATACTTTGCCGCATCGGCGAAGAAAAAACAGGTTGTGTCCTATTTATATACTTTTTAACGTAATTAATTACTGTAGTTAATTACCAAACATACTTCATGTAGGAATGTTTCCGATATGTCGTTTTCATTACTTTATTGTGGCCATTAATATGTCGCACCATGCCGTAAGCAGAAAGAAATCATAATCTAAATTATACACGCAAATGGCGCGTATAATATAAAAATTGTATATTGTATGTAAAAATGTTATATAATAAATTATGGAACATCAAAGTAACTTAGATATAACATTTCATATACAGCACAAAAACTAATGTTAACGTTGTTGTAATGTTACAGCAAGCTTCTGTGTTCTGCGGGTTATATAATATGTTATATTCATATTATGTTGTTTTATTATAACAAACAAATAATAAAAAAACGTAAAAGTTGTATTATAAATATGAAATAAGATATATAACATTAACACAAGTAAAATATAACATTTAATATAGAACACGTTATTCTTATGTAATATAATAGTTATATGTTTGCTGGTTTTCATGATTGCCATTTAAAATATTTGCACAATTTTCAAGAGACACGTGCTGCGTTTATGAAAAAATAATGTAAAACTAATCTGAAAAACAAATTTAGTATGGTAAATACATTCTGGTAATAAATTCGTACAAGGAGGATGTGTGAAAAATATATAATCTAAAAAAAATATTATATCGAGATTAAATATATAATGATATATATTACGATTGCTTGAGTATGGACATAAAAGTATCTTGCTGGTTGCAGCGAACTAGCAGTTTGAGTTTGTGAATTCGTCCCATCGCTTCTAATTATTAATTACGAATTTATAGGTCTATACTCACATATTAACAACGGAAATATATTCAAAGGAGTGACATTTTGATAGCTTGATGTTGCGTATGTTTCAGTAATGAGGGTTATTCGTTTATGTATAATGCATATAATTGTGTCACATATTTCTAATTACAATTGCAGCTTCATGCAATTGCTAATATGTTTGCTCTATCCGTTTTACTTAAATCTTCAAACGACCTATCTATGGTAATTATTAATAATAATTTTTGTAATTTGTAATTTATGACATATGTCACTTCCGCATCACTTTGAATACATTTCTATTTCTGAACAAATCAACAATTATATGAGAAATGCGAAGCTAGAAACGATTGAGACTGGTAAGAAGTGTTCAGTAGTTATCAACCTAAATAAATGATATGGCAACCGACTGTATTGAATATTGCAATCAGGCGACAGATATGCGGTAGAACCTCCATATAAAACCTCTTCTCGGAAGGAGGAGGGTATAAAATAGTTGTATATATAGTTAATCGTACGAACATTTAAACATGTACTTGTGTCATCTGAACATACGGAGATTTGATAGCTGTTGTAAAAGAGGAATCTCGATATGTACCCAGTGATGCGTATTTGAAAGAATACCCCACCCCCACCACACTGATCATTGCCGACACTAATTATGCATAATATATCCGTATAGCTAAGCTAAATTCGCTGGAATTCATGTGGCTTCGGAAAATGAAGACGCAAAAAGATAAGTAAATATTCATACAATCAGCTATACATACAGCCCAGGCTTCAAAAAATATATCAAAATCGATTGTTATTCCCAAAATTCCGCTATAAGAGTTTTACTCGGAGCAATCAAACTTCAGATACATACGTATCAGTTGTGCTTCAAGTCGCAATTAATATTTGAAACGGCCTCGTTATAGAGAGATGGGAAAGAAAATTATCGCGCAAAAAAGCACACATGGCACACGTGGCACACGTAGTATAAATAACTGCGCATTGGAAAAAATCGTACCCCGTTAAAGGTGAGAATTGATTTTCTTGTTATATGTTAATTCAGAAATTATTATAAAATCTATGTGAATGTCCTCTTATGTGCGTAATAACTCTACATACACTTACGTATATACACGTAAATACACTCATTATACATGTAAATATAATATTACCTTTTATATAATATGCACAAGCATTATGGTAGTAGAGAAAAATATTCACCGGAGGAAAAGAGAAAACCAAATGCAAATAAATACGTCTTTCCTATTTGAATTATTTAAGCATTAATTATTTATTCATATTGTATTAAGAAACGTGCAGCACGATGGAATGAAATATTAATTCGGCACATGAGAACATAACGAATGCAAATATATTCCATTCGCAATAGTTCATGCGAAATGGGTGTGTAAGAAAAACATTTAATTACATCAAGTGAACTACTGGCATTTATAATTATTATCGCTACAATATAAAAGAGAGCCGCTGGTTGTACTGAACAGTAGTTCATAAATTCGTACCGTGGCTTCTAGTTAACCATTACAAATTTGTAAGGTACTGATATACCTTAAGAGCAGAGAATTTCTGAGGTAAACGTTGGCGGAGGACGGGATATGTGAGACTGTCGTAAATTAATCGGAGAAAAAAATAGATTCATTATTATTAACTATAGCTTGCGAATTTTACAAGATAATTAAGCATTGATCGATCGTTCCGAACATTTACAATCAACGGGTGCAACTGAACGCTCCCTGATCACACAAAATTAAATGTTAAAACACTTGATGGTAGAGAAAGTTGTGACATAATAAAACCACGAGACATAATGAGATTTAGTCAAAGTAACAGAACAGTGGCACTCATGTACACGCAATCATTTTAAGAATATGGTTAGAACGACGAAATAAAGAAATTCAAATTTCTGCTGAATTATTCTTCGAATCGGTTTTTACAACTATACGTTAAACGTCAGCGAATACAAACAGTCCAACATGAACCATTATGGGAACAACGTCATGGTTCAGAAAACGCCGATACAAACGTTCTACGCGGGCCAGTCGATCTTCATTACAGGTATTTACTGTGCAAATACAATATGATCATAAGTGAAATGATGAGCAATAATTTCTATATCATTGACGAATATAATAAATCAGGAGGAACAGGTTTCCTTGGGAAGATTTTGATCGAAAAATTGTTGCGAAGTTGTCCCGACATCTCTAAGATATACCTGTTAATACGGTCGAAGAAAGGCAAGAACATCGTAACTCGACTGAACGAAATATTCGAATATCCCGTGAGCATAAATAATACATAATAATGTAGATATTTTTACAACATTGTCGCGGGATACTTATATATCGGTATGACGGAATCGTAGATATTCAACCACGTAGGAGAGAAGATGCCTAACTTTCGTGATAAGATCGTGCCGATAACCGGTGAATTGAACGAAATAGACCTAGGATTCACAAAGAGTGACAAAGACCTACTAATACGCGAGGTGAGCGAATTGCTACTCTGAATTTAATCGTGAAATTCCCACAATAAAAATTTTATTGTACATCGTAACAATTACGTATCCAGTAAACACCAACGAACAATAACATAACATCGATGTTATAATTTCTCAGTCAACAATGTAAGTACAATATAATACGTATTTTATGTAACAGTTACATTTTTGAATGGGAAATTATAACATTGATGTTACGTTATACGATGATAAGCGTTTACTGGATATGATTCATGCAAGTCTGACTGTTTGTCATCTTCGAAATTGTGAAGACCATATTTATATTTCACTACAGATATCAATAGTATTCCATTTGGCGGCGAGTGTACGCTTCAATAACGACATCAAAGTCGCTACAATAATAAATGTAATTGGCACGCGTGCTATGTTGGACTTGGCCAAATGTATGCCGAACTTAAAGGTTCGTTAGCCCGATGAACACACATTCATTATTACAATCTATAATAACTTATTATAATCTAATATTCTAATTCATTATAGTTTATTATTATTCAGTTTATTATAATTTATTAATATTTAATTAGATATTGATATTTCTTTTGTAGTCGTTCATACACGTATCAACTGTATTTACAAATTGTCATATAAAACATATAGAAGAAAGATTCTACGAGTATGTTATTAATCCTGAAAAACTTATTACACTGATACGAACATCGACCGAAAATACGATTAACGAGACTCTAGCGAGGTATATATTCATATTATTTTACAAGACTAATATGTACGTAGAGTAAAAAACTTGAATTAAAGATGTTTTACAGAGTGGCACCACAGGGGCACAACACTTACACGTTTACAAAAGCGATAGCGGAAATAGTTGTTAGGGATAACAGTGGGAATTTACCAATCGGAATATTTCGACCAGCTGTAGGTAAGAAATCAGTCATAGCTATAATTTCAAAAAGTTGTCAGAAATTTGACAACCTGTCGACCCGAAAGCATTTGGAACTCTATTAGTCTTCCAACGTCGAAATTAGGAGGACTATAATTTGCAATTAGCATTCTCACAGAATTTTGTCATTTTTTGCACTCATTTTTAAATCCTTACAAAATCCTCTAAATATGTTGGCCTTCCTTCCTTTTTAGTTATAAATGCCGCTCACGAACCGCTTGCGGGATGGGTGGACAATTATCACACAATGATGGGATTTCTAGCACCTTTTTCCAAAGGTCTACTGAGATTTATAAGATGCGATAATAAGAATAAAATACATTTTATGCCAGTCGATATAACCGTAAATGCTCTAATTGCCAGTGCGTGGGACGTATTCAATCAGCCAAAAAGGTATGATGAACATTTCATTTTTTACGAACATTTCAGACACTTTTCCCGTATAAACTCGCTCATGAATTTCTAATTTCGTCTAAATATCCATATATAAATCTCGCCTCTCACATTTCAGCGCTGAGATAAAATGTATTTTCTTTTTTTCTTTGACCCGTTGTACAGTTGGATTTTCATATATATATTTGCACTGTAAATAGTTCTAACGTCTCATCTTGTTTCATGCTTAATTGCAGGAGAGGCGACAAAATGTTAATTTATAATAGTGTGTCGATGAACAACACGCCTTTGAAGCTGAGCGAATTGTACTCTTACGCAGAAATAGCCTGTGAAAAATACCCGGCGAACGGCTGCTACTGGCTACCGACTCTCACGTTAATCAAAAATAAATTTATATACACAGTATGCATTTGGTTCTGCCATCTGTTACCCGCTTTAATCATCGATATCTTTGCAAAATTTATAGGCGCTCGACAAAGGTATACGAAGTTCTACCATGTCTATGAAAATAATACTCGTGTTAACGTTATTTCACCTGTTTCAGTTTATGGAAATTGTACGGAAAAATTCACGATTTTTGCAAGTTAGTCGAATTTTTTATTGTCAATGAGTGGAGCTTTGATAACAGTAACATTCGTGCAATGTGGCAAAACATGAATAAAAGTGATCAGCTCTTATACAATTTCAATATGAAAAGTTTCGACTGGTTGAAATATAGTGAAAATGTTATTAAAGGCATGCAGCTATACTTGTTTAAGGATGATTTCAGTACTTTGGAGGTTAGCCGTGACAAATGGAAAAGGTGCGATTCTTTTTAATTCAATGATATAATACACGTTTGCATGAGATACGAATGATGTAAATGGTCATTCAAATTCTGAAATTTTGCTTTAATGTTTAATACGATATCATGAATTTCAGATTGTATTGGATACACCACACGACAAAGTTAACATTCATATTCATCGTCGGTATGTTCCTCTGGAAGCTATTAACAATTACGTTCTTGTAGCTTGCACACCTTTTCCATGTAATTATTTTACTTACACAAAATACTACAATCGCGCGTTACATCGTTTCTATGTAATGTTGTGCAATATTTATTGGAAAATACTATGATTTTGGGCAAAACAGTGTCATGACGGTCACTTAAGCGGAAACTCTCGTAAATCTGATAAAAAAATTTTAGGTTCGGGAACCGTTTAATGGACACCTTGGACAGATGTTCACTATAATATAGACTAGTGCAAAACATTTCATAAAAATATTTATCAGAGAGAAAAAAAGCAACATGATTTGATCGAGATTATTTCGACCTTGGAGTAATGTTGGTCAGCGATGTTTACAGTATGTCTGTATAAAATCAGAGAAGACACACATTTCACTGAAAATATTTATTAAAGAAGAAACATGATAAATATTTGACATATCTCGAAAAAATAGATAATTGTTTATTGATTTGCCATCTCAATAGTACCTATCAAGGCTATTCCAATCAATGCAATATTTGTGCGCCCAAACTCTGCAAAATGTACATCGAAAGCACATTTCGACATTTATTCCAAATTCTCCACGAAGAGAACTCTTAATCCTGGTCACCCCAGCACCGACTGGCCGACAATGCTCAAATTATATGTTTCCACAAATAGATTAATCACGTTATAACAATCCATTAATTCAGAAAACTAATATTCTTACTGCATATTAAAAGATTTTAGTGATATTGTAGAAAATAGTGTAATATTTTTGCATGAATTAGTATGAATAAATATAATTTAGTATGAATAAATGACTACCGCATGACTACCTTTTCAACAGCGATCCTTTTATCACAAAACGACGAGACAAACATTTCGCAATAGTCGAGCCGTGAACATTGCTAATATAACGGTGTTTCGTTTGATGATTCCTCCGTTCCTCCACAGCGGACGGAAACTTACAAAATTCAATTCGTACCGACCACAGCCGAAATATTTACATATGTCAAGGTCGAAATTATCCTAGAAAGATAAGTTAATATTAAAGTAATATGGAATTTTACTATGTACTCATTATATCAGCATTATCTCAGTTAATTGCGTCAAAAAATGTTTTACATATATAATGTTTATTTAGAAGTTTTTTTAGAAATATTTGGAACCATTTCACAAGAATTTCATGAAAATTTAAGGCTAGATATTTTCAAAAATATATCCACATGTAACGATTGGCCAACTAATAATTACGACGCATTATCTATTTTACATATAGTCTTAACCGTTACCCGATAAATATTTCATTCCCATTTTGCTCCGCTATAAGAGTTTTTTTCAGTGCAATTAAACTTCAGACATACAGCACTCGCGCTTCGAGATGTAATTAATATTTAAAACAATCTCGTTGTAGAAAAACGAAAAAAAAAACTATCGCACAAAAAGTCACACGTGGCGTAGTAACGCGTATTCCAAGTCGCACTGGGTTAAAGGTGGGAATTGGTTTTTTTGGTAGATGTTAATTCGGAAATTATTATAAAACCTATGTGTGTGTCCTCCTTTGTGTGTATAACTTTAATTCTATATACATTTATGTACACACTCTGTAAATATAATATTAACTCTTATATAATATGCACAAACATTATGGTGGTACAGAAAAATATTTACCGGAAGAAAAGGCAAATCCAAATGTAAATAAACATATGTTTTTCCTGTTTGAATTGTTTAAACATTAATTATTTGCTCACACTGTTCTAAGAAACATGTGCAGCCTTTATAATGGAATGAAATATTAATCCGAAAAATAAACTTAACAATGTAAATACATTCTATTTGTAATAGTTCATGCAAAACGGATGTGTAAAAAACATATGTAATTACATAAAATGTACTACTGCATTTATAATTATTATCGTTACGATATAAAAATAACCCGCTGATTGTACTGAACCAGCAGTTTATAAATTCGTTCCATAGCTTCTAGTTAATCATTGCAAATTTATAAGGTACTGATATACCTTAAGAGCAGATGGTTTCTAAACATTGGCCGAGGACAGAATATTTACTGTTTTTATGGAAATAACACTCGTGTTAATGTTATGTCAACTGTTTCAGAGTATGGAAATTTTATGAGAAAATTCAGATCCTGAATCAGACATTTTTTAGCAGTTTTACGAAAGTTTCCTAAGATGACCTCATTTTTACTCTATTTATGGAACCATTTGTTTCATCGTTCGTGATTAAACTAATATGCCAGTACACGATAACCAACATTTATTATAAACCAAACGACACAAATTCTATGTATATTAATTATCTTTATATTCATCTGGAAACTATTTGTAAATATATTCTAATAGCTTGTTCATCTTTCGAATGTAATTGTAATGTTAATAAGAAATTATAAACACACATTATATAATCATCGCGCGATGTGTTAATCAATATATTTATCTAAAAATATTATTTTTGGATAAATTAATTATTAATTTGTGGTAATATAAATTATCATTAATTTATGAGAAATATACGATATCTCAAGGAAGAGAAGTAAAAAATTCGGAATCTTTTGTCCATACGCAAAATCCGATATTTAAGTCAACTAGTATGTAAAATGTATTGATTTTATATGTATTTTTGTATCCGGTTGTTTTTCTTTTTTTGTACCAACTGTTTTTGTGGGTTAAAAACGGTGAAATATTTTTAAGGATTAATGTAAGAAATATATGTAAATATGAACATGCTAACCTTTTATTATAACTCCATGGTCTTAATCTCTGATCCTCCTTGATCCAAACTGGTTCCTTCGATACGACATCTACGTCTACCGAAATTGCACTCCTCCGGAAACCGCATCCACCGTGTAGCCGCAAAATCGGGCAATCTGAAACAAAAGGCAAATTTCCTGATCAGCTGTATAAATAAATGTGAATATATTAAGAACGTGAAGACTACATATTTCTCTCTTCTGACTGATAAAAATAAAAAGTGATAGTTACCCTTGAGACTTCAGGACACCGCCACTACTCGGGACGATCCTTCAGGCACGATGATCGCGCGTGTAATGTAACGTTTCCTGCGTCATTATATCAAAATGTCATATATAATTTCATAATAATTAACATTTGCTCGACGTTCAATCTGTCAGATCGAGCAACTTCTGCGTGTTGTGAAAACAGTCGCAAATCCGAAACAGTAACTCTGTGTCAAATTTCGTTCAATTTTGCAATCGACCGGTGATAAGAAGCAAAATGACCGCGAAATAAGTTGTGAAACGAGAATCGTGTGCGAGTCGAATAAATCGTCCTGCATTGCGGCGTCGTCTCGGTATCGCTCGTATTAATTGAGAGAATAGTGATTATTCTCGTCCTCACACGGCCCTCATCATGTGTCTCGCCATCGCTATGTACCTCATCACTGGAACGCTCAGCTTAATCCGACGAGTCGTGTCTACGATCGGCGGGTTTCTGTTAACCGTACTGGCTAAGGTAATCCTGTTGGTGGGTCGTACATGGTTAAGAAACAACTCCAGACGCCGAGCTACCAACGAGATTTTGGAATTGTTCACGGATTCTGAGGAGGATTATAACATAAGCGAGGCATCCCTCAAGTCGAAGCATTTTATTTGAAACGCCCCACCGTATAGACAAGTCATTCAAACAGATCCTTATTGTGTAGTACGGTGTCTCATACTAAGAATTAGAAAGAAACAGAATATTAATTAAAATTAGATTCGTTTCTATACTGATATTTACCAGGTAAAGTAAAATGTCCCACCAGAATTTTCCATGAAATAAACGGTCAAAATATCTGTATGCTTGATTTAAAAGTACGTGTACTCATCCGGAGTCGTAGATGAAGAGAAAAGCGACATGGAGGGAAACTGTCTGATTGGCTAGCTGAATTACGTGTTTCAGCGCCATATTGTTTCCATTTATGGATGAATTATCGTTGTAGCTTGCCATTAACTTTTCTGCCAATTCCAATGTACGGCCGTGAACGCCCAAGCTATACTTCACATGTCATTTTTTACTAACCCGTGTACTTTTTTATAATCCATAAGCCAACTTCCGAGAGCAGCTAACCTACTTTGATGTCTCTTTGTTCTTTTTAGCTGCACTGCTGCCATAAGTTAGAACAAAACTAGTATATTTTGTATCGCTCAAATTTGTCGCGCCAGTTCAGCAGTGTAGCTAAAAAGAACGGACCACTACTGTTATACAGAGAAATAAGATGGCCGCTTTCGATATATCGCAACTGTTGCTTCTCTATTTATCTAGGACTCTATTCTTATCTACTGAAAGATAATAATTTGAATGCCAGTCGCTAAATAATACATAGTAGAGATTACTTTTTATATAACAATATATGAGTTATAATATTATATAATTAATACTTTTAATAATTCAAAATATTCATCTGTGTGTGCGTGTGATTACGTAAAATATAATCAGACGATAAAAAGTCGAAGGATAGATGTAATACTCTTAACTGTTTAACTAGACGATAAAAAGTCGAAGGATAGATGTAATACTCTTAACTGTTTAACTTTTTTTAACAGTTTGGATACTATTCACAAAAATAGTTATATATAACTATTGTATTTTTCACGTGTATAAATCCAATATAAACTTTTACAATATACATTTCAATATAAATATCATAAGCAATCTTAACTGAGATATAATTGGACGGAATACGTTATATATTGTATGAGAAATACTTGCGGTAAGTAAAAAAAAATATACTTACTATAGATCTAATAATTTGTCTTACACATGGATACAATAAATTCTCAAATATCTGTCACTAAAATCTACTATTAAGAGCTATCGCACAGTGATGAATAAAAAATCATATATCTTATACTAGTGTCGATTAATCTGTCCCTTAAAAATACCTTTAAAGAAGATGTAATATCAATTGATCTCCTTCTTGCAAGATCTCGGAAAGAGCAGTGCAACTACTCTGTCATGTGTAACTATATAACTTTTTTTTTATCAAGTTCAAGTTCGTTATGTGTGTTAGTTTAAATATATGGTCATCTTATATCATTGCTTAGCTGAAAGAACTGCTTTGATTGCTTCGCCGTCTTGTCTTAACGTGTAAGACGCGAGGAAAAATTTGTATATATAAAATATAATATCATATGTATGTGCACATGTAATTAATTAACAGGCATAGTGGATACCGCACTATGAGGGGTTGTTGGTCGAGATCCAGCGATAGAATGTGTTGTTGATGCATTCAGAGATTGCATTGTACCAATCTGAAATAAAATATAATACGTTAAACGTCTCAATAGCAAGACAACCTTGGTTTGTGTTATGCGTGCAATGATTACAATATATTAATACAATTCTTTTTAAAACGAAACAAATATATCATACCCGCAGATGAGCCAGATCTTCTAATCTTGTTAAATCACACAGCTCAAGATATAAAGAATATACAATGAGCCAACCGTATATAGAAACACAGACAAATATTATCCACAGAAGGCATATCAAAATATTGTAGGCAAATATCATATCGTTCACAATACTGAAGAATAAAAAGGCGAACAATCGAAAACTAGTGAATATGGCGAAACTGTACAACCAAGGCACCATTTTTTTCTCATGTTCTTTTCGCAGAGCCTTGATCAATATCATAGAAGTCACAAAGACGACTATTCCACCCAACAAAGAGAACAATGCAAAAACAATCAGTGCATTTCGAACTGGAAAAAAAAACAAATTAATGTATAGTTTTGTAATTTCATTAACTTTTATGATCGATTTCATTATAAAATAAACTTACTATGTTGATTGCCCACATACACAAATTCATATGATATGATGTAATACCCATAATGAGTAGAGCCAGGTGCAGCTTGTGATAGGCAATAGATATCAAAAATAGCTGTACATATCGTAAAAAAGGCCAGACACTGAAAAGACATTTATCTTGTAACATAATATAACGAAGAAAAAAATATAAGAGTGAATTTTATCAAATGCTTACCAATGAGAATATAGCGGTGAACATAGCACCTCTTTGAATATCCAGTACATAAGCATGTGTGACTATTGGTTTTTGATACCATGGAATTTTCACACTGCGCGCGGATCTTGATGACCTCAAATTCGCACTGCTGCGAGTAGTAGTTACATGGGAATATACAGATGGTGTTCCCATGCTGGGTGACTTCTTTCCGTAATGCATCTTGATCTGATGTCGAGGGAAATCAATCTCAAATATCAAATAAAGTAAAAAACAATATGTGTTAACAATTTTACTTATACTTACGAATTATGAAGTCCTTGAATAGTTAATGAACTGTGTATATTCCTTATATGTTGCAAAATGTTTAATATGTATTTAACAACATATATTTTGTCTAGAAGACATAATGTAAACAACAAAGTGATAAATAATACAGTTGTTTAATAAAACTGCCAAATGTTCAAGCTAGCTTCTGTATGAGTTTAGTTTCTCAAATTAATGATCACATCACTCCAACAACTGTAAAAACATCGATACAATAGTGTGGCATGAAGTTAATAGCAAACCTATGCAAGTGCTATAAATGATTCATAGCATAGATCTTTCGTTATGTTTAAAATGTTTACGCTGTAACAGAAGGGATACTTACAAACTACATGTATGTTGTATTCACCTACTGCATTTGTACAACAAAGTATGTATACAAAATATGTAAAAGGTCTCGCATGTTAATTTACTCGCGGTGGACACGCCTTGTCAAACATTCTAAACACTAGCCACTCGCTTGTGTGTAATAATTTCTGGGCAGTGTTCTGGAAAACTCAGTGCTGCCAATAGCGTATATGAAATTACACTAGTAAATTGATTCCTCCCGCTCCCTAGTAAAATGGAAATCATAGCGCGACTCAACGACCAATCAAACGGTCTCTTACCTTTGACGTAGTAAGATTCAACATCAAGATCAACCAATCATTTATCTTCAAATTCCTTTCAAAACCAGTTCGAATTTTGAATAAAATATATAGAGCAACGTTAATATTTTAAGGTACATCGCATTACAAAACAAATTAATCTTTCTACACTTTTCAAAATGAAAAGTAGGATCTTGGAAATGTGGTATATTGTAGTTTCACAGAGAAAAATATCGAATTTTATTCATAAAATTATTCTCAGTCTTCATAATATTCTTTTTTACCTTTAACACTTTTGATACGTTGTTTTACTTATACTGACAATGCACATCTGAAACCTAAATTTCCAGCAGATGTGTCGGGTGTATTTTGACTGCGTGCAGCACATCTGTATCGGTGGCAATAATTTATATGACAAAGATAGGAGCCACCTTTTTTGACTTTATCGGTACCGCTGGATGGGCCAGTCTGAAAATATATTTAATAAGTACTTCATTATACAATATATTATACAACACTTATTTTATTGTACTATATATTTAACACAGGTCTCAATATTAAGTAAATACCTACAGGATTTGTCTGCTTATCGCGAGAGTAATTTGTCATCCACCAATCAGATGTCCATTCCCAAACGTTTCCAACGATATTGTGCAGGCCATATTTATTTTGCGGAAACGTTGTAACTGGTGAGGTGCTTTTGTATCCATCTTCTGCGGTGTTTCTTATAGGAAATTCACCTTGCCAAATGTTGACCCTGATGAATTGATGTTAAGCATGTCAAGTTCTTATAAGACCTTACATGCGATATGAACTGCAGAAATATAAAATAAGTCCAACTTACTTGTGCTGATTATTTGGCATTACTTTATTTCCCCATGGATACTGTCTGTCGGAGAGATTGCCACGGCACGCAGCTTCCCATTCTGCCTCGGTCGGCAACCTCTTCCCCAGCCAACTGCAATAAGCAGTCGCGTCGTTCCAGGAGACATGAACAACAGGATGGTCCATCCTGGCTAAATACCTTTTAATTAATTAACTTCTTAACTTATTATAAAAGAGACAACTTGTACGACGAATCATGGTGTGTTTGAAGAATATCACAAATCTGCCTTCTCTCGTATACTTACAAGTAATATTTGAGTCAGGACCTTCCGGGTGTTGCCATGTGGCTCCTTTCACGGGTAACCACCAAGGAGCTTCCGCAACGGCTTGTTTGATCACGTTCTTTGTATCTTGTGACAAAAGACCTTCGAAGACGAAAGAATCTCCAAAACGCTCCGCTTCTGTGATATATCCGGTGGAGCTTGCGAAAGCTGAGAACTCTTCGTTGCTCACCTCGTATTTATCTAGATAAAAACTATCTAACAGTACTTCTCGCTTCGGTCCTTCTCCATCGGCTACGAAAACCGGATCGTTCGTTCCAATGGAATACGCGCCGGCAATGATTTCGACCATCTTTCCCGTTCGCTCATCGTTCGTGCTACCGGTTGTAGCTATTTTAGAATAATCTACGACACAATATTCCTCTTTGCGGGGACTGAAAATATTCAGTCGGTTCAATCGCTTGCCGCAATGACAGCTGTCATCGTTCGTGGCACTCACATACAAGTAGAAGCAGCCGAGAATCGTTAGTACTCTGCAGGAAAGTGTCATTTCTTTTTTTCCTTTTTTGTATCGGAAAATCGAATTTGCAAAGTCGTATCTTGAGCCGCTTGACGACGTACGATCACGATATTTACTTATAGTCATGAATTGAATAAACGTCAAACACGAAAACACAAAAGAGAGGTAACAGCTCGGACGATATTTTCGAATTGACAGCTGGCAGTTTTCTCTTAGGCGCGCCGTGTCGCACTCGTGATTCGCCACACATCAGCCGTAGGATCTATCGCTACTGGCTCTCAGGGTCTCTGAGTCTTCACGCGCGACTTTCGATTGGCCGCCTCGCTTGCACGCTGCGATACAATTTGGAGATTATCTCGCGACCGGTACAACGAACTGTGCACCAAGCATAACTTCGACGAGAAAGGGGCAACGTCAACGTAACCAGCAGTTGCCCGCCACGTACAATTTGCACTGCATGCTCGCTCCGGCGGCGAGACAACGCGGACAGCGCGCGAAGAAACGTCGGTCTCGCGGCTCTACATGACGATCTGCTGAAAATGATGGCCACTAACAAGCACTCCAAGCTGCTGGTCTGCGCGGCCGGTATATTCGTGTGCTACTTCTATTTCGGCATGTTGCAAGAAAAGATAACCCGCGGGCAGTACGGCGACGAGAACAACAGGGAGAAGTTCACGTATATGTTCGCGTTGGTCTTCGTTCAGTGCCTGGTTAATTATGTATTCGCCAAGACCATATTGCTGACGGTGATGAAGCAGGGCGAGGACACCACGTCGACTCTGTATTACTTCCTCTCCGCCTTGACGTATTTGCTCGCTATGGTGTGCAGTAACATGGCACTCAAGTTTGTCAATTATCCGACACAGGTGATCGCGAAGTCCGGCAAGCCCATCCCTGTGATGATACTCGGTGTACTGCTGGGAAAAAAGGTATGAGACCCGGTCGTCTCGATAAGTCGTTTACGTCCCTCGCAATAATCTCTGTAGAGCAACGGCAATTTTCTACCACCCATAATTCTTGCCATTCGATTTGCAGGTGTATCCAGTTAGAAAGTACCTGTTCATCCTTCTGATTGTCGTTGGGGTTGCGCTGTTTATGTATAAAGATGGTGTAGTCGCGAAAAAGCAATCGGAGGAACAATCGTCAGTCGGGGAATTGTTGTTACTGTTATCGTTGATGATGGATGGACTGACGAGTGCGGTGCAAGAGAGAATGAGAGCAGAGCACAAGACAAAATCAGGCCACATGATGCTCAACATGAATATCTGGTCTGTTATATTTAGCGGCGTCGTGATCCTCATTTCCGGAGAACTCTCTGAATTCATTGGTTTCCTTCAGCGATATCCTTATACCATATGGCATATAGGGACGTTTTCCATAGCCGGGGCGTTCGGGCAATACTTTATATTTCTAACGGTGGCTGAATTCGGCCCGTTGCCGTGCTCAATTATAACCACCACCAGAAAATTCTTCACCGTTTTAGGCTCTATATTGATCTTCGGTAATAATCTCACACCTAGACAATGGTTAAGTACGTTTATAGTGTTCTCAGGTCTGTTTCTAGATGCTACATATGGTAAGGATAAAAATAAGAAGGGAACTGCAAATTAGGATATTGTGTAATTACCTCAACATCTGCTTAAGGGACAGAAAAACAGCAGTTTCCTGAATGGTACACATATATACTTCCACTGCGATTAAGATATCGCCTATCTCTCTCTAAAAATAACTTATGATATATTAGGAACATTGAGATTCCTAACAATAGGTCCAAAAGAATAGAAACAATAGTGTTAAATTGATATATTATTCCCACTGGTATTTTTTTTACAAGCAATAAGATTAGGCTCCAATGATCTTTGGGGATGTGTTGCTACATGAGAGATTTTGTATGAACTTTCCTGCAGTTACACGCAGAATTCAATGCAAAGAAGCAATGAAGAATATACACATATATCTGTAAATATGAACATGTTATAACATGTGTTTACATTACTTTTGAATTATTTTCTGGTTTATCCTCTAATATCAGAGCTTGAATAAGAGAAATTTCATGGACTTCCTTCAATATTAAATTATTCTTGTATTTTTTTCTAATATATAATTTATGTTTAAAGTCAGGGACTGACAAGAGCAAAATAAGCAAGATATATACTTGTTATATATTTATATCATGTATGTATAAAACTTGCCAAAACTGTACAAAACGAGATAATGCGATTGCACAAAGAGACAATAGTGTAAACAAGTCCTTCCATTTGTTAGAAAAAATACAATTGTACTCAGTTGAATTCTCTCACTATAGTCTGCTGCCACCTGATACCTTGTTATCTGAGCAATTCACTGTAAGAGTTAATTTATATATATATCAATGATTTTATATTTAATTTGATATATAATATTTATTGTATATCTTATCGATAGATCTTACGTCTGACTTTTACTATGTCACTCTTTCAGCAGCGCTACGTATGAACAATATTTAAATGAAACATTTTCTACACACACACACACACACACACACACACACACACACACACACACACACACACATATGTATATATATATATATGTTATTTGACGAATAAAAATAGTAAACCGCAAGACGATGTTGTGTAAATAAAGCAAGACCTTCTGATAATAAACAGAATTAATCACTTGTACGATAAGCAACGCGAAACTCCACGTTCTTTCGCACGATATATCCGCATGGGCCGGCATATCACGCTCGATGTGACTGCCGATAACCTTGATTTAATGTTAAGGTTGAGGTTAACGTCGTACTTGGCCTACTTTTGCCCGCTGACTGCGCAAGAGAGCGTGGCGAGGGATGCGCTTGCTGGCGGCTCGTAAGGGGTTGGTACGAGTCTGACGAAGAAGAAAAAAACACGCGCGCTATAATTAATCCCGAATCGTTAATCACCGACACGATGTATTCACGCGAAAAAAACACAGGTCTATTCAGCTGCACCGTACACCAGACTTTCTACGGTTCTTCCTTCTTCCTTTCTCTCTCTCTCTCTTTCTCTCACATATATACACATTCTGCATCCGCCTCGCGATAAAGTACACTTAAAAATTGATACACATCCGCAAAACATTGTTTTTTCAGCTGGAAAAACTGTGCCGCGAACTGATCTGCTAAATTGAGAGAGCGATACGACAACAGAAATTTTCCAACGAAAATTGTGATCCAACCAATAAGAACGATGTATACATTTTTTAAAATAATTTCCCTTTGCGTTATGTTACGATAATCACACACGGAATTAACGTTAAGGATAAAGAGGGAAGGAAAGGGAATTTCTCGAGGAGAGGAAGCGCAGAAAGTGCAGCTGGCGAGGGCAGAACTGAACCCTCGGCGGATAACCTCGATTATCTCGATGATCCGTATCGATCGATTGGAGGCCAATCTCGGAGCGGTTCGGAACGAGCTCGTGTTCTCGGAAGTGTCCTCGGTCGCGTCGAGTCGGACGCGTCGCGATTTTGTCTCGCGGATGAGCTCGTCGTGCGTTATGTACCCCGACGCATTCCGGTGGAGACGCACGAGTGCACGACGTGTGTCGCGCGTGCGATGAAGAGCGATGATCACCTGAAGCTCGTCGCTGCGTTTGACTTTTATCGCGGTGAGTGGCTGCCGCTGCGAGAACGAAGTACGCCGTATTCTCGCGCGAAGACGCTCGTTTCTGACTGCGTTGTCTCGCACCTCGACAATACGTTTGAAAATGGAAGGATCGTATTCTCGGGATTCCGGAGGAACAGAGAGCGAGAGAGAGAAACGCGAAGTCGCCCGCAGGTACAGAAAGTGTGCAGCCAGGAAGAAGCGACGGCAGCTTTTCCACGACGAGTAGCAATTTCGACGTTATCGTGGCTCGTTTGTGTAATCATTAACGAGGTGGCGGCCTTCGTCCTCGTTCCTCTTCGCAATTTAGCCGTGTCACGGTACGGCGACGATGACGACACGGAAGGTTAACTCGCCACATGACAAACACGTATGACAGACCATCGATCTTCCCGCCGATTTCGAAACTTGCTCGAATGACGGCCGTGTCGGGTGAACCGGACGTAACTGAGATGAACGTGTTTGAGAAACGTACCCGTTGCAGTTTCGTCGTAATTCGTTGAATCACGCCTTGGCCACGCGCGTAAATCAGCATGTTGCGCTCCGAAATGCGAAACGATGGGACACTGCGGGAGACTTCGCGCTCAATTTTTCTAAGTGCTCTCTCTCTCTCTCTCTCTCTCTCTCTCTCTCTCTCTCTCTCGTAGCATATATTACAATTCTCGACTCTCACGAGCTCATGTCTCCTCTTTCTCTCTCTATCGTTTCAGCTGGCACGGTATGTCGGAGCAAACGTGAGGGGGTTGACGGGAATTATGGTGTAATTCGAGTGCAATAATCACAATTGTTCAAGCTACGGTACCTCTTAGTGTGATTTACACGATAGTGAGTCAAAGATGATTGTTAAGAACAAATCTTGTCGAATAGTAAGTATCAAGTATGTTTTTTTTTCGCCAGTATTTCGTTAACTATGTTACTTTTATGTTGCAACTGTATCTTCTGCTTATTGAGCACTATAAATTCATTAAAATTTATAGTAGTATATGGATCTGACTGTCGCAGTTACTCGATAAACTGCTGCTGATTTTGCAGCGTATGTAAAGAATAGAAAGATCTAGTATAGGGACCTCTTATCTGACAGATTATCTTATCTTTGTGTGCAGTTTTTGATAGATTTTCTTCTGTGTTCTGCTTTCATGTTTGCACAATATATGCACCTATAGTATGCTTGATAGGAATCTCAGGTCGAATGATATCAATGTCGATGTCATTTACAAAATACAGCGTGCAAGGAATTTGGAATATTAGTTTTTATCCGTTATGTCGATTATGTTGATTAGTTTCTAGTTCTGTCTGAGTTTCTTTTTTTTCCTTTTTCTCTTCATTAGTGCACTGCTTAATGTTAAAGTGAATAGAAGCTCCGTCTCCTGCCAAAATGGCAATTGGAAATATTATCTGTGGTGCGAATACACCCAAAGTGAAGAAAAAGAAAATTAAGGTATCTCTTTGTGTTATTAAAGCTGCTTCTTATTATTTATTTATCAATAGCATAGTCACATAATACTCAAATGTCTCAATGTTAACCATGATTATCATTATGTACATTATATTGTACTTGTATTAACATAATGTAATAATATACTATAACATCGATGAAACAATATTATATTAAAATATTGAGGATTTTTTACTATTTACGACATTAATGTATACTCATAATTACAACTGCTATGTATTTGTACGTTTCTCAAATTATAGACAACTGAACGCAGTTGGATAGAAGCAACATTTCAAAAGAGGGAATGCTCCAAGTTTATTCCAAGTGCAGAGGATGAGCACAGGTAGGAATTCTATATTAAATAACTGCAATAAGAAGAATAAGAAAGAAATTCGATATATATACTTATTACTACTCTAAACATTGTGCTATAAAATTTTGTATCGTGCAAGATTTTCTATAATATAACAATATAATTATAAGACACTTAATTCTTTTAATACACTTTTGTTTTTAGAAAAGTGGTAAAATGCAACGTGTGCTATAGAGTTTGGTATATCATATCAAAGTAGCATTTAAGATAAACATTTGATGTGTGTCAAGATTTGTTGTGTCTTACATCAATCGGTCTCTTTGATCTTTGTCTTGCATTTGCTTATGTTTAATCCAGTGCTTCTCTCATCACTCGATCAATTCTTTTTGTTTTCATTTTACATAACATTAACAAATCTGAGAAATCCAGATATTTCGTATTCATGATCATTAATTTCTTTACTCACTCGCCCATCCATTTCGATTTGATTTACTTTCCTTTGTTTCATTTACATTTGTAGGTTTGTACAAGTACAGGGAGATAAGAATGCAGAATATGATGTGATCACTACTTCCAGGTGAGAGATTCGCGTACATCCTGCATTAGAACCTATTACTTCCATAATTTTGTCGCTAATGGTCGCTAAACCGAAATCTGATGTAACATTTTTACATGTTAAAGATTTTATGGGTGTGGATGTGTAACAAAATCATATTCATCCTGCATTATTTCATCGTATGAGGTGCTTATACTCGCTTTAATCATCTTTAATTAAATCTTATCTACATTAATAGCGTTTCCTGAAACGTCTGATTTGTTCCCGCATAAGTTTCCCTTTCATTCATCATGTAAATGAATGCAGATATGTGAAATACGAGCGTTGCCGCGATATATATCAAACTCTGTTGGGCTTTATAGCATACACATAATTATATAAGCAAAATATGAAGTTTCATTAAATAATATCGGTATAAATGTGAACGTTTTACTTTGAGATATCGTGTTATTATAGATGCTGTTGTGGCAAATCATACACGCATCATTGTGGAACTGGGGCGGATGTTCAGAGTTACAGCACTGGAGACACCAAGGAGAAAGATCGAGAGCAGTGGTCTCCCGGAAAGAATACTCGTCCCTTTCCCACTGATGCATATGGTACTATAGAATTTCAGGGAGGTCCGCACCCAACAAAAGCACAGGTATATGTTTAACGCCTCTTGCGCATCACCTACGTTACTTTGTTATTATAATCATTAATCAATGAGAATAACATTATGTATTATTTATAGTATGTAAGATTGGCTCATGATACGCGGCCGGAACCGATCGTGCAATTATTATGCCGGGAGTGGAATTTAGGCTTGCCCAAATTGTTAATTACGGTTCATGGCGGCCGGTCAAACTTTGAACTACAGCCCAGCTTGAAGAAAGTATTGCGTAAAGGTTTATTGAAAGCTGCTAAAACCACAGGAGCATGGATATTCACGGGAGGAACGAACACAGGTTTATTTCGCGCGAAACTAGTAAATAACGATTTCGTGGTATAGCATGAGCGGAAGGTTTGCAATATATTCCTGTTGATTCTCGTAGGTGTTACGAGACAGGTCGGTGACGCGTTGCTCTTGGAACGTTCTCAACGACAAGGTCGTGTTGTGAGCATAGGCATTGCCCCTTGGGGAATTTTGGACAAGAGCCACGAGTTAGTCGGCCGTGGTGGAGAAGTGTCATATGATTGCGTTTCCTCGCCGTGGTAAAGATCTATTTCAAACGTAACGATCTACTGTAAAAAAGTATGCTATTTTTTATGAAATTTTTAAAATACATTTTTTGTACATGATATTTTTCAGGACGAAATATACAGTATTAAATAACCGACACGCTTACTTTCTATTAGTCGACAATGGCACTGGCGGTCGGTACGGTGCAGAAATTGTTCTCCGTAGGAAATTAGAGAAATACATCTCAAATCTGAAGCTACAACCATGTAATTGTCACGTCGATCGTGTCTAATAAGAGCCGAATCTCCGTAATTCCGAGAGTTCTGATTTACCATATCTTTCAGATACACACAGCAGCATACCTGTAGTTGCGTTAGTCATTGAGGGTGGTACAAATACAATTCGCGCGGTTTTAGAGTACGTGACGGACGACCCACCTGTACCCGTTGTAGTTTGCGATGGTTCGGGACGTGCAGCCGATCTAATCGCTTTTATGCACAAGTAATGGCGAATTTGCTCCCATCTGCTCGTAAAAAAAAAAAGAGAGCAAATTTATAAGCACATATGTATTTACGAGATACTGCGCTTTGTACAGATGGAGGGATGGGCAGACTGGTGACGGAGAAGGGCCGCTGGAAGGCGTCAAGGAACAAGTTTTAGAAACCATCAAACGTACTTTCCAAGTTTCCGCCGAACAGGCGAGCCAGCTCTGTTCGGAACTTTTGCAGTGTACACGAAAGAAACATTTGGTATCCACATATGTATCTTTTATTCTAGTTACGGGATATGCTTTCATACGAGGGACTCCTTTAAGTGACGATTGTATCCGCAGATCACTGTGTTCAGGATATCGCAGGATAGGCCGCAAGAACTCGATCAAACCATACTGACAGCTTTGTTCAAGTCGAAACAGTTGTCCCCGGCTGAACAGTTGTCTCTTTCTCTGATATGGAACCGAGTGGATATCGCCCGAAGCGAAATATTCGTGTACGGTCAAAAATGGCCACCGGGTGCTTTAGACCAGTCAATGATGCAGGCGCTTCAGCATGATAGAATAGACTTTGTGAAACTTCTACTGGAAAATGGCGTATCCATGCGGAAATTTTTATCAATACCGCGTCTTGAGGAGCTGTATAATACGGTAGGTCAACTTTATTTCTGTAGCTAGTGCAGTTCCTTAGTAAACAATTTAAATATGGATACAAAATATCCTCTATTGGTGCAAGAAGAGAGAGGAGAGAAAAACGATGGACGTTTACGAGATAAACCTATATATTTTTTTTCATTTACTTCTAAACAAAATTTACCGAGATAAAAACAAGAGAGTTGTGAAAAATATGAATTATATGTTGCGCGTATACTTGTTAATGTAACATGTTACGATCCTCGGGAATGCATTGTTGAGAGCGTGTATGCTCCTTTGTAATAAAACAAAGGACGCAATTATCCAAGTAACGCATTCAGAAGAAAAGTTAGGTCTCGAGGGATACACGCGAAATATTGTGGTATATTGAACGACGTTCTTTTCTCTTACCTGGATCCAATCAGAAAGAAGGCCCATCGAACACGTTGGGCTACATCCTGCGCGACGTAAGGCCGAATATTCCACGGGGCTACATGTACACGCTGCACGACATCGGCCTCGTGATCAACAAGCTGATGGGTGGAGCGTATCGCGCGCAATACACACGCCGGAGATTCCGTGTGATCTACACGAAGGTGATGAAGAGGTCCGGCGGCGGCCACCAACAGCACATGCATCGGAACAGCTGTGCTGTGAACTGCAATACGCGCTATTACGCGAGCTCCGGAGGGAAGTCCGACAGTCTGACCATGAGCCTGCTCGCCGAAACGCTACCAGCTAATCGTGACACTCCCCTTTTCGACTACCCCTTCAACGAGCTGCTCATTTGGGCCGTATTGACGAAGCGTCAACAGATGGCCTTGTTAATGTGGCAACACGGAGAAGAAGCGTTGGCCAAAGCACTTGTTGCGCTCAAATTGTACAAGGCTATGGCGCACGAGGCGGCCGAGGACGACCTGGAGACCGAGGTTTACGACGAATTGCGCGGCTACGGCAAAGAATTCGAAAATATCGGTACGATCCCAGAAATTTCAGTGAAATATACTCTCGGTACCGTGTCAGAAAAAAAAGAACATTACGTAGTTATAACATGAGATCATTTTCTTCGACACAGCCCTCGAATTATTGGACTACTGCTACCGGCAGGATGACGATCAAACGCAGCAGCTGTTAACTTCGGAACTTCAGAATTGGTCGGGACAGACGTGCCTGTCTCTCGCGGTTACAGCAAACCATCGACCATTATTAGCGCATCCGTGTAGCCAAATTATTCTGGCTGACTTGTGGATGGGTGGCCTTCGTACTCGTAAAAATACTAATTTAAAGGTAACTAGTGTTTGTTTAACTGACTTGTGGACTTTGCTTTGCAGCCGACCGATCGATTAAGATGCACTGACGTTCGGATGTGCTTCCAGGTAATTTTGGGGTTGCTCTTCCCCGTGTACATAGCACGATTGGAGTTTAAGAGCCGGGAAGAATTGCAGCTGATGCCTCAGACGCAAGAGGAACACCTGATAGCTCTAGAAGACGAGAAGGAAGACAGCGACTCCGAACATAGTGCACCAGCAGGACCGGATGTTGAGGTAAATATTTTGCATCTTGGGAAAACGGCGTTTGCTAACGCTTACTTCTTGAAAAAGATATCTCAGATATGCTCAATTAACAATTACATCATGACTTTTTGACGCTTACTGTACTAAAGAAACCGCAATAACATGGTAACTGACGACGAAAACGCTTGTAGTATTGCAAATTGCCTAAAAGAAAATGTGAAACGTTTTGTAGCAGCTTTGCGTTTTGGAATTCGTATGATAAACGAGTGTAATAAGATAGTGTGGTTGCTGGTTTTGAGAGGTTTCCTCCCCGAAATCGTACATAAACGTATACACATGTAGCTTCTAACAAGTATTCATTTAGGTAAAACATATTGATACATAGTCCATTCAGCTTCTATATTTTATTTTAATGGAATTACACGTCATTTCATCATTATGGTTGGAACAGTACAATCTTGCCTTTTGATTTATCTTCGCTTTGTAATATCTGCGTCATTGATATGTCCACTATTGCACCACGTCGTAAATGCTGGATTAATAAGGGATATTACCGTTTGAAATGTGTTCTCTAAGAGAGAGATTAATTGTTCTCTGTTAAGGGCGTATTGATCTACTTTTAACATATAGACTATGTGGGTATGCGTGTTAATTATTTTTTAGAAACGTCTGCGCAGGAGCCTGAGCATACGCAACAAACCTAGCAGCCAACCAAGCGTTAAGGTATATCTATGCTGGCCTGAACGCAGTGATCCTATACAATAATCTCACACTCTCTGGTGCACTCTCTTAAGCTACTTTTTTTTATTTCTTTGATCTTAGTTCTCATCGATCATGGTTCAGTCACACAGTAATTGTTTCATGTGCATTGCGACATTCACATCGCAAAGAATAATAAGACGGTGAAATGAATTTCTTCAAATTTTGAAAACGGTAATAGCTTGTCACGGTGATATCATATGTATACATATATCACATATAACGAATTGATGGAATGACTGTTCATCAAACATCAAATTTATACATAGATTACGTAGATACGAAAGAAAAAAACATTAATTGTACCTTATTAATAACTATTTATATTTGTTTACATCTGACTCATTAATATCTGGAGATAATATATATTTTCTTTTGTTAAAAAGAAAAGAATATTAGAGCATAGCTTGAAACTAAATTATGCAGTAACTCTGTATTATAAAAATATGTATATACTTCTTCCTAATATGGTAAAAGAATATTATTTTCATCATGTGCATACGTATTATGATACTGTTACGAATTTCTAATCACAATCCTTTCTTTACAGACAATTTTTACTTCTTTCCAAAGTATACTATCGAAATACGCCTGTATAGAAATTGGGGCTGGGTTGTAATTATAATTTATTTCTCGGAAAAATTTTATATATTTATATGTATCTTCTCAAAGTGTATTATGATTATTTTGTTTTCATTTTATTTGCAATGGATCAGTCTGATATACATCTATAAGGAAAGGAACAAATTTGGATAAATTTGGAAATTTTATATTTTAATATTTGCTTATTAACTACTTACTTATTTTTAGATTATATATGTACTTGTACGTATATTTTAACTAAACATTACGTTATCAGTCTCATACCTATCAAATGTGCAAGTTTTCTCATATTTGTGAACAAATTATGGACTATCCAATTAACTTCGTCTACAGTGTATCTCTATTATCTGTCTTCATGCTTACTTTTTTTAGTGAATGATTATGTTATCGAGAATTCAATCTCTCTTTTTCTTTTCTCTTTCGTTCTTCCGTTAAACGTTTGAAGCAGATATCAGTATCCATTCAACCATGCACTGAGAAGTTTACCTGATTTTATGTATGTTACTGTCCTTCCCAGCATTATGGATGATTCACTCGAATGGTCCGTAAATTCTCCCTTGTGCTTTTCGATACAGGCTTTAATTAGCAACGAACACTGTACCACAATAGTGAAGGAGACAATTGTCCAAGAGAATGGGAAAGTACTAACGGACCACGACGACGGTATTCATCGCGCTTACGGTCTTCGATCTGAGTACTATGATAATAAAACAACCAGGCCATTAAGATTAAGGAAGAAGCTATACGAGTTCTATACCGCTCCAATCGCGAAGTTTTGGGCGAACGCCGTGAGTATCGGCTTGGTGTTTGTTTGTTCGTTGTTATTTGTCGACACCGAGTCAGTGTTGTAACAGGGATTTAACGTTGTTGCAGATAGCGTACATTATCTTTTTAATTTTCTTCTCGTACTGCATCCTCATACACATGGACGATCACCCGTCATTAGCCGAGATATACGCAATCGCGTACATCTGTACGCTCGGATGTGAGAAAGTACGCGAGATCGCAACGTCGGAACCGGCGACGCTCTCGCACAAGTTTAGCGTGTGGGCGTGGAACATGTGGAATCCGTGCGACGCAGCTGCGATCATATTTTTCCAAATCGGACTAGCTTTACGTCTGCGACACTTGACTCTAGATGTAGGTCGCGTCATATACTGTGTTGATTGCATCTACTGGTATTTACGAATACTCAACATCCTTGGTGTCAACAAATATTTCGGTATGCTTAATATCCAAAGTAACTTACCCGTTCGTTTTCGTGCGAGAAAAATCTGCGTGGCCGGTGTTAAAAAAAAAAAAAAAGAAAAAAGAAAGAAACTGCAATCTTTTATAAAGACGACGCAACGGCGATTGTACGTTTCATTGTATCCCATTGTAGGTCCTCTGCTGACTATGATGGGGAAAATGGTTAAGAACATGATATATTTCGTTGTGCTGTTGCTGGTGGTGCTCATGAGTTTCGGCGTGGCGAGGCAAGCCATATTAAATCCAAATTCGGAGCCGAAGTGGCGTATAGTACGAGATGTATGTGCATACCTTTTGTTTGGCATACCACGTTTCAAGACACCTATGTATACAGGTTTCCACGGTTGGGATTCTAATTAGCTGTTCAGTTAAAAATTATGTTAAAAAGTTAATAACTTTTAATGTAAACTAGTTAATTTAAAATGCATTAATTTTAATTTATATAAGTTGAAAATAATTCATCAGTATTTTGAAATAATTGCAGGCCGCTTGCAATATAAAATAAGAAAAATCGAAAATAATATCAGCATAATTTTTTTTGTCTCTTCGAGCGCGCTAATGCTCACTTATTGTATGTTCTCTTCTTGTTTTTATTTTTTTTTAATCTTCTTTTCGTTGGTTGACAGATATTTATGGAGCCGTACTTTATGCTGTATGGAGAAGTGTACGCGGACAATATAGATCCGGATTGCGGGAACGAGCCGGGAATGATGCCGTGCCTTCAAGGTCGTTGGATCGTGCCTGCTGCAATGTCCGTGTATCTTTTAATTGCCAATATTTTGCTCATAAATCTGTTAATCGCGGTATTTAACAATATTTTCAATGAGGTGAATGCTATAGCTCATCAAGTCTGGATGTTCCAACGCTTTACCGTCGTAATGGAATATGAGCAGAAACCGGTATTGCCGCCGCCACTTATAGCGGTTTGCCACATATATTTACTGCTGAGATATTTTCTGAGGCACGTTACGCAAAATAAAGGCGGCACGGGCGAGACCTGCGACAACGGGCTGAAGTTGTTCCTGGAGCCCGACGACATGGAACGTCTGTACGACTTCGAGGAGGATTGCGTCGAGGGCTACTTCCGCGAGCAAGAGCTCAAGCTGCAAATGTCCACGGAAGAGCGCGTGAAGGTTACGACCGATCGAGTGGAAAATATGCATCAGAAGATCGAGGATATCGACAAGAAAGAGAGCAATCAGAACGCGTCTCTTCAGGTGTATATATATATCCTTTTCCTTTTTATTTTAACGAATCAAGGACGTTCTAAACGTTCCCGCTTTCTTCTCATTTGTAGGCTGTCGAGTTCCGCATCCGCAAGCTGGAGGAGCTGAGTCAGCAGACACTGGCGCACCTCGGAGTGATACATCGTTTCATGGCGACATACATGCCAAATGAAGGACTGTCCGGCTTGGAGCTGGACGTTCGGCAGCGCCGGGTGTCCGAGCGATCGGAGGCCTTCTCCGAGGCGGACTCGCACACGCAGCTGCCGACGTTGGCGCGACGCAAGAGGCTGCTGCGTTCCTTCACCGACGCCACCTTCCTGAACGTCGGCCAGCCATCGGTGGAAGACGACGGCTTGAAGATGTCCGAGACCGTGACCTCCCGCGAGAATCTCAGCAGGAACTCCTCCGTGAGCGTGGACGCCCAGGCCGGTCAGGACGACGTCAAGACGATGACGAGCGTGGAGACCGAAGGCAGCAAAGACGTGCTCGAAGCCGGCGGTGAGGGAGCGGCGAAGAAGGAGCCGATGACGACGACGACGCAGCCTGAGAGATCGGTGAGCCGCGAGGTCAGCCGGGAGGCGAGCAGAGAGATCAGTCGGGAGGTCAGCATGGAGACCAGCAGGGAGATCAGCAGGGAGCCGAGCAGGGAGGTCAGCCGGGAGACCAGCCGGGAGGCGAGCAAGGAAGCCAGCAGCGAGAACCCACCGTCGGACACTAGGCAAGACTCCACGGAGCGTCCTACGTTCCGGCAGAACAGCCGTACCAGGTCCGAATCGGACGACATCATGCTCCTGCCGCCGCCCGGCATTCAGAGAGCCGTCACTTGGGCGGAGCCTCGCGTCGCCGTGATCCCCTCGTCCGTCACGTCCGCCGGTAGCGCCCAGAGGTCGATCCTGCTGACGATGCGCGCCGAGTACACCAGCATAACGGACGAGCTCGAGAGCTACTGCGGCTTGCTGAGTCCGCCGCGAACACCGCCGGTATCGCCGCCGCCGTCGCGGGGCCGCAACATGTCCGAAATCTCGAATCCCGAGATGGCCTGGCAGATCGAGAACGAGCACCTGCGCGACGCCGAGGAGTGCGACTATCAGCAGATGGAGGATCTGATTCAGCGGCGGTACCGGGAAGACGACGATGACGGTGGCGATGGCGGCGGCGTCTGCGACGACGACGAGCAGCCGCCGAACGCGACGGACGAGGCCGGCGTCGCGTGCTTCTTCAGCGTCTCCGATCATCGTCAGCTGCGCCGCGCCTCCGCGATCGACGAGGACTCGCGCAGGCCTGCGCCGACCATCAGCGTCACCAGGGAGATCGAGCAGACGCTGTCGCGGCCCCCGATACGCGACTCGGAGACCGCCGATCCGAACGACAAGAATCTTAGCACCGTACCTGCCCCCGCTTCGGAGACCATGTGCTAGGCGAAGCGAGATGCCGTTCTGTTATTGTTGTTGTCTGCTCCGAGGATGCTCCGGGAAGTATGCGCGATTAGTTTGTGCGATCTGAGGGCTCGTAGACCGGTATTCGTGGATCGGATCTTGTATTTAAGGACCTCTTAAGCTCATCTCCGGTTGCTTGATTTAAAAAATTAAAGTCGACCTTGAAATCATGTTTAAAAGAATAGCTTGATAATGTAATAATGTTACCATTTTATGCCTCCCATGAAATCTTACAACTTTTGTCTTTGAAGTTTTTTTTTTCTCGAATGATTCATTTCTTTCGATACATTTAGTCTGTAACACTTTATGTAAGCCGCCTGTATGAAGTAGTTATTTATTATTAATACGGATTTTTAAAAAATTATGCGTGCTGATAACGTTATATTATATATTTATTTACAATGCGTATTCGGTTGTAATTCTGAATGAAGGTGACATGTGCAATCATTGCTTAACATATTAACTTCATTGAGCGCACACACAATTTATCTTTTTCGGCAAGAAGTAAATGCGGCAGGTGTTATTTGATGTTAAATATAAGATCTGACTATGAATACCGCCCTCTTAGAGCCGACGATCATCGGTTATCGGTTTAGCGATTATATTTCTGCTGTCGGATATAGCATATCCTCTCGGTTTTCGGTGCGAGTCGAACTTGTTTTACTGCGAAAACAGATGTTGCGTTTTTCGGGGACACTCAACGGTTATCAGTGATCAGACTTAATTTCCGACGACCATCTTATCCGACGGCATGCCAAACTACGTCATCCATGTAACGTAGTTACGCATCGACACGCGTATTAGACGGTCTCACGGGAGGTCTTTTTTCGCGACCTTTGTCTCGAAGGAAATCTAGCTCGAGCTCGGACGCTCATAAGTATGCGAAATCATTTCGCACGCATGGCCTAAGTAGTACATTTTTTAGTGGACTAAGTAATTATACATTTTACGTATAATATTCATGTGTGATTTTTATCGATTTTTATATTACATTATTGCGTCCGTGCTTCTGATCCTCTATAGTGAACGGACGACGCGTTACAATTATCTTATTGGTCTCTCGATATATTATCACATAGAGCACATACACACACACACATACACACGCATACACACACAGGAGAACGTCGGATTTTGAATTCCTTTTGTGCACCATTGTCTCAAGCCGTTTACCGTATCTTTGTCCCAGAATCTTATCCGATGCATCGAATTACATGAAAGTCGTACGATGTACTACTGTGTTCCGCGGGAGAAAGTTACATTCTCTCTACTTGTGTCCACCGTCGTCTGCATTCTGTGCATTCGAAGTCCTTCCATTCGGTAGATTGGCGTAACTTGGCGATTTTATATACATGCACCTTTATTTTAGCAGATATATATACACATATATATATATATATACATATATACATAATACTACCATTTTAGATTGGGATATCGGAGACGCTCCTATATAGAGTATCTACTGTACATAACTCACACAATGATACTGAATTAGTCAGCGAACGGGTCGCATCCTCGCTGATACGTTTTTGCGCATGGTTCGAGTGAATGACGGACTTAATTTGCGAAAGCTCGAGGCGCGCACGTGGGGGAATCCGGGGGCGTTGAAGGTGCAGGCTCTCTCATCGTGAATCGATTTCTAGTATGTAAATACGTTGCCCGCGCGGGTCGCAGTAGAACTGCGTCCCAGGCGTCGCGGCTTTATTATCCTTACTGCCGGATACTTCGATCGACTTTTTTGAGGTGTATTTAGGGCCTTACAGCGCGCACTTTCAGCTGCGTCAGACTTTCACGGACCATTTATAAAAGCGAACCATATCACGCAGACACGTGTTCGTACGAACCAAGCCAATCTGCGTTAGTACAATTGCAACTATCTAAAACGAAAAGAAAACTTTGATACCTGTACCTAAAATGCCTAAATGTATAGAGATATATTTGTGCGTGTAGTTGTTAAATCGGAGATGAAGGTGAGGGACGGCGAATTCTCAAGCGTGTTCAGCGAACGTTCGTAGTAACTTTAACTGTGTGAACTAATATGTAGCAAGTCGGTCGCAAACTTCGTTTCGAGTGTTAGCAACTTTCTATATACATATATATATATATTTTTTTTTCCCGTCTGGATTATCATTATTCTTGTACGATGTCGAATCACTGGATATTGTTGACAGCCACACTTTCATTAAGTCGAACCGTTATTTGTACGACACCGTCAATGGAGACGGCAATTGTACGTTCTCTCCGAATATTTTGCCGACCCGATCGATGATCCGAGTACATCGCGATATCGGTGTTCTCACACACCTGTGAGATATATATACACACACACGTTCTCTAAATTTCACTTTAACTCCACGTCAAGTCTTCGAACTTCGTCCTAATAAAGAAGAATCGAAGAAACAGAGATGTGTATCTCTCTCGCGCGATGACGTAATACTTGAACTTGGTGGAAGTTTCGAAGACTAACTAGTTTCTCAAAGATACGTATTATCGATCCTGATAGCATAGAGTATCCTTGATCCTTGGCAAGAGGCTAACGTGCTCCTTCAAGACGAGGCTCGAACGATTTCGTTATTAATATCGATGTAAAATCGAAAGCAATATTATACATTTATAAGTACACACGATCGATGGGATTATTAATACGTCGTGTATGAGCAATATTTAATTGCACAATAATTACATTCGAACACTTGATCGGGACAATATTAGTGTTCATACGACGTTGATTATGCTTGCATTAATTCCCACGGTTACCCGTAACATTAATTTGTACATAAAATTGTCAGAAATCGTTCGCCAGCGAGTGGAATAACATCGCTTAGATGCATTTCTATTATTCGTATTACAATATTTATAGGAAGGAAGCGTAATTTTAATGTGTTTACTGAACATGTTATGCAATGATATGTGCAACACATACATACACGTATACACACACGATGAATCATTTGCTCAATTTTATTTTCATATATGCAATATAGATAAATGTTTTGCGATATCGAGAGAGAAAGAGAGAGAAAGGGAGAGACGGAGAGAAAGAGAGAGAGAGAGAGAGAGAGAGAGAGAGAGAGGGAGGAAAACAGGAGAGACGGAACATTTTCTCGATATGAATATGTATATAAACACACAATATACGGTGCGATTAATACAAATTTTCGAGCACACACATACACACACCCACACATAAAAATAACAAATTATACAAACACACACATGGAATATTGAATAATAATGATAATAATATTAATATTAATTGCAACGATAATAATAGAATATAATAATAATTATACATATGCTCTTACTGCGTATTTATGCCAATTGTTCTTTGAATATTTATATTTCTTATGCACATACGAATGTACATACTTACATTTGTATTTCACTGCATGGATATCTTTGTGTGTTTTATCTCTCCGTTCTTTCGATGTAGAGTCAATTATCGCTCTTCCTTTCGTCGTATGCTGTGAAAAAACGCAAACGCTAGTCATAATGAATATATTGTACTGAGGGGGGGGTGGGATCGTTGAACGATTCCGACGGGTGATTCCGAATGTGTGTTGAAGCGGATAAATCATATCACAATCGAACGTGAATGCACAGTCACACACACACATGCATTTCGGCTCACGAGATGTAACTCTTAACTGTTAGGCGCGAGTGAGACAAGCGTTGCTTAACTAACTCTCGACTAGAGCTAAGCTAAGTAATCGTTCTGTTGTCAGAATCTACTCCGTCTAGGCATTGGCAATCATTCCGCGACGCTCGTTTCGAGAAGCTGCGCGCATTCACCGCGGATATATACTGCGAATCTTGTAACGAGAAGTTGTGCCTCGATGGTACTACGGCGTAGCTCATAGTCGTACATACGCACGTAAATTGACTAGTGTCATTGATTGATGTTTTTTGCTGCGTCGCCCCCCTACGTTACGCACGTATGCACGCACTTACGCACGCACGCACGCGAATAAGGCAAGCAAGCAAGCAAGCACCCTCACTTTATTATATCGCATATCAACGTTGCTGAGGATTAATATTTCACGATTTCGCGATTACCTTCTGCGTTTGTTCAGTCACCGTAAATCGCGTTATCGCCGTTATCCGAGCGAAAAAAAACAAATCAAAGCGAGACGAGACACCTCCGACGCTCAGCAGCACAGCGCTAGAGAGAGAACGTAGAGAATGTACTTAAAGATCTTTTCAGCTATTGTTCGACGGTAAAGTACAACACACCGCGACGTTACGCTTTGTTATCGCGAACAGAACACGGCCACAACACAAGTCTAAGTCGATGACGACCGGGCGAAGCCGTTGATGATCGTGTACGTACTTCGTAATATGCAATTGTCCACAATCGTGCAGTTAATGATCGTAAGATACGTGCCTTCTCGTCGTATTATCTGTGTTTTTTATAATATACAAGACGCATGCATTTTCAATTTTTATTATAACACTCGCGAATTCCAAGGAGGTATGTCGACTTCGCGACGGCCGATGAAGCGTCGCTCTCACCGGCGATCCTTCGGGAGAGTTCAATCCACCGTAAAACTGTAATTCTCGCAATATTTTCCGACATCATGTAAGCTACAAACCTTACATGCGTGTATTTTCTCTTCATTGTAGGTCGCTTGTAACTCGACGAATGTGTACGTAAACTCATAAGTACGTATTACATAAGGAGGCTCGAGTCTCTCTTTGGGCTGAAATGAATTTCGTTGCGCCACATAGCCGAGAATGCAATAACGAGAGGGGGAAATGTGATTATTACAAGGAGAAAAAAGCGAAACCTTCATTGGTTGCATCTTATGCGACGTTGTACTGCGAATCAAACTGGATTTATCCAAAAGAAAAGAAAAAAAAAACAGAAATATATATATATATGTATATACGCACGTATACATGTTATTTCGAGACCGAGTTCCAAATTATTGTAAATACAATCTCCCTGAAAAAACTCTTCCGCCCAATTGCTAAATTAACTGGAAGCAATTTTTTATTCCACGTATTGTGTTGCAAAAAAACACTACCTCAGCCGAACCAGGACTTATGGTTTAATTTAAGCTCTTTATGAAATCGTGACAACGCGCGTTACACGCGTCTCGATCCACCGAAATGTCCGAGTCCATTTACTCGTTAATGATCGTGGCGTTAATTAATTCATACGCCGCGTGAATACGTGAAATGCGTCTAATGTGCTTCTCACGTGCGGCACATTCGACTCGTTCGGAATCGCCGTGTAGCTCGTGACACGTTCCCGCGGAATTCCGGCGTACGGCGCGACAAACAGACGCATTTCGGCATACAGCATCGTTTTACGGAATTATCCTCGGTATGAAGAGGTCTCTTTTCAAGCCGAAGAATTTGGCAACGCTACTCGCGTGTCGAAAGGCGCGGAAATTCCGCGGCGTTCCCTTCTGGATAAATGCTCTCCGGAATCTGGCGGACGTCGAAGACGATCCGCGAGACGATCGTCGTCGACGTCGTAGACATCCTGCGGAAAGGTGTGTGTGTGTGTATGTGTGTGATTCGCGACCACTCTTCGCCAATTTGTTGCAATAGCATTCGACTCAATAAACGGAGGCGCTCTTCTTCTCAGAGTGGCGAGGCTTACGCTGCGCGTGATAGCTGTATGCTGCATGATGTTCTCGATGATCGACCTTACGTTGATATACAAGAGGAGCCCGACCGTCACCACCCCCGAAACAATGCTGTACCCGGTGCGGAGGATCAACTACCCGGCGATAGCGATCTGCGACGTCAATCGGATCAGCCGCAGGGCGGCGATCGACTTCGCCCAAGAGCTGTGCGTGAAAGTCTCAACTAGTACCGTGAAGGTCACCTGTGATCGCGCGTTTGGTTTGTTCGAATAGCCGATTGTGATTGTAAAATTCGTCAAGTCAATTTGTAAAATTACACAATCTTAACGATAACTTAACAATAGTTGATTGTAATTACAAGAAATTGTAAGATTTGTAATTGTGAGATTACAATCAACTATTTCGCGAATCATACATTAGTATAAGATTAGGGAAAACAGGAGATTGTAAAAATAAGAGATTGCAGATATGAAGTTACAATCAACCATTTCCCCGATCGTACGTTAACGTATTAATTTGTGTCACACGTAGCGTGGACTTCGAGAGTACCGCGTTCACAGCTAATCTCACGCTGACGGACATCGAGCACATGCTGAGCCTGTTGGGCCAACTGTACCTGATCGACGACGTCGACGAAGCTGAGAACGAGACTACGAAGCTTCTGCACACGATCCTGGAACGTGGTTACAACGGCTACGACGTGAACAGGATTATGAGACGAGTGAGTTGCTCCGGTTCAAGCTCAACGTCGGAGCGCGTTGTGTTGCACGCAACCTGTTCTACAAAGAAGTCTTCCGCTTCTCGCCCGACAGCTCTCGCCGAATTGCAGATCCATGTTGCGAAGGTGCTCGTGGGAGGGTAAGGATCAAACATGCGAAGATATCTTCCTGCTGAGGAAGACTCAGGACGGCTACTGCTGCACGTTCAATTACGCCAGGCGCAACGACGGTTTCGGAAGGTGCTGCTCGCGTTGACAGGGTGTCGAATTTTTACATACACAGGTTGATGCGAATAATTATTACCACCTTCAGAATGAGAATAGAATGAACATACGGAAGTCGATATAGTTTAAAAAAAAAAAGGAAAAAAAAATTATATAATCCCATTTGAAAGAACAAAGGTGACCTTCAAATTTCTGAAGTTACTACGCCCAGAAGAAAAACGTTACCACCATAAGACGACCGCTTCTGCATCGTGTAATTTCGGTTGAATAAACATCTCCCTTACTCTCGTAGCTCCGAAGATAATTCAAGATGGTAATAGTCGTTACCTCACTCTGTGAATAATATTTACGTGAAGTTCTTTGAAATATATCGTAACAACGTTGTCGCAGCGCGCAGAACGACGTCTTCACGTCCGAGCGCATCGAACATTCGACAAACATCGGACCCGAATACGGCCTGTCCGTTCTGTTAAACCCGCATTTCGACGATTCCTTCTACAAGATCCTACCGATCGATGGTTTCAAGGTAAAAAAACGATCGATTACGTTGGTCTTCCGGGTAAATTAACATGAACTCTCAAGGTCACAGTTTCAAGCCAATGAGAATTGTTCCGATCTAGATATCAGTGTACAATCCTTTGGATTATCCTGATATGACAAGCGGCTACGTGCGCGACGTTCTGGTCTCCCCCAAAACGGAAGCTTATATAAATCTGGACGCGATTGTATTCGACAGCGCCGAGGTAAGTTCACGGTCCTAGACGGAGAGCCGGTGTGATCGTTGCTTTATGTATTAATCCGATTAATCTCTCTAACGATCTCACAACGTTGCAGGACGTTCAAAAGTACGACGTACAAGAACGCGATTGTCTGTTCCAAACGGAGCAGTCCAAGATATTTCACGGCTACTACTCGTACAGCGATTGCATAGTGCATTGCCGCATACGGGACATCTTCCAGCTGTGCAACTGCGTGCCATTTTTCTACCCGACATCGGAGGAGATCGGTAATGGAACGAGCAGAGTCTTGAAGCTGATTATCTAGCGAATATCTAAACACGTATCTTTCATTCAGCTTCCGCAGAGATCTGTAATCTGAGGGATTTGCCTTGCTTGAGGAAGTACAAAGGTTTGTTCAATGCCATCGTTGAACCGGCCGTTTATTTCGCGAAATTTGTTATTCGTTACCTTCGGAACGAACGAATACGTTTGGTGTCTCTGTGAGAAACCTTAATCTGGATTATTCCTTGTCGTTAGAGAGATGGCGAAACGTAAAGCCTCGATTAGAAAACGCCATGGAGCCGTTCGGTGAGAGCGAGTTCGAAGGCTACCTGAGCTGCGACTGTCTTCCGTCCTGCGACGATGTGACGTACAGCGTGCAATCCAGCAGCATCCCTCTGAGCCTTACCGAGCTGTCGTGGGGCAGGTGTGTGAAGCGAACATGAAAATAATCTCAGTATGTATATGAGCGTTCGGATAAGTGATCGTCGATCGTGTCTCTCGCCAGAAGTAAGTATCCGATCAACAATCACAGCGTGGTGCATATCTACTTCGGGAAGAGCGGCACGATAAGACTGCGACAGGATGTGCTCTTCTACTGGTACGAGCTCATAAGTAAGTCCTCTTACTGCGCTTCGCACGAAGAATGCGGCGATGTACGGCAATCACGTGCATCTGAAGAACGCTCGACTAACTCGAACTTATATTCGGCAGGTAACTACGGAGGTGTGTGCAGCCTGTTCCTCGGACTCAGCATCATAAACGTAATCGAGATGTTGTATAAGTTGGTCGCGCGGGTCTGGCGATCCGCAACGAGCGGACGAGCGCAGACGAGAGAGAAGATCGGAGAGAATCGAGATGACATCACGGAGGTGACGACGATCGCGGTGCAGCCTGCGCCGATACCGGAGATCGCTCAACCCAAGCTTCATTGGCGAGAAATGACCGGTGCTCTTCCCAATGGTGCGATGAAATCTGTCTGATTTATCTGTGTGATTTGTCAAATCTATTGCCGGAACACTGAAGAAGTATAGACACTCGGAATGAAAGAGGGAGAGAAAGAGATGCCGTCCGGTCTTCGTGTCAAGAAATATCCTGTTTCTCCACCCGGTTTTAGCACCGATCATCGCACTCGGTTATATAAGGCGGCGCACATGGGCTGTGCTTCGTTCCAAATGAGAAAGCAGGAGTCAGCCTCGGCAGCTTGAAGTTGTATATCGGGCCTGGACTTCGGGGAAGGGGTGGATACTCATATCGGAGTGCTATGCTGGGTATCGGAGCCTTCGGTTTTGTCACGTTGATATTATCCGGCGTATACGGACCCGCGCCAGCTTTGTATTTCCATGCTGGAGTGAACAATCCCCTGTAAACAGAGAATAATTCAGAATTGAATAAAATGATACAAAACAGTTCTCTCGCAATAATACGTAAGTTCCCCGANCCCCCCCCCCCCCTATTTCATTAATATACGCAGTTTTCGGTTTAACTCGGCAATTTCGTGATATCTAATATTTCAAAAATTTTATTATTACTTTTCAGAATGATGCTTTAATTTTCGCTTTTATACTTCACAGCGTTACATTGAATTGAATTTCATGACGAAAACTATGATTCATTTGAAAATATTCATTATTATATATTTCAGTGATTTTTTTCAGTAACTTTCGTCTCACCGTTCATCAAGTTCATCGAATATACCAGTATTCAAGTATAAGGAGAGAAATGACGATGAAATGGGGTCAATTGAGAAAGAATTCCAGTGAAATGTTCAGTATAATATTTCCATCAGGGTTACCTCAGCGACAATCAGGATTACCTAAGCAAGCTTACATGGTATAGGCGGGTGAGTCGATGGTGTGCTTGACTGTATAAGGTCCTGGTGTCTCGCTAACTTTCCTCTGCTTGGTCCTCCATTTCATCAAGAAGGCAATACCACGGTCACGGGGAAATTTGTATTTCGGGCCGGGTCCAATAGTGGTATCTAGTTAAGTATATGAAGAAACAGCTGTAATCGTCGTACACAGCTGCAGTCTAAATGAAGAAATTGGTGTTTCATCTTACCGTCTCGTACAGCAGCCATTCCGAAGGTATACCCTGGGCGTCTGCGTTCTTTGAACTTATATTTGGGTCCTGGGCTGATTGTCTCATATCTTTGCATCATATATTCGCCCAACGTGTAGGCTGGATTTCGGAACTTCGAAATGCAATGTCCCTTGTAGCCGACGAGCGTTTTGAGTTTATATTTAGGCCCGGGAACTGAAGGTGCAAAAAGTGACAATGTCAGTTATTGGAACATACAAGCCATCATCCTCTTCTTCTACTTAAAAAACTGTTCACATTTTTAACAGGAGAAGAAGATTGTCTTATGACTTTTTTTTTACCAGAATGTTATGTAAAGTTTACATTTGCAAAATTAATATCTATAATAAGTTGAGATACGTGCGTACCGATCACACCGCACATTGCGGTTTCTTGGGCCATTTCTACCGGTGTTTTCTTTTCCTTCTCATCCACCGGCCTGCCTTTCTTACGTCCTTTTTTTGGCGGCATTTCTCTTCACTTGAAGATTTTGATGGTTTTCATCCGAAATGTACGTTTCTTTTTTTGGTTACATCGTCATGATTGCGACTCCATTTTGTGAGAAAACAATTGCTTCTTTCAATTACTTCAACGTCTACACATGCCAGGAATATAATATGCATGCGAAACAACGATATACTAAATAATATGTGTTATATTTTCTCTTGTAATACTTGAATCTTCCACCTTGGGTCGTTTGAAGGCAAGGTTGCTCATTTCACAGGAAACATCGCGTGCGGAGGAAAGAGATCATCAAATTTTTCCACGGAACGGATTTATTACGCGACTAATAACACAACATGATATAACATCGACGAGTACAATAAATAATTTTATTTTCTTTATTTTGCGAGGTACTTCCAGATGAAGAATCAATCGTCCTCGTCCTGCTGTATGATCGGTAAGCCGGCACATTCGCTGTGCTTTATGCCGAACGAGTACATGGGCGCGCGCTTTTGCGTATCGTAAAGCGGATAAAAGGTCGGCGCCGGGCTGCGATACTTCTCCGACAGGAAGTGTCGTCCTTTCAGACTGTACGCGGGGTCCCGATGTTTCACCAAGTTGTAGTCCAACTTGGCGTACGCGGCCGGGCCCGGACCTCTGACAATCTCTCGCATCTCGTGATGACCAGTACTGAAAGAAGAAGAAAGAGGCGGGTCGCTGTGTGCATGTTTAAAAATGAAAGCACACCGCCAACAGAGAGTTGATCAACAGAATCCGTCTCACATAGAAAACGCGCCCTGTGCCGGCTTATCGGGCACCTTGGGCCCTATGCACGTGGGCAGAGAATATGAATTCGGACTTGGCACCCCGTCCGACAACACTGCCTCATGTCGCGACTTGATACTGTAAGCTGGCGCTCTACGATTGTGATTTATCAGCGGACATTTCTCAGGAGAATACGTCCCTGGTCCCGGTCCCAAGTGTCGCACTACGAAACTATCAACATGTTAGTCTGATATTTTAGGCTTTCGCAGTTTGGGTGAAAATACAATTTGGTTTTCAAGTTAGCACCGTGTCCTTCATGGACTTGTTGCTGATGTTTCGTGAACATTTCAGTTCACTCCTTCGCGTTTTCACTCTGAAACAGTTTCTGGTTGTTCCTCATCTTGCAAAAGTGAACTGAAATGTTCATGAAATATCAGCAATAAGTTCATGGAGGATATGATATATAAATAGAATGCCAACTCGAAAATCGAATGAAATATTAACACGTTAACATACTATTTGTTTTTTCAATAGAAAATACATCTTATGCTCTTACATCCCAATGCTTCTCTGCCTTTAATTGAATAAGCAGGTGGATTATCCTGCCCGGATTTGGTTAATTTCGACACATTGTAGCGTGGGCCAGGTCCTATCAAGAGAGGCTTTAAACCAGTTTTAGGTCGGATGGTGTACGCTGGATTTCTGTGACGCGATGGATCATGGTCAGTGTAGCCGACTAATGTTGGCAATTTGTAAACTGGGCCAGGACCTGTGCACAGAGACTCATTTTAACATGGTTGAACTGAATTCGTAGTTTGGATGTAATCCGACGTTTAAACGATCATCTAATACCTTTTACTTTGCAACTCAATGTTTTCGTTTCTCTACGCTCCATCGTAAGATTAAGAAAAATAAGAAAAAATAAAATTTACAAAGGAATATAAAAGTTCTTCATAATAGGTTAATAAAATGTGAAAATCGCGTGAAATATAATTGACATGTTCATGGTAGTCAGTACGTGTTTAGTCAACTACACAGTGGTCTGGAAGAGTAAAATGAAATGAAAAATGAAGATTATAGTTAAATTTATTTTTAAAAAATTCTCCCTATGTAAGTGAATCTAAATCATCATCGATGTCACTGTCAAAGCTGTCATCATCTTCCTCTTCTTTGACAGATAACAATTTAAGTTTTGTTAATAAGTCTTCTCTGCTTCTAGAATTTGTTGCATCCTCATTCGTGTCATTGCCATCAATTTCACCTGCACCTGATTCAGAGGTATCTTTCTTCTTGCTTTTGTCTGTGACAATTAAGTAGAATAAAAATTAATTTAAATTTATGATAAATTTGTTTTCTTCTTAAGAAGTCATTACCTTTCTGATTTACGTAACGTAAAAATGTTCTTCGTTTTCTCTCCGGCAGTGTTTTCAGGAGTGTCTGAAATTCCGTATCCAATTTAATTTGTTCTTCTTTGCTAGGCTTTCCTTCCACGATTTCGCTGTTCAGTCCACATTTCGGGCAAACTTCACGTTGCTTGGCACAAGGCAAACACATGATATGATAAGAATGCTTTATAGCTTTCTGCTCACACTTTGTACATTTTGCCGGAGTTTTAAGCGCCTTGTATTTCTTGTACTTGATTTTCCATTCTATTATCTTCTTACAGCGTTCACACACATTGGCAACTTCGATACTATTAATTGACTTTGTTTTCTGAGACTTGTCGTGCAAGTCATTCTTGAAGGCCGTGTGATTTTGATATTTCTGCCGCCTCGATCGATTACCATTCCCTCTTTGGCAACTCATGCCTTTTAACGTTGTAATATCTCAGCTGATATAATCAAAATATGCAGAAAGAACGTATCCTCTTTAAACTTTCTGTAACGAAGCGTAAAATAGTGAATCATAGATATGAAGTTATCACGCCAAATCTTAAATATGCTGAAAATAATAACATGCTTTACAATTCGTGTAATCATACATCTGCATATGTTGTCATCCGTCATAAAATAATTTCTCCCGTCTCATATAGTGACTTAACCTCTCGTCTGCTCTTCGAACACTGTACGCCGCCATACACGTTTTTGTCGTCAGCTAATGACGTCAACGTAAAGCCTCTTTCTAATCAGGATCAGGACATCTTTGACTTTTCACCGATTGGTTGACTCTTGTAGACCAATCGGGAAACATCGTCGATTAAAATTCGCCAAGATCTGCGCGTATCTTCTCCGGGAGATACCACGCGTAAACAAAATCGTATCAAAATGGCAGTCCCCTCTGTCTCTTTGAATACACGAAATAAAAAGCTCTTTTTGGGAGTACCGGCACCGTTGGGATATGTTGCTGGTGTTGGCAGAGGGTAACGTCGGCTAAGACACATTGTTGCATGAATACTCGCAGAAATATTAGCTGTAATCCGAATTATTGCAATGTAAATATAACCTAACCTCTCTTTTCATGTTTCAGAGCTACTGGGTTCACGACAAGGTCCGATATCGGCCCCGCTCGGGATGCCAACGACGTTTCGTAAGTAGAAAAGTGTGTTTCGCTGGGGAAACATGGAATTTGCAAATTGTTACATGTATTTTACTCTGAATTCAGAGATGACAGGCATGCTCCGCCCACGAAACGTACGAAGAAGAAGGAAGAGGAGGAAGAAGACGAGGAAGACTTGAATGATTCCAATTATGACGAATTTTCTGGATACGGGGGTTCTCTTTTTAGCAAAGTGAGTAAAACAGATTCTTCCTTCTTAATGACGCTAAGGATATTAATATTCTGATGATGTCAGGATCCTTACGATAAAGACGACGAAGAAGCCGATGCGATTTACGAAGCTATCGACAAACGCATGGATGAGAAACGCAAGGAATACAGAGAGAAGCGTCTTAGGGAAGAATTGGAACGTTATCGTCAGGAACGTCCTAAGATTCAGCAGCAATTCTCAGATCTGAAGAGAGAGCTGGTTAACGTAACCGAGGACGAGTGGAGAAATGTTCCGGAAGTAGGCGACGCCAGGAATCGTAAACAGCGCAATCCGAGAGCGGAGAAATTTACTCCGCTGCCGGATTCTGTACTAGCCAGAAATTTAGGGGGCGAGTCGTCCACCAGCATCGATCCATCCAGCGGTTTGGCTTCTATGATGCCAGGTGTGGCGACGCCTGGCATGCTAACTCCCACGGGGGATCTTGATCTGCGGAAGATTGGACAGGCGAGGAACACACTGATGAACGTCAAGTTGAATCAGGTTTCCGATTCTGTGGAGGGTCAAACTGTGGTCGATCCGAAAGGGTATCTCACTGACTTGCAGAGCATGATACCAACTTATGGGGGTGATATCAAGTAAGCGTGATCGTCAGACTTATCTCGCCTTGCTTAAATAATATTAAGAATTTGCGAATATCTAATGGCTTCTCTTCCGTTTTCGACCAGCGACATCAAGAAAGCCAGACTATTGTTAAAATCTGTCCGAGAGACCAATCCCAATCACCCGCCTGCGTGGATCGCGTCCGCACGTCTGGAGGAGGTAACGGGCAAGGTACAGGCGGCGAGGAACTTAATAATGAAGGGTTGCGAGGTGAATCCCACCTCCGAGGATCTGTGGCTGGAAGCCGCGCGACTGCAGCCGCCGGACACGGCGAAGGCGGTGATAGCCCAGTCGGTGCGTCACATTCCAACGTCCGTCAGGATCTGGATAAAAGCCGCGGACTTGGAGACGGAGGTGAAAGCGAAAAGGAGGGTGTACCGCAAGGCTCTGGAACATATACCGAACTCGGTGCGACTGTGGAAAGCGGCGGTCGAGTTGGAGGAGCCCGAGGACGCGCGTATCCTGCTTAGCCGCGCGGTCGAGTGCTGTCCGACCAGCGTGGACCTGTGGCTCGCTCTCGCCAGACTGGAGACTTACGACAACGCGAGGAAGGTTCTGAACAAAGCCAGGGAGAACATACCGACGGACCGGCAAATCTGGACGACCGCTGCGAAACTGGAGGAAGCGAACGGCAACAAGCACATGGTGGAGAAGATCATCGATCGCGCTATCACGTCGTTGAGCGCGAACGGAGTGGAGATCAACAGGGAACACTGGTTCAAGGAAGCCATGGAGGCTGAGAAGGCCGGGGCGGTGCATTGTTGCCAGGTTATCGTCAAGGCCATCATCGGCTTCGGAGTGGAGGAGGAGGACAGAAAGCACACTTGGATGGAGGACTCGGAAACTGTAAGGCCTCCTTGGCATTTCTCTCTCTTATAGATGAATATTTATCTACTTCTATCCATCTCAACCTTCCATATCTAATTGCCAATTCCTATCTGCTCTTGATTATTTTCTACCTAATTCTTGCACCAACCCCAAACTATTTGTTACCTCGTCCTTACATCTCTCTTCACTTCCCGTCTGATTTTCTTATCCTATATCGCTAGCTTTGTATCTTTCCTTTTTCCTCTCCTTCAACTCCCCTTCTCTTCCTCTCTACGGCTTTCTCAATATACTTCCTCTAACTATATCCAATCATTTTGTATCCTATTGCTTATTCCTACCCTTTACAAAAATGACGACAACGCGAGAGTTTGCGTTACATAAAATGTAAAACATATTGTTCGCAGTGTGCGCAACAAGGAGCGTTGGAATGCGCCAGAGCCGTGTACGCTTACGCATTGACGACGTTCCCCAGCAAGAAGTCGATCTGGCTGCGCGCGGCTTACTTCGAGAAAACCTACGGCACGCGAGAATCCCTGGAAGCATTGTTGCAGAGGGCGGTCGCTCATTGTCCAAAGAGCGAAATACTCTGGCTGATGGGCGCGAAATCGAAATGGCTGGCTGTGAGTGGCTGAATCGCGAAGCATCATCTCGTTGCGTTCGATCTTGGTGTTCTCTGACGTTGAAATTCCCTCCTCAGGGCGACGTGCCGGCAGCCAGAGGTATCTTATCGCTCGCGTTTCAAGCTAATCCCAATTCCGAGGAGATCTGGCTGGCGGCGGTGAAGCTGGAATCCGAGAACTCCGAGTACGAGAGGGCCCGACGCTTACTGGCGAAGGCCAGAGCGTCCGCCCCGACGCCGAGGGTGATGATGAAAAGCGCCAAGTTGGAGTGGGCTCTTAAAAATCTCGAAGCGGCGTTGCATCTCTTGAAAGAAGCTCTCGAGGCTTTCGACGATTTCCCCAAGCTCTGGCTGATGAAGGGCCAAATCGAGGAGCAGCAGGGTAACTTGGACAAAGCGTTGGAAACGTATAATCAAGCGGTAAGCGATTCCAGCGTATTCGATGAGGATATAATCGCGTGTAATATTTCAGTCATTATGACGTAACTGCTTTCTATGTTACAGATCAAGAAGTGTCCGAATTCAATCCCTTTGTGGCGTCTGTTGTCACAATTGGAGCACAGGAGGAACCAAGTGACCAAAGCTCGTTCGGTTCTGGAGAAAGCCAGGCTGAAAAATCCCAGGAATGCGGAATTGTGGCTGGAGGCTATACGAAACGAATTGAAAAGCGGCGGTGTTCGTGATATGGCGAACACCCTAATGGCTAAGGCGTTGCAGGAATGTCCTACGTCTGGTCTACTTTGGGCGGAAGCAATTTTCATGGAACCACGGCCGCAAAGAAAAACTAAAAGTGTGGACGCTCTCAAGAAGTGCGAGCACGATCCCCACGTTCTCCTGGCGGTATCAAAGTAAGCATCTCTCGCAGACTTTTACAATATATTCTGGATAATTAGAAACGAGATGCCACATATGTGATTCTGTTGCAGATTGTTCTGGTGCGAACACAAGATCTCGAAGTGCAGAGATTGGTTCAATCGGACGGTGAAGATCGATCCAGATTTAGGCGATGCATGGGCGTACTTTTATAAATTTGAATTGCTGAACGGTACGGAGGAGCAGCAAGACGATGTAAAGAAAAGATGCATCGCTGCGGAACCTCATCATGGTGAAAATTGGTGTAAAGTCTCCAAGAACATAGCAAACTGGTGTTTGAGTATAGATCAAATCTTAGTATTAGTCGCAAGAGATTTACCTATTCCTATATAAACCTTCTAAATGTATTCCTATATAAACATTCTTAATGTATATGTATAATGTATAAGTATGATACTTGTAAATAAAGCTACGCGTATTTTGATTGATTTTGTCTAGTGATATATATATATATATATATATATGGTATAATCTTATCTATTCTTAATTAATTATATATTATTTATATATTACTTTACATATGTATATCTTATATGAAGCATAATAAGATTGATTGACTATGTAAATCGTGTATTGTATAATTTTGTTAGAAAGCATTTTATGATAGATTTAAAATTATATACACACACGCACAGAGAAAGAGGATGTGTTAAAAATATTAAACCAAGCAACTTAAAAGAGACTATAAATACAGAACTTCAAAATAAACTGTTTTGTTGATATTTTTCCGACATTTCTTATATACTATTATTATTGCGCATATATAACCGCACTTCACGCTGTCGAGTCAACGATTTCCTGAATCGCAGATCAACAGTAGCGCCAGTAGCGCTTTTAGGATCATTTCGAGGTTATGAGCGCGTAGCGTCTAAGAGAAATCTCTGTTTTCTTATTGACCGTCGTAAGTCAGAAGAATTTGTAATGTTTACTGCGAAGATACATGATCTTGCTGATTATTGTATAAATATGAAGAAAAAGATATACGAGATAAAGGAGATTAAATAATTAGCACACGGGGGATCACAATGCGACCGTATGGATCTGAAGAGTGGCGTTAAAATTGTATCTGTGTGGGTAAGGAAACATTAGAGGAAAGATTCCATTAGTCGCGAAAATGAAGCAAAATGCATTGCCCGCGGTCACGTTACGCCGCAGCATGAGATCCGTTTAATGTCAAGTAAGTACGAATGAAATAACGTGCGAATCTTTTCGCGCAACATAACCTCACGTCGCCACGCATACGAATTCGGATAACTGATTTCTGTATTTTCAGTTATCAAGCGGACGAGAGAATCACGATCACTGAGCTTCACACATTGATCCAATACATACGATACCAGAGACAATGACGAACACGCTGATGTTGCAATTCGCCCAACGGCTGAAATCAAGGAACGAAGAGGCGCGTAACAAAGCTGCGCGTGATTTGTGCCTGTATGTGAAGAGAGAGCTGCGAGAAGCGTCGCAGGAGGATATCACGGCCTTTATGGACGACTTCAATCATCACATATTCGAGATGGTATCCGCTTCCGACGTGAATGAGAAGAAAGGCGGCATATTGGCCATAGTTTGCCTTATCGGGGCCGAAGTGGGTAACTTCAACACGCGAACGGTACGATTCGCCAACTATCTTAGAAACTTAATACCTTCCAACGACGTGGGCGTAATGCAATTAGCCGCCAAGACCGTCGGGAAGTTAGCGCTGGTCTCGGGCACGTATACGGCCGAGTACGTGGAGTTTGAGGTGAAACGTGCCTTCGAGTGGCTCGGCACGGACAGACACGAAGGTAGGAAACACGCGGCCGTGCTTATCCTGAGAGAGCTCGCCGTCTCCGTGCCGACGTACTTTTTCCAACAAGTCACCATGTTTTTCGAGTTGATATTCAACGCTATACACGACCCGAAGCCTACGGTGAGAGAGGCCGCGGTGGAAGCTCTGAGAGCGGCACTGGTGGTCACTGCTCAGCGGGAGACCGCGAAACAGATGCACAAGGCTCAGTGGTACAGGCAGTGCTACGACGAAGTGGTGGACGGATTCGCGGAGGTCCACACGAAGGAGAGGGGCATCAACAGGGACGACAGGATACACGGCTCGTTGCTGGTGCTGAACGAACTGTTGAGATGCAGCAACGTGCAGTGGGAGAGGACCTACGAAGCTCTGATGGAGAGGTTGAACGGCTCGACGCAGAACGAGAACGACATCCTGTCGTTGATGCCGCGTCTGAAGACGACGATAGTGTCGCAGTGGGCCGGATCGACTCCGAACACCTCCGGCACTCAGCATACCGTGTCGCCGCCGCAGGAATCGGCCGTCTGCAGATGCCTGATGCAGGAGAGACTGGACGACATTTACAACGACGTGATGAATCAGAAGATGTCGCGCAACCCGCACATTCAGCAGGCCCTGATGATGCTGCTGCCGCGACTCGCCGCGTTCAACAAGGAGAAATTCATCAAGGAACATCTGAAAGAGTCACTGGGCTATCTGTTGATGATCCTGCGCAATCGCGAGAAGGACCGTTACGCCGCGTTCACGGCGATCGGCTTCATCGCGGTGGCGGTGGAGGATGCGATCAAGCAGTACCTGCCGAGGATCATGGAAGTGATCAAGAGCCTGTTGCCGTCGAAGGAGACGCCGAACAAGAAACGCTCCTCCTTGGAGCCCGCTGTCTTCGTCTGCATCACGCTGCTGAGCCACGCGGTCAAGCAAGTGATAGCTCCCGACGTGAAGGACCTGCTGGAGCCGATGTTCACGACGGGGCTGAGCCCGATCCTGACCACCGCTCTCCGGGAACTGGCGCACAACATACCGTCCCTGCAGGTGGACATATCTCAGGGCCTGCTGCGAATGTTATCGCAGGTTCTCATGCAAAAGCCGTTGAGACACCCGGGTGCACCGTGGACGGCGAGCAGTCCCAACTCCACGTCGGACGACGTGTCGTCGACGGTGCTCGCCTTGAAGACCCTGGGCACGTTCAACTTCGACAACAATCCGCTGCTGCAGTTCGTGAAGAGATGCGCCGACCACTTCCTCATGTCGGAGCAGGCGGAGGTCCGGTTGGAGGCTGTAAAAACGTGCTCGAGACTGTTGAGGTTGACGCTGAATCAGTCCGGTCCTACGGTCACCAATACCGTCTCGAATGTTTTAGGTAAGTTGCTGGTGGTGGGCATCAACGACACAGACCCCGACGTGCGGCTGTGGGTGTTGGCCTCGTTGGACGATTCCTTCGACGTGCAGCTGGCCCAAGCGGAGAACCTGTCCGCCCTGTTCATCGCAATGAACGACGAGATGTTCGAGATACGGGAACTGGCGGTACGCACGGTCGGCCGGCTCAGCACGCTGAATCCCGCGTACGTAATGCCGTCGTTGCGGAAGACCCTGGTGCACTTCCTCACGGAACTGGAGCACTCGGGGATGGGCCGTAACAAGGAGCAGGCCGCCCGTATGTTGGACCACTTGGTCGTGACGTCGCCCAGGCTGGTGCGGCCCTACATGGAGCCGATCCTGAAGGTCCTCGTGCCGAAACTGAAGGAGCCCGATCCCAACCCCGGTGTTATACTCGCCGTGTTGCGCGCGATCGGCGATCTGGCGGAGGTGAACGGCGCCGAGATGCAGCAGTGGATGCCGGAGCTCTCGTCGATACTGCTGGAGATGCTGGTGGACGCGAGCTCGCTCGAGAAGCGGGGCGTCGCTCTCTGGGTGTTCGGCCAGTTGGTCGGCAGCACCGGCCACGTCGTCAAGCCGTACATGCAGTATCCGTCGTTGCTGGACGTTCTCATAAACTTCCTGAAGACCGAGCAGCAGCCTATCATCCGCCGGGAGACGATCCGAGTGCTGGGTCTGTTGGGCGCATTGGACCCGTACAAGCACAAGATGAACCTCGGCCAGATCGACTCGCAGTTGGACACGCTGAGCTCGATGGCCGACGCCAAGAGCGACGTGGAGAACAGCCAGGACCTCACCACCAGCGAGATGCTGGTGAACATGTCGCCGTCCACCCTGGAGGAGTTTTACCCGGCGATCGCGATCACGACGCTCATGCGGATCATCCGCGAGCCCACCCTCATCCAGCATCACACGATGGTGGTGCAGGCGGTGACCTTCATATTCAAGAGCCTCGGCATCAAGTGCGTGCCGTACATCTCCCAAGTAATGCCGAGCTTCCTGAACGTCGTGCACACGGCCGACGTGAATTTCCGCGAGTTCCTCTTCCAACAGCTCGCCGTTCTCATCGCCATCGTGAAGCAGCACATACGCAACTATCTCGACGACATCTTCAACCTGATCAAGGAGTTCTGGACGGCGAACAGCCCGTTGCAGAGCACGCTGATCCTGCTGGTCGAGCAGATCGCCGTGGCGCTGGGCGCCGAGTTCAAGATCTACCTGCCGCAGCTGATGCCGCCGATCCTGCGCGTGCTGACCCACGACAGCAGCAAGGATCGCGCGGTGACGGTGAAGCTGCTGCTCGCTCTGCAGACGTTCGGCAGCAACCTCGACAATTACCTGCATCTCGTTCTACCGCCGATCGTCAAGCTGTTCTACGCGAACGACTGTCCGATCGCCGTGAACAAGGTCGCCCTGGAGACGGTCGATCTGCTGGCCGACACTCTGGATTTCAGCGACTTCGCGTCGCGGATCGTCCACACCCTGGTGCGAACGTTGGACCAGTGCCCCGAGCTGAGGAACACCGCCATGGACACGCTCTGCGCCGTGGTGATGCAGCTCGGCAAGAAGTATCAGATCTTCATTCTGCTGGTGCAGAAGGTCATGATGAAGCACAAGATAGTGAACCCGCGCTACGACGTTCTCGTCGACAAGATCCTCACCGACACCACCGTGGCGGACGGCGAGGATTTCCTGCTGATGAGGCTGAGACACTCGCGCAACAAGAACCGCGAGATCTCGCTGACACCGTCGGAAACGACGACGATCAAGAGGCTGCACGTGTCGGCGTCGAACCTGCAGAAAGCCTGGACCGCGACGCGCAGGGTCTCCAAGGACGATTGGCTCGAGTGGCTGCGCTGCTTCTCCATCGGCCTGCTCAAGGAGTCCCCGTCCCCGGCGCTGAGGTCTTGCTGGGCGCTCGCGCAGACGTACGCCGTGCTGCCCCGCGACCTCTTCAACGCCGCCTTCGTCTCCTGCTGGACCGAGCTGAACGACGCGTATCGAGCGGAGCTGATACAGACCCTGCACCAGGCGCTGATGGTGCCGGAGCTGCCGACGGAGATCACGCAGACCATCCTGAATCTGGCCGAGTTCATGGAGCACTGCGACAAGGGCCCGTTGCCGCTGGACAACAAGATCCTCGGCGACACGGCGATGCACTGTCGCGCCTACGCCAAAGCCTTGCACTACAAGGAGGACGAGTTCCACAAGAGCCGTAGCAGCAACGTCTTCGAGTCCCTGATCTCCATCAACAACAAGCTGCAGCAGAAGGAAGCGGCGGAGGGTCTGCTGGAGTACGTGATGAACCAGCACAATCAGCAGGACCTCAAGGTGCAGATACGCTGGTACGAGAAGCTTCACAACTGGGACAAGGCGTTGCAGCTCTACCACGAGCGTCTGGAGAGCGACTCGGCGGACGTGGAGTCGACGCTGGGCGAGATGCGCTGTCTGGAGGCCCTGGGCGAGTGGGGCCAGCTGCACGAGGTCGCCACGAAGCATTGGACGAATCAGGCCGACGAGACGAAGCAGAGGATGGCGAGGATGGCGGCGGCCGCGGCCTGGGGCTTGGGTCAATGGGAGTGCATGCAGCGGTACGTCTCGCTGATACCGAAGGACACTCAGGACGGGGCGTTTTACAGGGCGGTGCTGGCGATCCACGACGAACAGTACAACACGGCGCATCAGCTGATCGACAGCGCGCGGGACATACTGGACACCGAGCTGACGGCGATGGCCGGCGAGAGTTATCAGCGGGCCTACAACGCGATGGTGGAGGTGCAGAAGCTGGCGGAGCTGGAGGAGGTGATACAGTTCAAGCTGGTGCCCGAACGGAGGACGGCGATCAAGGCGATGTGGTGGGAGCGGCTTCAGGGCGGGCAGAGGATAGTGGAGGACTGGCAGAAGATCATACAGGTGCACACGCTGGTGGTCTCGCCTCAGGACGACATGTACACGTGGCTGAAGTACGCCAGCCTCTGCCGGAAGAGCGGCAGCCTGATGCTCTGTCACAAGACGCTGGTGATGCTGCTGGGCGTCGATCCCTCCTTGAATTCGGACCAGCCGTTGCCGACTACGCATCCCCAGGTGACTTTCGCCTACTGCAAGCATCTGTGGGTCGCGAACCAACGCGAGGAGGCGTACAACCAGCTGCAGCGCTTCGTGCAGACGTACCTGCAGCCGGCGACCGCGGGTATAGCGTGCCAGGACGACGAGAAGCAGCACGAGAGCAAGAAGAGGCTGCTCGCCAAGTGTTACCTCAAGCTCGGCGAGTGGCTGGAGGCGCTCAAGGGTATAAACGAGCACTCGATACCCGCGGTGCTGACTTACTACGCCGCCGCCACCCAGCACGATCCGAAGTGGTACAAAGCGTGGCACGCGTTCGCCTACACCAACTACGAGACCGTGCTGTTCTACAAGCACCAGCAGCAGGACGACTCCTCCGTGATGGAGGCCGCGCCCGGCAACGGCGCGCGCAATAATCTCACCAGCTCGCAGTACATATCGCAGTTCACCGTGCCGGCGGTCGAGGGCTTCTTCAGATCGATCAACTTGTCGGACGGCAACTCGCTGCAGGACACCCTGCGCCTGTTGACGCTCTGGTTCGACTACGGCCAATGGCCGGAGGTGTACGACGCGGTCGTCGAGGGTATCAGGCTGATAGAGATAAACACTTGGCTGCAAGTAATCCCACAGCTAATAGCTAGAATCGACACACGGGCCTTGGTCGGCCACTGCATACACCATCTTCTTATTGATATAGGCAAGTCGCATCCTCAGGCACTGGTTTATCCGTTGACAGTAGCATCGAAGAGCGCCAGCCTCGCGAGGAAGAACGCGGCGAACAAGATCCTGAAGAGCATGTGCGAGCACAGCCCGACCCTGGTGCAGCAGGCCATGATGGCGAGCGACGAGCTGATCAGAGTCGCGATTCTCTGGCACGAGCTGTGGCACGAAGGCTTGGAGGAGGCCAGCAGATTGTACTTCGGAGAGAGGAACGTCAGGGGCATGTTCGACACGTTGGAGCCGTTGCACGCTATGCTCGGCAGGGGGCCGCAGACCTTGAAGGAGACCTCGTTCAACCAAGCCTACGGGAGGGATCTGATGGAGGCGCAGGAGTGGTGCCACCGTTACAAGGCGTCCCGGAACGTCCGGGACCTGAATCAAGCGTGGGACCTGTATTATCACGTGTTCCGGAGGATATCCAGGCAGCTGCCGCAGCTGACCAGTTTGGAGCTGCAGTACGTCAGTCCGAAGCTGCTCCTCTGCAGGGACCTGGAGTTGGCCGTGCCCGGCAGCTACAGTCCCGGCCAGCCGATAGTGAGAATCGCGAGTATTCATAGTTCTATGCAAGTGATAACCAGTAAGCAGAGACCGAGGAAGTTGTGTATCAAAGGTCAGTGGCGATGGCGCGACGCGGCCTCCATCTCCTTTGGTTTAATCTGAGCAGCGTTCACCGGTCTCGTCGCCGTGTTTCAGGTAGCAACGGTAAGGATTACATGTTCCTGCTGAAAGGCCACGAGGACTTGAGGCAGGACGAAAGGGTGATGCAGCTGTTCGGCCTGGTGAACACCCTGTTGCTGCACGACCCGGACACTTTCCGCAGGAACCTCACCATCCAAGTGAGTGTGGGCAACGTAGTGACTATCGTAAGCGGAGACTCGCGACTTAAATAATCCTTCCGACCCTCAGAGATACGCTGTGATTCCATTGTCCACGAACAGTGGGCTTATCGGCTGGGTGCCGCATTGTGATACGCTTCATACGCTCATAAGGGACTACAGGGAAAAGAAGAAGATACTGCTGAACATCGAGCACAGGATAATGTTACGAGTAAGCGAGGGAGAGATAAACTCTGCCAATCTATGGTGGCATTATTAAGGCAGGCGAGAGACATGGTAACGTGTTCTTTTTCCTTTCAGATGGCGCCCGACTACGATCACCTTATGCTCATGCAGAAGGTCGAGGTGTTCGAGCACGCTCTCGAGCACACGCACGGCGATGACCTGGCGCGACTGTTGTGGCTGAAGTCGCCGTCGAGCGAAGTGTGGTTCGACCGCAGGACCAACTACACGCGCTCTCTGGCTGTGATGTCCATGGTGGGCTACATACTCGGCCTCGGCGACCGTCACCCGTCCAACCTGATGCTGGACCGTCTCAGCGGCAAGATCTTGCACATCGACTTCGGCGACTGCTTCGAGGTGGCTATGACGCGTGAGAAGTTCCCGGAGAAGATACCGTTCCGCCTGACGCGGATGCTGATCAACGCGATGGAGGTGACCGGCATCGAGGGAACGTACCGGCGAACCTGCGAGTCGGTGATGTCCGTGTTGCATCGGAACAAGGACAGCCTGATGGCGGTGTTGGAGGCGTTCGTCTACGATCCCCTGCTGAACTGGAGGCTGATGGACAACGCGGTGCCGAAGGGGAAACGATCGGACGCTCAGGGTATGAGCGCCAGCAGCAGCCAGGAACACGGGGACATGCTCGACTCGCTCACCGCCACGCTGCCAAAGAAGGGCGTGCCGTGTAGCATCGAAAACGGAGGTATGGACCACACGTTTCTGGCATTAATCGTCGGTAAATTAATCCGATAGTGATAAAATATCAAATTAATGGATAAAAAAGATCGGTCGTAAACATCGAAAAAAACGATAAAACGAGATTTTTTGTCGCAGACCGATTTAAAGAAATTTCCAATATTCTTCGAGTGGAACTTTCCAATAGCGACATCGTACATTTCTCCCTTGACGTAATTCAGCGTTTACTTCGCGTATGTATGCGTTCGCAGGTGACAATAACCAACCGGAAGCACTGAACAAAAAAGCTCTCGCGATCATAGTGAGAGTCAGAGACAAATTGACGGGACGCGATTTTTCGCACGAGGAAACCCTCAGCGTCCGACGACAGGTGGACCTACTCATCCAGCAGGCCACGAACAACGAGAATCTTTGTCAATGTTACATCGGATGGTACGTAATTATTTACAGCCATGTCGTTTCGACAATCCATTTTTTTTATTTGTTACAGATATTTCCCTTTTAGAATAGACACTCTTATTTTGTTGATACTGTATTAACAACTCGCTTCCAGCTTATTTTAAAATATAAGAAGTATGTTCACACATATAAAAATTGTTTAAAAAACATGGATACAAACTTCGTAATTGCACGTTACAGGTGTCCCTTCTGGTAAATGTAAATTCGATGTGAAGACGGCATCTCGTACATGTGCAATCGACCGCTCTGCAGCATTTATATTGTTACGAAATTATTATTATCTTTACTTTCACAGTGATCAATATGTATGATGTACATATATACCCTTATTGTATGATTTATATGTGATAGATAAACAGTCTATTGTAATAAGTAGAATGTATACTAGCGCATTGTGTACATTATAAAAGTTTGGTTGACAGTTATAATGGCGATGTGTTTAGTCTGTTTTTTTTTTTACGTATAGTCGAACGCTGTCTGTAAAAAAAAAAATAAACAAGTTTACAGCGGAAATACTATCATTTCGATCTTATATCCATTGAGGAAACCGAGCGATCAAAACAATAACAAATTTGTATTCCTATATATGCATATACATCGTTGTACATAATTTTTCTGCATCGTTAATTCCGATTCCGTGAAACTCCAACTTATAACTAATTCTACATAAAGCACATATTTCAGGTAATGTATATATAGTCTGATATATGTGCTTTATTTATTCATCATTATACAGGATGGACAACATAACGTAATTACCTTGATTATTTCTGCTTCTACTGGACTAATTCAAATTATTTCTTGTTAATACTTAGGTTCAGAAGGACCTACAAATTGACGTTTCTCTATGTTCATTCTGTTCGCTCTATTCATTCTGCGTATAAAAGTACAAGAGTAAAATCATCGAAAAGTGATATTTTACTTTTTATCATGATACTTTTTTAGTACACACAAGATATAAAAGTAAAATATCTCGAAAATATTCACCTTTCGATGACCCTGGTATTTTTATATGCAAAATGAACAAAGAAATCGATTTACAAAAAAAAAATCTATAACTCTATTAAAAAAAATGAAGGTGATCTTGAAAACTTCATAAAAAAGGTTTATAAAAAAGTGAAACGTCAATTTACATGTCCTCCTGACCCAAAGTGTTAACAGAATAATTTGGATCCAATGGAGAAACGGAAGTAATTAAGATGATCAAATTATATTGCCCGCCATGTATACAACTATATTTATATAATAACGAATAAATAATTTGATTAAGTCAATCGTCCATAAAATTCTCCGCGCGTTTTATCATAGCCTCTACGTTGGTCGAAGGATCTTAGATGAAATCGTCGGTTATGACTCTTGCATATCTTGCATGTGGAACGAGAGCGGGCATATCTCGCTGGTCCGAGTCCGTAGAACTTTCTTCATGTCGGATCTCGTCAGGTAGATCGGTATATCACCGAACTCGGAGATCACCTGCCTGCATATCCCGCATGGCGCGGTGAATGTCGTGTTCTCGTGATCGGCGACCACGGTTAGCGCTTTGAATTGCCTCTTGCCCTCCGACACGGCCTTCACGATCGCCGTCGTCTCGGCGCAGACGCCCGCGGGAAAGGACGAGTTTTCTATGTTGCAGCCCTTCGAGATGCTACCGTCCGCGCATCGCAACGCCGCGCCCACCTTGAACTTGCTGTACGGCGAGTACGAGTTCTCACGCACCGCTACGCTCTCCCGTATCAGTTCCTGAATGTCCGCGTCTAAACATAAAAATGTATGTACAGATTTTAAATTGTAAGATGGCAACGTTCCATGGAAATTAATAAACCTGCTATTATCTTCCCAGTAACATGAAAATGTTCGTTTAAATTTATTCCATTAACACCCCAGGAAACTTAAATGTAACGTTATATTAATATTCATACAACATGCCAGGGATCTACTAATCCCGATAAAAAATATTTTATGCAAAATTTTGTAAAAAAAACTTTTGCCTGTTCTCTCGACGTTAAAATTTAAAGAAAAGACTTGCTGAAGCCTTCTAACATACACAGAAGAAAAAAATTGTTCACGTTCCTTCGTGCTTTCGATTCCGATCGACCCATCCACCTACTAATTATGCTCGTTATTATTGCTTAATTTCAATAATCGGATATGTCTAGCACTGGCTCCACTAGTTCTGACGATATCCTTGTGACTTATGCTTATATAATTTATCTAAAGCGCTCACAAAACATTCTAATGACATATTTATTGGCATACATTAAAAACAACTCAATAATACACGACCCCCGCGTTGCGAATTCGAAACTGATTTTCCCGCGCCTCGTCGCCATTTTCGCGCACGAAATCGCGCGCAGTCAGTCGCGCCAATGGCGAGGTTCACCGAGAATCAATGCAAATCTAAAGATAACCGTTTCAAATGTAACGAAAATAACATGTGACTCACACATGCAAGAAAGTAAAACATAAATTCGACATAACACACGATGCGGCTGGAGGTTCGTTGCATTACATATCATCTTTCGGACGGATCGCTCGCTTTCAAGCCGCGTTTTAACGCGTACGTGTTTGCCAAAGGTGTGCCGGTCATCCGTGCGGAAGAATTAATTAGCCGACTGTACGCCGATAAAGAGGAACGATGATGAATCGCGCTAAACAATCTGTTTACGTGCTATCGTGGCTCCGTTCCAGTCGAAGGATCTAATAAACGAGGCGTCGCGGAATTAACTGGACATTACGACGCATATTAAACGACTGACGTTACATGAACTGAAACCCGAACGTCAACGTGAAATTTGTTATCGCGCGTGATTGTCGTTCAAGGCGAACAATTTTCCGAGATGTGTAATTTCCCGGTCAGTAACGTCTGAAATCAGATCACGAGACGTCTGAAAGGCGTTAAATGTCTTACGTCCCTATTTTGGACGCTACGTCGGTGTCCGGATCACGAAGATAGGATCCAACAGATAATTCTGAGAATATCATTTTGCAGAGAGTGCGAGCGTGGCGTAGTAGACAGCGCACCGGTCTTTGCCATGTAGAGGTCCGGGTTCGATTCTCGGCAAGAGACAGACAAATTTTTTCATGCGCTCGTGGAAGTTCCTCTTCGGTGGTTTGGCAAACCACCACCAAAGAGTATTTCATGCCATGGGAAAAAACCTCTCCCCAAAAATTTGCCGTTCGGAATCGGTGTTTTTATAAAAGCTTTTGTAGGTCTGCATATGTGTGTAATCTGCATACGCGCACCACATGCGCGCAACGTGAGAGAGAAAGAGTGAGAAAGAGAGAGGGGGGTAGGCTTAGGCCTGACTTTGGGCTGTGTAGCGCCATTGATGATTGATCATTTTGCAGAATCTTCCAACAGAAACTCGGAGGATATATAGAGGCTTATTTATATCTTATCTTCCGTAGATTCGTCTCTGATTATTGTAACGTTCTCGCCAAGAGACACAGGACACGATATTTACCGACGTATCTCGCTAGTTAACATTTCCCCTCTTTACACTTATCTACCAACCATAAGTTAGTTTCACACACCTTCTTTAAACATACGTGGCGTTTCACAATCGTGTTGCGTACGTTTCGAGAACGTCTATGAAACTAACTGTGCTACTACCGCGCCTGGTGACGTTAGAAACGTCCGACGCGCACCGATGTAAACAGTCTTTCAGAAATCGCCCACGTCGGGACAGCATATGTGGTAATGAGAAGGGCGAAATTCGCGTGTGTCGCGCGCAGAACTCGCTTCGGGAGAGCTTCATTCTCCGTCGCGCGCGGCCAGGACGCGCGAGCGGATTATGACCGATCGATCGGCCGCGCATATGGAATAATATGAGAGCAATACAACGTCATGTGACGAGCACGAAAAAAAGAGAGGCAGAAAGAGAGAGAGAGAGAGAGAGAATGAGTGAGAGCGCACTTGCGCGCAGAAGGTGCGGGCGGGAGAAGTGACTATTTACCAAGCGCCGAAAAATCGATTATGTCCCTGGTGTTCATCCCGCGGAGGAGGAATCGTCGAGCCTTTGGCAGCAATCCAGACAGGTTCCTGCTAACTAGCCGATATTCGTGCTACGACAGCACCTAGTGTCTCCAGACGACTGCGTTCCGTGCGAGGTCTCGTGCAACTTCTCTCGGGGCCGGCCTGCCGAGGCGCTATTTAAGCGAGACCGCCTCGTCTAACCTAACCTTGGCCGGATCTCCGGATTCGTGCGTTGCACGAGTTTCTAAAGGCAACGGCACACGATGCTTGTTTTCGTGCTGGATTGCTTGCTGAATGAAAACACTGCCTTCTGATTGGTGTATCGTCATCCATTTTCGGAAATGCACCCATCGAAACGCAGTATTTCCATCCAGCAAGCAATCCAGCACGTAAACAAGCATCGTGTGCCGCTGGCTTAACACTGGAAACCCCCGAAAGAAAGAGCCGCGCGAATCAGTGCCGGGAGTAACCGGGAAATTCGACCTCGGGAGATAGTCGAGAAGCAGAAGAATTGAGAGATCGCGGGGGTAAAGGGGGGAGGGTCGTCCTCCGAGCTGTTATATTATTTGTCAGCGATCGCACGCATGCGATACGCATATGCACGCGCGTAAACGATGAGCCGTGAGCGTCCGTTGCACCTGGCGACATTCAGCGATTGATTAGTCGTCGTCGCGCTCCTCCCGCGCTCGTCGTTGCGGTCGATAGTCTTTCGAAAAAACCTCGCGCCCGTGTGTATCGAGCCACCGCTGTATCGATGCGCGCGCGCGCGGGAAAATTCAATTCGTCGGGAAACGGCGTCGAGAAGTGCCGTAAGTACGCGGAGCACGCTTACGTTTTTCATCGATCGAGCGAGTGAACGGCGGGACATTCACGCGAGGATTGGCGATCATTCTCTCTCTCTTTCTCTCTCGCACGCGAAAACGTGATCTTCCCCAGGGGGTCTCGCCAGTCACTAACAATACGCGAAGTCGAAGGGACTGCGTTGCATGTCGAGCTCCTTTGAATTATGAATCGTTTGAAATGATTTTAAGTTACTCCCGTCGGTGCGACAGGGAGAGAAGGATAGTGTGAGAAAGAGACAGAGAGTGAGAGAGGGGAAGGTGAAAGAGGAAAAGAGAGACACGTACAGAGGGAGAGGGAGTGAGAGAGGGACAAAGAGCGCGTGCCGATGCTTGTTGGTTGCTCAGCTGTTTTGAAGAATCGACGACGCAGCCTGGACGGGCAGCAGCGATCGGCCGTGACTCGGCGCGAGACCGCTGCACTCACGTCCAAACGCAAACAGATGTGGAGTGACTGTCGAAATTTCTGACACATCTCGGCCACGATTGTCGACGCGAGGAGCATCCCCTTAGCGTGCACGCACGACGGCGGTGGCGACGAGTTCCTCGAGCTGAGGCCGAGAGCTTAACGTTTAACGGAACGGACGGAATAAAGGGCGAGCCATGAGCGAGCTGAGCCAGGAAGAAGTGAGTAGGATATCGTGGATATCGTGCACGGCGTGTGTATCGTTTCGCTTCCACAATGAACGAACGACCCGACGAAGGAGCGACCTGCTGTGCCCTCGCCTTTGTGCCGCCGTTCTCGATGCCGTCTCACAGCTTTCCCTCTTTTTTTCCCCCTTTTTCCCTCCAACGCTCGGCCACACGTTCATTTCGTCGTCGGGTGCAGAGAGTGTAGGCGAGAAGCGGAGCCCCGGGTACCGAGAGTGTAGTGCAGTTGCAAGAACAAACCGAGGGTTTGTTGTCATATCGGGACCATCCGTTTCTCTTGACTGCGCTCTCTGCGATTTTTTTTCCTTCTTCGTCCCGTTCCTCCCTCATTCTCTCCTCTCTCTCTTTCTCACTTTACTTCTCCCTTTCTCTCTATTTTTCTTTTCATATGAATTCTGGACACTTGGTACTTGTCGCTGTCGAGCGTAACGCGTACTGCCAAAAAGAGGAGAAACTGAACCATCGGGAATATGCTGTCTAAACTCTCTTGCTTCCGCGTCGTACGCGTTCTATTTGTCAATCCTCGTTGTACTCGTATTTCTTGCACTTCACTAGTGCACCCGCATTTTTTCCGTATTCTCTTTTTCTACCTGCGCACCGACTGTTAACGCGTTTCTGAATGGGACGATGCCGATACGAATTTAAAGGATTTTCTTTTTTATGTTGTTTCCAGCGACTCTCGACAAATATTGGTCTCGTCGCATTAATAATAATTGAAATGGTGTGCAGGCACATAACGTATAAAAAAAACTAATTATACAATAAACGCGAAAAATGTCATGCTGTAACAGTGAAAAGCTTATTGAGAAAGAGAGAGAGAGAGAGAGAGAGAGAGCACTTCTCAACAGTTTCTTTCATGTCACCTGTTTTAGCTACATTACATAAATACATGCACTACAAGGAGATAAGAAATTTTTAATATTCTGCAGATATTCCTTCCTTCATAGTTCCTCCTTTGTCTGTTGTCATGTTTCCCATTCAGATTTTGCAGACTCATTCCTTCCTTTGTACGTTTTATTTGTAGCAACATTATGGCTGCATGAAATCTTGCAAGTAATGGAATCACAGCTCGTCGATGAACATGCGGTGTGTTCATCCTGTCCTTCAAAAATTATGATTTCACGGTGAAATGACAGTATAATTGTGAAACTGAGAGCTCCGGATTTATTATATTGCTCAAAATATAACACACAGACCGTGCTCTTTCTTTGTTCTCACACTTGCTGTAAGGTCGTGCAGCAGGCATTTAAAAATAACCGTTCAAGAACAAAGGATCCGTTCTCTTTGAAGCATCTTCCAGCAAGGTCTTGGATGAAATTCGAGAGACTCAACTGCTTTGTTTCGCTCTGCTCTAGATGAGGAGAAGGCGGTTAGCCCGTTTAGCGGGCTTAAATACTAGTAACACGGCTGCCAATTCAACTAACACTACCGCTCCGATATCTCCGAGTACTCCAGGTCCTTCGAAAGCCTTTGCAGGACCAATATCTCCGTCTATTCAGCAACAATTTCAACACGTTGAGGTTCCAATGGAGGTAGAAGAGAGCAGCGACAAGCAATGTAATACCTCTGGGATAGATGTTGACTCGGGAATAGAAAATATGGAAGTCGAGGAGTCCGACAGGAAAGATTCGATACCGAGATCACGTGTAAGCGCCTCTCTTTACACGGAGGAAAAGATTCACTATATATGAATATACAGGGTGTCCCGGCATGAAGAGAACGCATAAGTAACTTGGGATCTAAATATGGAGGCCTTAGAAGAAATCGAAAAGGATGACCATAAAAAAGGTTTTCCTTCCACGGTATTCCTCTTTCGGAACTACTCAGATTTCGTTCCAAACATTTCTCATATCATTGAAAAGAAAGGATTGATTTCGATGTTCTCCTTATGCTGGGGCATCCTGTACAGTAAAAGCAAAACCGTTAAAACTTCCCGGGACGGGAGAGCTCTCGGGGATGTATTTGCCATCTTTGTCTTTGTACCTTCTGCATTTTAGACAACGAGTTCTAGCATAGAAGTAACAACGGAGCAAATACACGCTGTCATATCGCGCGTTCTCTGCATATCGTGGAAGAGTCCTGTGGAGGGGAGTATATTCTTGCCGCACACAGCGGAATATATGCAAAGACAGCCGGACGCTGCAGACATCATTAACAATGCCCTGATCGAGGTATTACGTATGTTTTCGCGGGGGGAGGATCCTTTGAAGGACATCGCAATAGACGTGTCGTCGGACCGCGAGGATAGTCCGAATAGCCAAGCGAGTCCGAGTTTATTAAGTCCCGTTGTGGCTCTTCCGTCTTACGAATTACCGACCATACCGTTACCCATAGGTACCAAGTCGTCGCAACCGAAAAGTCTAATTTATTTGTTAGATTGTTACTCAAGAATTGCGACTGAGGAAAGAAATCACCCAAAGGTACGCGTCGCGAGAGATCGAATCTAACTAACGGATCAGTTCGATATAAGTAACACGTTTGTGCCCCTTTCAGCGATCCAGCGTACCTCCTCTTTCCGAAGTACTGGCAGTTTTGAGAGCACAATGTGTTCAGTACTCCAGCCTCGTTCTCCTAGGATTGATCGGCATCTGCCAAGCTTCAATCGTACCTATGTGCACCACCCATCTTCTCTATCCGATACTTTCGCAGACCTTGCCGCGCGGCTACCTGCACGAGCTCGTGGCGAGGACGCACGGGAATCCAACGATCTTCGGTAGAATATTCACTCCGGTCTTGCAAGGCCTGTATCTCTCGATGCAGCAGGCGAGCTTGGTCGGCAACACGCACAGGAGGCCGATCGAGGCGCTGGAGGATCTTTTGGAGATCCGCTGCGGGCCGAACGGCAACATACGTCCGATTTGCCGTCTGATCACCAATCAGGTCCAATTCCTGCCCGAGGTTATGACCTCGGCCGCCGGCAGAGAACTCACGAGGACCTCGTTCTTAGGCCCGTTCCTCTCAGTGTCGGTGTTCGCCGAGGATCAGCCGAAGGTGGCGGAGAAATTCTTCAGCGGCAACCCGTTCACGGACAAGTCGGTGAACGTGACGTTGCAGCAAGAGCTGGAGAGTACGAGGACCCTGTTACACAAGATGTTCCACGCGATACTCGCCAACAGTAACTGCCGTGACGCCACCTTGACGTATCTCGCGACTTTGCTGCGTCACAACGAGAAACGCGCGCAAATACAGACCGAGGAGTTCTCCCTAGCCGGGGATGGTTTCATGCTGAACCTGCTGTCGGTCCTGCAGATGCTCTCCGTGAAAATCAAATTGGACACCGTCGACCCCCTCTACCCATTTCATCCCTCGAGCTTCGTCGAGGTGAAGAACGACACAAGACTGAAACTCACTTCGCAGGAGGTCGCGGAATGGCAGAGGAGCCTGGTGAAGACGCACAAGTGGTCGGAGGCGAAGTTCCCGACCCAGTGCTGGTTCCTCACCCTGCACTGTCACCACATCGCGCTGCTGCCGGCGCTGCAGAAGTACCAGAGGAAGTTGCGGGCGTTGCGAGATCTGCAGAAGATGCTCGACGAACTGCAGGCCACCGAACCCCAATGGAAGGACACTCCATTCGCGGAGCACAACAAAGACTTGATCAAACAGTGGAAGCAGCAGTTGAAGCGGCTGGTTAAGTCGAAGTCATGCGCGGACGCGGGACTGATAGATCCCGCCCTTCTCAGAAGGTGCTTACAGTTTTATGTATCCGTGGCGGAGATCCTGCTGAGCCTCTTGACCGAGACCGCCCCGGGCGATCCTCTACCCGAGCTGCCGCTTCCCCAGGAAGTCCCGCATAAGTTTACCGCACTACCCGAGTGGTACGTGGAGGATATCGCGGAATTCTTGTTGTTCACGCTTCAGTAAGTTCCCCCTGTTGTTTCCCGTTTATTATCGCGCGTATCTCGCGTAATACGTGTTTACGTAACACCTACGTGCGAAAGTTCGCATGATTAATGCTAAATTTGCGCCCACTTGCAGATTCTGCCCCGGGGTAATGACAAGTAACATTGACAGTTCGCTCGTCACTTGGCTACTCGTCGTCGTGTGTACGCCGCATTGTATACGAAATCCCTATCTAATCGCGAAGATCATCGAGGTCCTCTTTGTGATAAATCCCAGTATTCAGGTAACGTACATATATCCTCGCGATCGACAACCGAGACTCCTCCTGGTTCGAACGGCGCCGCTAATAATGTCGGGATGTCGCACACAGGGTAGAACGGAAACTCTTCACTACTACGTGATGGCGCATCCGATATCGAAGACGCTACTGGCGTCATATCTCATGAAGTTTTACACCGACGTCGAGACCACCGGCTCTAGTTCCGAGTTTTACGACAAATTTTCAATACGTTATCACATAAGTCTAATCCTAAAATCAATGTGGGACAGCCCGGTACATCGGACGTCGATCGTCAATGAGAGCAATAACGGCAAGCAATTCGTCAAGTTCATCAACATGCTGATGAACGACACCACCTTCTTGCTCGACGAAAGCTTGGAATCCCTGAAGCGCATACACGAGGTGCAGGAACTCATGTCGGACGTCAGTGGTTGGGGCGCGCTTTCTCAGGAGCAACAGCAGTCGCGCACGAGACAGCTGGCGGCGGACGAGAGACAAGCCAGGTCCTACCTTACACTAGCCAAGGAGACGGTTGCCATGTTTCATTATCTGACGGTCGACATCACGGAGCCGTTCCTGCGACCGGAATTAGTCGGGCGACTGTGTGCCATGTTAAATTTCAATTTGCAACAGTTGTGCGGACCTAAGTGCAAAAATCTCCGAGTGAGGAAGCCGCAGAAGTACGGATGGCAACCAAGGACGTTACTCAGTCAATTGGTTGATATATATTTACATCTTGACTGTGATAATTTTGCAGCTGCTTTAGCCAGTGACGAGGTAAGTAACTCGCGCGTCGTACATAATACAGATATATATATATATATATATATATATCGCAGATAGTCGTCTGCTTACGAATGTAGGCCATCTTACGAAAAAGCTCAAAGGTCTTTTCTTTATAAAACGCCGACCGTTGAGACCACACACACACACACAGTCGCTTCATGAGAAAGAAGGCCACGGGCTTCCGGCTTCTAGATCTCGTACATTCAATATACAATTGTACTCACGCGAACTTTCGTATTTGCAGCGTTCATTCTGTAAAGAATTATTTACCGACGCTGCAAGCAGGCTCGAGAGATCTGCGATAAAGACTCCTACAGAGATCGAAAGGTTCATAGCGCTCGCGGAACGTGCGGCGGTGATAGCGAGGGATAATCGCGCGCGTGATGCGGATTACGGCGATGCTCCTGAAGAATTCCGGGACCCGTTGATGGACACCCTCATGGAGGACCCTGTCAAGCTACCATCTGGCATTGTTATGGACAAGGCAGTCATCATCAGACACTTACTCAATAGCGCCACGGATCCCTTCAGCCGGCAGCCTCTTAGCGAAGACATGCTCACACCAAGTAAGTGAACATATTTCTGTCTTGTTTTCGTTGAAATGTTTGAAATTGAAAACTCGTGCAGTGTGCCAGTAATGGTGTCCCACAAGGCTGCACTTTCACTTTCGTGGGGAACACATTCGAAAGAATATCCGCGCTATCGTATCACAGCTAATCGTAATCCTCCGTCCGGAAGTACTTTTTCGTGCCGAGACTTTCGATAGGTTGTGTGTCTAAAAGTATGCTCCGAACTGATGATTGTTACTTTCGATCTTGCAGTGCTCGACTTAAAAGAAAGGATATCTATGTGGAAACAGCAAAAGAAAAAATCGACAAACTTATAAAGCGGTGCTAATTGACGAGGATTTTGCGAAATAAGAAAATAAGAATAAAAGAGATGAGCATCACGACATTATTCAACACGATTGATAAAACCTCGGTATTGCACGATACATTTCATCGAGCCGACAGAATGTATCGGTCGAGTGCAGTTGACGATTATATAGTGCAATGATCTCGCCAATAATGTGCAAACAATTGCGCTCAATAAATTTACAGTTTTTTATACAATAAACACTAACAGACTGCAGCTAGCGAACTGCCACGATATTGCTCCAAACATACTTTAGAAACTTGTAAATAATTGCTGGCTATCGCGCCAGTATCCAAAATTACGTATTATTCATAAATAATTAAGCTCTTTTATTTTTTACGTTCTCCGGTGTATGTGGCGGCGGGTGGGATGCTTCAGACATATCCCGCGTTTGATCATGGAAAAAAATATTACGTTAAATAGCATAAACTAGTAATATATAAATGAGACTATACTATATATAAATAAATAAATAAATAAATAAATAAATATATATATATATATATATAAAATATATATTAAATATATATATTATATATATATATTTTATATATATATATATATATATATATATATATATATATATAAACATACATACATACATGTATACATGTCCAACGCTTCGCGATTTCACAATGAAAAGCGGGGGCAACGAAGGGCGGGGGATAATCCTTGGCAAAGCCGCGGCTCGCGTGTGTGCTGCTGTGTGGACGGACGCGCGTACGTTTACACGCGGGCACGTATATATCAGGGGGTCACGGGTTCTGACCACGATACGGATGTGCCCCTGCCTTCTTCCTGTGCCACGACCATGTTCATGTTCTGGCATTCAACGGAATAAGACCGCGTGTCTCCATTGACCGTGTTCGATCTCTCGATCGCTGGCCGCCTTCGGTCGAAAAATAACCGGCTCGAAAAATCACAAGCCACCGGCGGCGATCCGCGAGGGGGACTCATTTCGCGCGGAGCTTCACCGATGCTTCACCGAGGTCATCCGTTAATACACGACACGCTCCGCTTCGCCATTAATCATTCTAATTACGCCCTTGATCGTTATGAAAAGTTACGAAGCCCGGAGTAAAGGGATAATCGGTACGCCGGATCGCGAATTTCAGATATAAGAACCGAATCGACTGGACGGTAACCGTTCGGGCACTGTCGAAAAAATACTGACTGTTAGTTCACGGCCAGTTACTTGCGAATGAACTATTCCGGGAAAATAGCAAGTTAACACCGGACGGTGTCAATTTCCAGCGAGAACTCTTGAGACTCCGGCTAGCGTTTCTCCATTTCCCGAAACTCGGCGAAGTAACAAGCAAATGAAATAGTAAGCAAATTAAATACTCAAAGGCGTTATTAGGAACGAACTGGCTGGAAACTGGCTGGTTAGAGAATCACTGGCCAGTTACTGGCTAGATACTGGTTTAATTTCTACATCGGGAAACATCGTGAACACGTTGTACGCGTGTGTATTCGGCGATACATTTTCGCTTTGTCTGATTCATCCGTACGGATGATCCGCTGAAGTAACGTACACCCCGATCTCCTCGTGAAGGAGCATCGATCGGCACCTATTCAATTTATTATACAAGAAACGCCTCGGGAGAGTTGCATTATCCGCACAGGTGAATCCCAGAAAAGAANATCATTTAATGCTAAATTCTTAAGTAACTAGATTTAGGTAGGTGATTATTCTTCGGTGGTGAAGTTACATGTTATTTCTTATACTTTTTGGCACTTGTCACAGCCTAGGATAATGGACTTGATACAAAACTTAAGGATCTTAGTACGTATTGTATTCAAAACCATCATACAATAATCTTTCGTATACCATGTGAACTGATGATAACTTAAAATTGAAAAAGTAAACAAAAGAGGAGTATATTTAAGAACGTATTGATGAAATGAAAAATATGCTATTTGTATATAAACTCAAAAATATGTTCGTCCACTTTGATTGACATTTGTAATAATATTTGATATGTCTTCTGCATATATGCTAGTGTAATCTTTTAATTCATGTGGAGAAGTATTCGAGATGGTACTTGTAAATATTAGGAGATTGATGTAAAATATAGAAATAAATGAAAATTAAACGCGAAACAAAAAAGTATTTGGGTGAAATACAACAAAATTGTTAGTAAGAAAATATTTAAGTACAACTGACGACGGCAACTAAATCATTTTTATTTTGAGAAATAAAAGCAAGTTTGTGAGAGAGAGACACAGAGAAGTAGTTGCTACCCCAATTTTTTTTTTCATCAGACTCATGTTATATAGTTTAGTATTTGTAATATCCTTCTGGATAGTTAAGTTTCCCAACAAAATTCTCACGTCTAGCTATTAGTCGACCTCGTCCCAAGCCCACTGAGCCAACAAACGACTCTCTGTCGTCTAGTTCAGATTCATCACTTTGATTCATGTATGAAAACCTCGAAGTATTCCCGGATACTCCCATTTGTCCTTCCCAATCATCTTCAAATGTACTTGTGAAACTACTGTTGCCTTCATTTTTCCATCTAGCTGAATCAAGAGTAATTGTTCCTGCACATTGAATTATATACCGTTAAATTTTATATTTTAGAAATTAGCATACACTTTTCTCTTGTACGATTTCCGGAGAATCGTTCGGAGTGAAACTTACGTTCAATATGACTGGCCTCGACGACGTTCTTTGTGGGACATGTCTTAATATGCTCCGCAATCTCGGATCTGCTCAGACGATGAGTCGCATTGTACGGACAGATGACTTTGTAATTTGGCTCGTAGTTCTATGAGAAATGGAAATGTGTTTACGAGATAGAAAATTACGTTCTTCTATGTATTCAAACAAATTTATCTAGCGGTTACCTTTTCACACTTTACAATGTGTCGTTGGAGACGTGATTTGGGCAGGGTATGATTCTTGTTGAACGGACATTGTACGATCTTATCTTCGTCTAAAAGATGTTGCATCTTACACACGTTATCATAAATTATGTGCCACGTTTATATTGCAAATTTAATCGTTGAGTCTAGAGCCGCCTTGTCTAACGGAAGACACACGGTGTGTCTGATGCTCGTTACGATAAACCAATAGAAAAATCTCAGTTTTCAAGATTGTTCGCGATGTTCATGAGTGATGAATAAACAATAACTATTCGCTCATTTTGTGATTATTGTGGAACAAAGGCTCGTCCGAACAATGCTTCGATTCTTCTACCCAAAATAAGGTTCGGTTCAGGCATCATCTAAGCATTCGCTGCATGAAACGGACTCAGCCTAAATCCCGTATCAGAATACGGCTTGGAGATTGAATTGAAAATTGACCAATCGGTACAAAGTTCGTTAAATTTCACTAAACTTGAGTTCAGTTAACTGACACGCTTAAGTCGTATCTACCAGCGCCACCACACTCGTCAGCGACGGTGACGGCTCGTAATAAAGACTTTGGAACTAATGTGATTCAAACTTAAATCTCTTTAAATCGAGAGCGACCCGCAACAAGTTTCTGTGTGACACTGCTAGATAGCGCTAATGCTGAGTTTAAGAACGTTCTCCAAAGGAAGAGTAAGCTCAACGGCCCCGTAGATTGGTTTCTCGTTGGCCAATGGGAAGGCTCGTTCGAGCGTTTGTGATGCCGCCTCGCGCGAACGATGAAAAAGCTAGGCCACATTCCGACAGATGTTGTTTTACAAAGGGTAGAGATTCGTCGGGGAAGAGGACTTGTATCGCACAGTGAGTGAATCGACAACGTACGATTTTGTTTTCACTCGAGTTACACTCTTTAGAATCTGAAAAGGGTAAAGTTTCATGTCAATTTCACACGTGGCATTCGTTCACAACGTCAGGTGGCTTCGGTGTGGACATCGGTTTGAGAAGCGCGTTGTCTCACTGCGGTTCATGCTTCCTCGCACGTGCAAGCTTAAGTGAGTCATGGACATCGACAACCAGAGCGAGGACGGAGAGATCAAGAAGAGTCCGTTGAAAGATATGGGTGACTTGTACAGGTGAGTCGTGCGCTTTCGTGTGTACTGTAATTTGAGGTTGCTATAATTTGAGGTTAGGTTTAAAGATCGACCAGCCATGATACGACGACGAGGAGTTTTCGTGCGCAATCAAGTGTGAGAGAATGTTCGAGGCGTTCTCGAATGGAATGCGTTACCTTGATGTACGAACCGTTCGAAAGTGCGATATGTATTATAATACGAGTTCGCGAAGTCTTTTTAGGTTAGTTGATAAAGCTATCTATCCCGAGACACAGCTGCATGCGTGCGCTTGCGCAATCGATTCTTTTTGTCTTTTTACGCTCGGCGTTTTATCGGCGATGTAAACTCCATACGTACGCCGTGAATGGCGGAGTTCATTTTGAAGAAGGATTGCTCTTTAATTCCGATTACAGAATATCAGAGAGAGAGAGAGAGAGAGAGAGAGAAAAGTTCTCGCGATAAGTAAACAAGTCGCGGTCGCGAGCAGCATGATCGCGAACGATGCTGCCTAGGATTTTTAGGTATTCCGAATTCCGCAAAACGGATACATATCTATGCACCATCACAATTAGACACCATTTTTCCAGTAGTTTATTAATTATCATTGTTCACAATATCATGTTTACTTACCTTAGTAATCAGTAGTGTGTCTTATCAATTACTACAATTTACAACCTCTCTTTAAAATTATAAGTGATATCGAGACTTTAGTAGCAATCGACATAATACTAATTATTTCTAATTTTATACAAATCGCAATAAATTTGTGCACAAGTTTCATTAAGCAAAGAAAAATAATATCACATATATATAGTTAAATTACTCATGAGGTTTGTGTCTCAGAAATATCTACTTCTTATTTTTATAATATTCATGATATCATCCTTTATTTTGTATTTCCAGTTTTTCAGAGGAAGAAGGTGGCGACACTGCCGATTCTTTAGACATTAAACCACCACAAGCAGTTGTGCGCCACCATAAGTCGAGCTCATCTCGTCGAAGAGAGAAGCACAGCGACAGGAGAAGTCGCAGAGATGAGAAAGAACGCAAGTCGCGTCAACACGATCGCGAGGACAGGCATAGAGATAAACACAGGCATCGTAGGCATGTCGGAGAGCCTCTGGAGAGATCCGAGCGTTTGGAAAGCTCCAAGAGAACTCGCGACAGAATGGAACGTATAGACAGGATGGAGAGTCACTCGCGGGACAGAGAATCGTCTAGGCATGAACGTAAGGAAAGAAGTACAGGAGACCGTGTCCTGGAGGACTTGAGAGAAAGGTAATTATATCGTGTATATATATATATATGTTACTACATGTTATATAAATACATATATATTCAGTTTAACCCGTCCTACCTTTACACGAGCGATTGAAAGAGAAATTTCGGACACCTTATATACGTATTTCTATGTTTCTTCTTCCAGAAGTTCAGTTAAATATTAATTCTTAGGTTACTAGATAAAAGGCGGGAGAGGCGGGAAGAGCCGCGCGATATTCGCGACTATAAGATTGAATCTCGTCGCGAATTGCGGCTGGAGGACACGAGGGAGATGCGTGAGTCGCGCGATCGTCGGGACGTGCGGATGGAGGATGTCCGAGAACGCCGTGAAATGCGGGTCGTGGACGACGGTGGTAGCAGGGATCGTCGCGAGATTCGCGTAGAAGAGCAGAGACACATACGGATGGTCGTGGACGAGCCGTTTTCGGAGAACGAGCTGATAGAGCGGCCCGAGAAACGTCGCAAGAGGTCTCACAAGCACGAGAGGATGCGCGAGAGGGACCAGGAGAAGATGGAACGTGAGAAAGAGCATCGGGAGAAGCAGCTGCGCGAAGCAATGGAGATCGTTAACGACGATATCAGCGAGCTGGAAGTGCAAAATGAGATACCGATACAGCTCAAGGATCCCAAAGAGATGACGGAGCAGGAGCTGAGGAAGGAGAGGCTTCTGGAGGCCGACCGGGAAATGGCCAGGAGGAAGGAAGTCTCTCGGATCGAGCTGGAAGCGAGAAGGATGAAGAGGGGCGAGAAGCGGCCGTTGAGCCCGGAACACAATCCGGATCCTTCCGTCGTCGAGCTGTCGGACGAGAGCGCCAGTCCCGCTCACTCCGAAGGTGCGCATTCCAAGTCGCTGGAGTCCCGGCACTCGTCCGAGGGTGAGAGGAGCGTACGCGACAGATCGTCGGACCGGCGCTCGTCCGACTCCTCGGAGTCTAGCAGCGACGACGACGACGAGTCCAATGAGTCGAATAAAGGCTCCAATGGCGATTCCAACGACGCCTCGGACTATAACAATCCGAGTCCTCTTTCTGTGGACCGATTAGCGAAATCGGATCATTCGGACGGCGAATCCCCCGGCCACGTAGACTCCAATAACGCGGCTAAGACCGTGGAGAAGGAGGAGAAGAAGAAGGAGGAGGAGCAGCAGGAGCCAGAGTTACCGCCGTATCTACCGGCTATTCAAGGTACAGCAGATAATAAACACTGTTTGGTAAAATGTAAGAAAAAATCTATATTCGATATACAAATCTCTTTTTTTTTCGAACGCTATTCCTGTTAGCGGTGAGATTTGTGAGAGAGGCACGTCGAAATGTGGTGTTTCCGCAGGTTGCAGGAGCGTCGAGGAGTTCCAGTGTCTGAATCGCATCGAGGAGGGCACGTACGGAGTCGTGTACAGAGCGCGCGATAAACGCACCGGCGAGATAGTCGCGTTGAAGCGGCTGAAGATGGAGAAGGAGAAGGATGGCTTTCCGATCACGAGTCTGAGGGAGATCAACACTTTGCTGAAAGCGCAGCATCCCAACATCGTCGTCGTCCAGGAGATAGTGGTAGGCAGCAACATGGATAAGATATTCATCGTGATGGAATACGTGGAGCACGACTTGAAGTCCCTCATGGAGACCATGAAGCAGAAGAAACAGGTATTCATACCTGGTAAGTACGGCACTCGATCGTAGCCGACTGTATATAGGCTGTGTTCGCGTATATTCACTGTCAATATTAAAAATTTATAATTACATAACATGATTTGTAGATTTTCGTTTACCGATTGATGTACATAGTAGTGAACATGAGGAAACGAATGTTTACGTTTTGGTTACAGGGGAGGTAAAGTGTCTTATGCAGCAATTGTTGCGCGCGGTCACGCATCTGCACGACAATTGGATACTGCACCGTGACCTAAAGACGTCCAATCTGTTGCTCAGTCACAGGGGCATCCTGAAGGTCGGCGACTTTGGCTTAGCTCGAGAGTACGGTTCCCCCTTGAGGTATTACACGCCGATCGTGGTGACGCTTTGGTACAGAGCCCCCGAGTTATTGCTAAGCAATAACGACTACAAGTACTTGTACAGTACACCTATCGACATGTGGTCCGTTGGGTAAGTACAGAGACTTCGTCGTAGTGTCTATCACAGTGCAAGAATTAAAATTACAAGTTAACTATAAAATATAAATTAGCTAGTAAATATAAATCAAATTAGAATATAAAGATATATATAATTAGCTGCGAAAGTCGTAACGTTTGCTCGTTCCAGATGCATCTTCGCCGAGCTCCTGCGAATGGAGGCGTTGTTCCCCGGCAAGTCGGAGTTGGATCAGTTGAACAAGATATTCAAAGAACTGGGAACCCCGAGTGAAAGAATCTGGCCGGGGTACAGCAGATTACCCGTGGTTCAAAAGACCACGTTTGCGCATTATCCTGTCAACAGTCTGCGACAAAGATTCAGCCTGTCGTTGTCCGAACTGGGTATCGAGTTGTTGAACAAGTGAGTTGTCATCTCTAGTTTTCGTGTTTATACTGTCGCTTCGAACGACGCGTCGCTGTTGTTAACACTTCGACTAAGCCGCCGACAGTTCGCTTAGACGGTATCTGAAAAGACCAACGTCCTCCTTGTATATAAAGATCCGTACTTCTAACTTTATACGTATAACTTCTGTAAGATTGCAATAATAAACTGTTACCATCGAGAAATGTTTACAAGACAATAGCGGTTTGTAGAATGAAGTGTCACGTGTATGCGACAGCGATCGTCAAAGTATCAAGACGTCTAGCGACAACACTAAATAATTTAGTATCCCGAAGATATATTCTTTTCTAATTTGCAGATTTTTGACGTACGATCCTCGTCAGCGTGTGACCGCCGAGGACGCCCTGGGTCACGGATATTTCACGGAAGTGCCATTGCCGATCGATCCGCAGATGTTCCCGACGTGGCCTGCGAAGTCGGAGCAGGGAGTGAGAACCACGAACGCATCCCCCAAGCCGCCGAGCGGTGGCAAAGAGTACAAACAGTTGGGCGACAGCGACGACGCTGATTTGAGCAACTCTGGCTTTCACATGGGACTGACGGAGAGCGGCAGGGCTCCACCCGTCGGCGGCGGCTTCCATTTGAAATTCTAATCGTGCGCGCTATGCGCTCCGACGGGGATTTCCATTGGACATAATAATATGTACATAATACGCGCTGTATTTATTTGTACGCAATAAGTATAGTTAGTAGCCTGACGCCGAGTGATAGACGAGTGTACACTTCCATTCTGTATGACTGTACACTTCGATTGACTTACGAGATACAGTGACGATAATTATCGCGTGAGGATCGAGAAATGGCAGTTCTGCGCGATCGGTTTTCTCATAACCGAACTCATGCATTTATAACGTTAAAGCGTAGTCTACAATAGGCAGTAGGAGTATGTTCATAAGAGGTAAGAACAAGAAATTGACCAATCATATTCGAATGTAAAGAGAATAATCGACTATGATTTGTTAATTTCTTACTTACAAACCACTATGATTGGTTAATTTCTTACTTACAAACGACTATGATTGGTTAATTTCTTACTTACTCCCACTGCCTGTTGTAGATCATTTTTAATAGATAGGAGATAAGGAGGAAAGGAAAAAGGAGATACAGAGAATGTAGAAAAAATATAAGGAGAGACACGATATAGGAGGATACTGTGTAAGAAACAGGCGAAAATAAAATATAGAGGTATGTTTGTACATTTATATATCACTATATTGGTTCATTTATTTTTTTTGTACATGGTAGTCGCTGTTTTCATCCGGGTACATTGTGAAACAAACACTATCCGATGTGCTTTTTTTTTTCTAGATTTTCTAATTCTGCGCGCAGCAGACCCCGTTGACGCTGTCCGATTCCCCAGGCATGATGACATTGAATATTTCCAATTGGGCGCGTTATTTTTGAATATTCTGTAAAATCATGACTGCTGCTTTGGGGAATCGTTGCCGATTCACCAAATTATCGACGGTCGTAATGCAGAAATAATGCTTCTGTTTGGGAATTTTCGATGTCACTCTACTTAAGGAATGGGACAGCATTAGTGGAGTCTGCTGTACTACACGGCGGAGAAGCAATAGTTGTGCCGAGATATCGTTGGTTTTTTTCGCGCGACGATTGCAAGCGGCGTTGCTTTTATTTCCCGGCGTTGTGCATATTCTTCGGTAGACCCAACAGCGAGTTGATGAGCTCGGAATTGCGTTTGGGATGGGGGCACCGTGGTGCCATCAGCAACAGTCTGGCCAGTTGGAGATCGCTGTCCTGAAAAAAATTGGCCGTCACCCGTATTACGAACGCTTGCATAACAGGCGGCAGGTGAAAGAGAGAGAGAGAGAGAGAGAATACAGCTTCGTTTTATCTTCATTTTTATTAAAAAAATTAAATATCAAACTTGCATAATGCGACGCTAGAGTGGCGTTTCAGATTCGAGTCAGCGCGGCATCGATTCTTTTCTATCGTCTGCCACTCAGAAGCGCTTAGTTTTATTGCGAAACGACGATAAGAGCGACGCGTCGTCATTATTCATACCGGAATTTACCCAAGCGCTTCTTTCAAATTTAACTCGAATCTCTTTCAAGGCAGAGAAGGGAGGGAAGACAGATACGAAAACAAACTTACCAATCCTCTAATACACGGTGGATTTTGATTCAGGACGTTCCTGTCGGCATCCTCGAGCGCCCCGAACTCTTGTCCATAGACGATACCGAGTATGATGACGAAAGCGATTCCGCATTTTGCGTAGTTAGCCATCATTACTCACGTTTATCGCAATTTGCTGATCTGCGATGCGCCGTCGATGTCGTTCGAACGGATGCACTCGATGCAACTCCCGACCGCAGTATGCATCCGCGATGCGAAGACGATGTTCTTTTATATCCCGACCACCCTTCGCCGGGATCTGCTGCTGACAGATAGCGGGCGGTAGGCTGACAACCCTGCGAACGACAGATGCCCTCTTCTGGGAACTGTCGCGCGGAGATTACGCGTTTCCTTTCCCTTCTCAAGTTATGTAAAAGAAATCCCGGATCGGCGAAGCGCGGGCGAATTCCCGCGGTAACTCGGCGAGAACGTCTGAGAAACGTGGTTCGAGCCACGTTTTCATTTCATTCTTCGAACAAATCGTTTCGATGGACCGACGCGCCCCGACGAGAGATCGAAGTCGACCAGATTCGAATTGAACTCTCGGCACGGCGACGTCTACGTCTGCAACCTCCAAGACGAGTCATAAGGAAGAAATCCTTCCGGGGGAAAGTTACACGTTACATTTTTAGCAAGTCACTCGTATACATTGAGAGGAAAAATGCCTAAAAAATAAAAATATTCGGGTGGGGCTAATAACATATTTACTTAAATGAATTCTTTTACATTAATAAAACAAATAATTGCTTTCATGCAAAGCTACAGATTTAAGGAAATATGTAATTTTCTCGTCTAAAATTTACTCTCAAAATATAATATATTGATAAAAATATATATATTGATACAAGTTATCAAGATCCACCGAATGTTTCTTTTTTATCTTTTAGATATTTTTCCTCTCAGTGCACGAAAATGTGTTCAATTTGTCATCATCGAACGTGAAAACGAAAACGCGAAAAGGTTCGCTCATCGCTTCGCGGTTCACTTTTCACGTATTTCAAGAGCGATCGTCGGGCGGTGCCGTCGATGAAAACGGTCGTCATCGTCGGGGAAACTCTCATGAGCAGTTGTCCCGATAGTCGTTGTGAATTCAAGTCTCGTCAGGGTCGGTGTGTCGCGCCTGATCTTCGCGAAGTGCTCTCCACGGAAAGTTGAGTTCGCGAAGGTTGCGCGCTCCCCGCTCTCCCGATCGGCTTTCTTTCTCTCGGCCCGATACGAACCACCAACTCATTCGAGCCGAGCGACACATCCGGTGTGCGTAAGGGACGGCGAGTGACCCGGGTAAAACCGCGCTGACGGGTCGCCACGGCGTCCTTCGTCGGGGAAGACGGAGAAAAAGAAAGAGATAGAAAGAGGAAGAGAAACCGCGTGCTTATTAATTATTAATTATTCCGTGAGACAAACCTCATTGGAATATATGATACACAACGAAGGTAAAAGAAATGACGAGCGTCCAAAAGTAACGTTACGCACCGGTCGTCCCTCATAAATGCTTTAACGCGCTTGTTAACACAAGCAGCGCTTGCGTTCCCGCAGAAAAATAAACAACGACGATAGCTCGAACTTTATGTTACATCCAATAAAGTTGTATAACAAGTCAGGATTCATCAAGTGTTATGTCTTCACTGTCGGAATTTATTGTCCAAAAAAACCGCATTCTTCGACGTTGTTTCTTCACTGCGGAGAAAGATAGATGGATAGATAAAAGCTTTCATTACTCATTCCTAGGAGATGCTATCTGAGGAGTCTACAAGATCAGTTTGTAAATTGACAGAACTCAAAGAAAACCAACTATTAACAATGCTAATGATGAAAGAGAAGAAGAAATGTGTAATAACGGATAACTCTGATAGTGCTATAATAAGAAAGTGTGCGAGGCATATATTTTATTAACGGAAAGACTGTTATGAATGTTTATGTTGTGTAGATAACCATCTTAAACAGATGTGAAAAGAGAGAGAAAGAGAGAGTAGAAATTTCATTTTTTATTCTTATATTACCATTTATGTGTTATAATTATTTTTTATATTACCATTATTCTTATATTACCATTCATATGTTATAATTATTTATAGGCTTGAAGCGTTCTTTCCGAAAGAACGCGAATCTAACGAATATTTGCGCATTTCCTCAGCTACTCTTTCCTTTCTTTATGTCGCCTCGCCACTAACTAGACGCGAAGATTAGAAAAGATAACATAAAAAAGAAGGGAGAAAGAAGAGGGATGGACCGTTGTCGAAATCTCCGGCTGTTTCCTGGGATAGACGCGGGTCACTAACCAGCGAGCAGAAAAACAGCCTGGGACCGGTGTCGTGGCCTTGGATTCTGTCTCAAGACCCTTCGAAGGCACGGCGTAGCGTCGATCTGAAAGGATTAGCCGAACGCCGCCTTGACGCGTATTTTCGCCGCGGCGGAGCTTAGACGACCCGAACGCGACGCGCGGTGGGAATTGTTTCGGGATCGATCGCGACTCACAATTACGATTAAGATTACGCGCGAGAGGTCACGGCGAGCTCACTGGAACCGATTATCACGATGAAGATATCGGAAGCGAATTCCGCGCCGCGGGAGAAGACGACGACGAAGAAGAAGAATCGAGTGAGACGCGTTTCTTCGGGGGAAAAAGGATCACAAAAACACAATGTAGGAAAGGGGACGATCGTAAAAGATCGGCGAGAATTCCAAAGCTGAGGAATCCGGGGATCCGGCGAATCCCAGGATCAAGATTGCACCCGTCAGCCGGGCGGAGGACCGATCTCCGACGATCGTCGGGGAGCGAGAAGAAGGCTAACTCGGGAGATTTCGCAGCCCCCATTGCGAACCCTGGTAGAAATTCCACGAGTAGTAAATTCGGTGGCGAATATATAGTAGTTTAAATTATTTATTTTAGAATAGACAGCACTCTCTACTCTATCATATTTGATTTGTAATAGCTGCATGAACAATCCGGTAAAAAAAATTATACATAATCATATATATGTAACTATATAAAACATATAGAAATATATATAAAATTATATACAATCATATAAAGAATTACAATTTTATATATTTCTATGTAATTTTATACACGATTACATGTGAAAAATTTTCTGTCAGGAACGGTTAGATCACAAATTTCGTTCCACGTTTTAACGAATAATCAGCCAGTAACAAGCTAATAACGAGCTAGAAAATTTAATCTCGCCTGTGCCAGTTGGCTGTTAGCTTTTTACTCAGGCTGACTAGATACACTTCTGTTCGGGAAGATAGGCGTCAACGAAAGAGAACTCGAGGATCTCGACGGATCCCGGCGATCTCATCGACAACGCTCGACCTTTCGCTTCTTATCCTCCTCCCACACGTGTCCGTCTAATTACTATCGCCGAGGCGTTATCGCCCGTTTCGTAAGGTCCGAGTGCCTTTTCGGCTTCTCCACGACGAAGATTTACGCGACGTATTACACACCGACGAATCCCATCCTCGCCGGGTAGGATTGACTCACATTCGTCTCCTTAGGTTGTTCCGCGAATCACACAACGCGTGTCACTCGGAGACGTCTCGACGAGTAGGTGTGGATGCGTGAATTAAAACGCGTCTGGGCCCAGCTGGGTGCTCGTAGAGAAAGAATCGTCTCTATCGAAATCGAGAGAAAGGTCGCTCCATCCGAGGACGGTCCGTCCTCCACGTGTTAATAGCGTTCCCGTGTAACGATCTATCGCGAAAAGCCTCGAGATAACGCACTCTTTACTCGCACCTTCTCGTGGGACACCGCGCTAATGGCTAATGGGGCCCCGATTATAAACGCGTTATGATATAACACGTGGGGATTTATGGGCGATGAGTAACACGACGACCTGATGCCCGACGTCTCGTCGTCTGAATACTGATTTTCTCCGCCAAACGTTTACGTCTTAGAAAGCGTTGGGGGTGTCCAAACTGTGATATCTGTTTGTGCCTGCCACAGTGTATTATAAACATTACACTTCTAACTGAAACCTACATAGATTTCCCAACTAGAGTCCATAGTTATCTTAGGAAATTGGAGAATCCTCTGGATCTCATAGAAATGTCTGCTCGGGTCTCCCTCGGCGCCGTCTCGCGTCGTTCACCCCGCACGCGTGAGATGGCCGCCGATGAAGTGAGCGGCCGTTTCGCCTTGACGTTTCATCCGACAATTAGTTACACAAACGGTCACCTGTAAATAACAAACTTTCGACGGGTTCGACACGAGCGGCTATAAATTTACGACCGGGCGACTCGGAGGGGGCGGCGGGGGCAGCGAACGGAAGCCTCGAGTTCATCGGTAGCTAATCCGCCACTGATTTATCGCGCAGCCCTTGTTAGCGTATACACCACAAGGCGGAGCGGTTGCTTTACGTTAATTGTGTGTGTTTGAATTAGACGGTGAGAAGAAAGGAGAGAGAGGGGGATATCGAGGGGTACTCATTTGCATCCCGACTGAATCGGCCGATCGTGTTGGCCGCTCGCGCCCATTAACGGCGCCGATTATGAATTCCGATACGTTTTTCTTCGTTTTGTTTCCTTTCCTCTCCCTCCCTCTCTCTCTTTCTCTGTTATTCCTTCTTTCTTTTTCCAACTGGCGTTCGATCCGTGACGCTCGGAATTTATAATTGTCAGCGTTAACATCGCTCCCTACGCTTCTCTATCGCGGTGGCGTTGAACCCGAGCGTTTGAGCGTCGCTGTTTCACCCATAATCCGACCCGATTAATCGGTCCGGCGAGTCGAACTCGAGAGAGTCGAAGAGTCGCCCCGCGACTCGAGAACCAGATCTCCCGAAGCGGCGGCGCGAGCATGGGCGTGCACGCGCCGCGTATTCGGTAACAATTAACAGGGGAGGGGAAACCGCTATTCACGAATTTGAATACTCGTCTAACTCGTGGATCTTTGTTCTCGAACTGCGAGAACGCTGTTACCGTGCCTCTCCTCTATCTGTCTCGATCTGTCCACCGGCAGCAGCAGGCGCCGTTCGCCTCCGCGCGCGTATTCGAGCGTACTCGCGCCCGCAATGGTACCGCCGGGAACAGCCGTCGAATTCGTCTCTTCCGAATTCCATCTGAAACGAAAAGATCAGATAACGTTTGTTATCTCGGATGGCGAGCCCGACGACGGCTCTCTTCGCCACACGCTGGTAAGCCGGAGGATCTCGCGACGCTAATTAAGCGGGGGTTTAATACGCGTTAATCGTATTTAGTACTGAGGATGATCCAAACGATTGGGAGCTAAGCCCTCGTTAAATATTAAATGTAAGCACCGTCTCTCCATTTTGGAAAGAAAATAAAATAAAGATCCCCGATGATGACGATAAAAAGAATGGGCATTTAAGACCGATATATTCATATAGTCGGTTCTTATATTTTGTTGATATTAAGACCGGTCTTAAGTTCGTCCTCAGATGTCCCGCAGCCAATGAAATGAGCCGTGCTTAGTAAATATTAAACTTAAAACAGCCTTAAATACGCAAGGAGAAAGATCGGAATCGGAAACGTATAATAAAATTAATCTCTTTTTCTCGCTGAGTATCGCATCGCTCTGACATCAGTAGTTCTTATTTGCGTTTCGTTTCTTTTATCAAATTGATTGTACATTTCGAGAGCCTTTGTACATTATACATGTTCCAATTCGCGTTAATTATCGCGAAGTAATATACGTGTTTACGATAACGTGTCTCGATAACGTGTTCTTGTAACCGAGCGAGTACACACGGCGGCGAGACGATCGTCGGGGCTGAAGTTCCGCCGCAAACGCACACGCATCATTTCTTTTCCTTTTTCCACTGTCCCTTTCACTCGCGGCATTTTTCAACCTTCTTGATGAGGAAATGAACGAACGGACGAGCGGACCGACCGACCTTTCGCAAGTTCAAGGCGAATCGTTGCCATTCTGTTCACAGGGTGCCTTATTTTTGGAAAGTTTTCCCCTCCGAGAGCCAGTTCTGTGCATATCTGTAGGATCGTTGATCGTCGAATTCTACGACGAGACTAGTCTATAACCGTCCCGCCTGTCATCGGCGACTTCCTCGTCGCCGGCTGTAAAATCGGCGAGGCGAGTGGCTCGTTTTCCTCGATGGTCGCGATGAAGTTTCCTTTCAACGATCCCGCCGATTAACTCGCACATAACCAGAAGGCCCCGGCGAGTCCCCTCTCTAATTGCAGATCAGTGATTCGCGAAGCGATCGCCCTCGCGGGTCGCCCTGGGCCCTGACAATCGGCGGATCGCGCAAACCGCACGTCCGTGGAACGCATTCAACCGCGACGATAACATATTTCCTTCTCGTGTGGTATGCAACCGCTAATGATCCGTTTCGGTGGACTCGGTGCCAAGGTCGTGGCATTATCTCTCTCTCTCTCTCTCTCTCTTATGTGCAAGTAACTCTTAAAGTAATTAAAAAAAATTTTGAAATTATACATATCTGCCTATCTTCTACATTGATTTGAATTTTAGGGCGTTTTTTCAATTTAGAATTAGATTTAGTTTTAGATTTAGATTTGAATTTAACATAAAGTTATAGCTCGATCCTTTCCTTATACATATATAACTTCAAGTTTTTATGTATTTTTATACCTTATTTTTTCTTTTCATCTTTACTATTCTTCTTGCTTTCGAATAATTATTTTTGTTCTTGTAATTTTAAAATCGACTGAATGCGTTGTTATTTCTTCTCGACTCTATCATGTATCTTACGTGTTCTTAAAGGCCAATCTTAGGATGAAATAAACGCTGTTCTCTCTCTTTCTCTCTCTTTCCCGGGTGCATACGGGACGCAGCGTGCGTCGGCACCTATCTGTCTGCCTCGACATTCGTCGGAGCGGCGTATCCTTTCGATTCGACGCGTCGGAATCGTAATGAGTGTGCTGTTCTTCAAATCGCTGGCAAACGTGTAATTTCACGGGCGCATGTCGCTGTTATTTTCGCCCACGAGTAATGTCCCGCGACCTGTAATTTAAATTATTTATCGCCATCGAGATATCGAGCATGGGAGTTGTCAAGTTGCGGAGTTACACACACACATATACACGTACGATGACTACGGCGCGGTCGTTCATTGTCGAAATCTCACGATGACAATGTCGTTAATACGAATCGAGATAATCGAGGAGCTTGTTTCCGAGATATCTGAAAAATATGATCTCGGGAATATAAAGATCGCGCGTGTAGAGGAAGAGAGAAAGGAGGATCACAAGAAGATCGTAAAAAGTTCGTCGACGCGTAATCGTCGATTCCCGTTTGAGACGACTTCGGAAACGAGTTCCTCTGATCTCTTACTCTCTTTTTAATCCGTCCATCAATTGCGCGCTGCGTATCTCGCCTGGCTCATTCCGGTGGCGGTTTTCGAGTCGGTCCCGGGACCGAGGCGTGTTTCTCGGAGACTTCGTGTTCGCCGATAGAGCTGCCACGATAAGACGGCTTAATCGGTGGCGCCTTAATTAGGCACGCGATCAATCCAACAGCCCTCGCCGGCTGCGATAGAGAGAAAGAGAGAGACTGTAGAGATAAAGAGAAAGACCTCCTCGGTGCGTGTATCCGCACACCGTAAAATCGCGATTTATCGCTCAGTCCCGTCGACAACAACCACCCGCCTGGACAGCAGGTGGATCTGCGGGTCTCTTAATTAGTAGCGATTTCGCGGACGCGCAAGGCGTGTGCCGCTTGCTCGATGTCGTTGGCACCGAGGATCGGTTAGATCGCTGCCGTCGAGCAGCTCTCTCGTCGTGCTTCTTCCGTGGTCAAGGTCGCCGGAACGGGGCTCGGGTAGGGTGCGGGTCGCGCGGGGCCTTCGATGGAGTAGGTATATATGGGCGTCCTCGCGCGCCCGGAATACCAGATTCGCACAAGTTGGCCCTCCCCGCCGCTCGCAGATATCGGTGGGGACCGCCGGTGGTGTCTTTTAAAATTCATCGCGGCGATTTGACGCGCGCCTCGAGGATACTCGTACGGGCAACTTCGCGACTGCACTACCGTCCTCGCCCGAAGGGCCGATCTCGATCAGTGCGGCCCGATCGCGCGTCGCTGTCGGGTGTTGTTCCGCTCGCACGGAGACGCACACCAAGTGCACGAGTCCGCCAGTCGGTGAAGCAGACACACTCGTCGGCCGGGAGGAGAACCAGGAAGGTTCGTTGGCAATGTACGTTTTGTAAATCGTGAGAGAATCGCGAACGAGTTCGCGCGATGCTGAGCGAGATGACGGTTCTTGATAGTCTCGGTTATTTTTCTCTCGCTTCCGTTAATTGCCGATGCCCAGTGCGCTGAAGTGTCCAATGACACGAGGACGTTTAACGCGGCTCAATTTTACAACCAGTCGCGACGCGGACTCTCTGAATTCTAGGGTTGCTTCAATTCTTCCCGCATCCCGTTAACTGGGATTTGTTCAATAGATTTAAGGAGTTGAGGGAGAATGTTGCTCTAATTATCAGTTATCGATTAATTATCAGTTTACGAATCTTCGCTTGGCTTGAAGGAATCTGAACAGTGCTACGCATTCACGAGCATAGAATTATCATCAGTCGCATAAATACCGCGTATCGGGTAAACAAAATAGACAACTCTCTCTTGAAGGGCGACGGAGATTTCAGCGAGACGTTCCGTTACATATCACTGGGTATGCACGGAAAATAAATGTCAACACCTGAAATGAATTATTGAATATAAACGAATACATCGAATACGGGATCTCCGTTCGTCATTTCTGTCCTTTTACGGTTCTAATTCGCGATCCGGATAGAATTTTTCAGAAGCGTTCGTCGGAACGTGCGTCGTCCGAAAGGGGTGGAATGAGTGCAAAGAGAGAGAAAGAGAGAGAAAGAAAGAGGAGGGATTTATGTCGGCGGCAGCTGTTGCAAAGTGCAAAAAGCAACCTCGGCACAATGCGCCGCGCGAGCCGCGTCGTACGGGTCTCATCTTCCTACGGCTTTCGCATTTCTAATGGGCGTGCGCGTTTACGCACGCACGCCGGCGCAAAAATACGAGACGCGCGAACGCCATCGAGCGCCTTTGTCCTCGGGATGATTCAGACGAACGCGGTGTCAATTTCGAATTCATCAATGTCACTGCTCGGCCTCTTTAAAAGCGCGTTACGCGCCTCACAATGGAATACCGAATGCCGCAAAAATGCCGCGCGAGTGCCGAGGCACGGTGGCCCTCGAGAAGAGAGCCTTTATGTGATATTCTATCTATTCTCGGTCGGCGAAATGGAGAAAAAAGGAAGTACACGGGACAAACGATAGATCCACGTTTATTCTGGCAATTCTCGTAGGAACACGGCGATGCAAACCCAGGGAAACCGGTCGGGAATCTTCATGAACCGTCGCATAAATCGCGCGTATAACACACCGGATATCGTCGGATTTCGCGAAATCGCGACAAACCTCGCCGAGAGAAGTAATCTAGGTATAAATATATCCAGTATCGGCCTGAGTCGAAAATTCAATAGCTAGCTGGTACAGGTGAGATGAAATTTTCTAATTCGTTACCGGCTGATTATCCGTTAAAACGGTGGAATCGGTCACCGTATTAATTTTGTCTTCATTTTCGGCATAATATTTATGTTACCTTTCGCACGTATTTATCTTGTCTTACATCAACATTTCAGTTAAACGTTTGGGACATGTAAAATGCGTTGAATTTAAGATATCTTAATGTATGGCAACCAGTTGCGATTTTTCATCTCGCAACTTGAATTTCTTTTCTTCAGTTGACTTATTTATCCAGCCACTATAAGAAGTGAGCGTTACATTGTTAGCGACGACGTTCGACAGAAATTTACCACCTCGTGGACACCCACGAGGTTCGATTTCCACAGAGGTAATAACGCGGCTCGAGGAAATAAGACCCGGCCGCGCGTCGAGGTTGCTTTTTTTCATGTCACGATTCCTCGCACTCGCTGCCCGCGACGGTCGCGCACTTAGGGGGATATCTAAAGTAAAGGCACGCATACGGGACGAAATGACTACGACTGTCATCACCTATACGCGAAATACATTCCACGCGCTATTGCGCGTCCCACGTCCTACGTCATTTGAGTACCATTTCGTATCATTTGAGTTACCCTACCCGCGTCCTCGAAAAACCGGCGAGGCGAGAGACGCGCGTTAAATAACGCGGCTTCCTTCAAATCTCACGAAGGAGGATTTTTCGAGAGGCAAAAGGAACAACACCGCACGCTTTGTCATTTCAGCCCAGCTATGGCTCGGACGATCATCCTGATCCTGGTGGGCTTATCGTCCGGCGTTCTCTCGTACCGAGTGCCATCGGCCAGTGAGATTCCGCCCACCTTGTCGCATCCGGATCACCGGCCACGACAAAATGACGACGGCACTCCCCGGTTCCACCGAGGCGCCGTCGAGAGCCCGCCGGTCGACCGACCGCCGGCTCATTATTCAGATTACGACGAGTTCGGCTCGCGCAGGTATCCCCTGCGCGACGCGGTCGAGGCGCTGCCGATCGACGAGCCTGATCAGCCCCGGGACGATCAGAGGTGAACACACTGCGCACACCTAGCCGGCTAATGTCCGCGCGCGATTTGACAAACACCCGGAATTTGCATATCAATTTTGCGAGACGTTGAAAGCCGCCGCCGGGACGATCGAAACCGGTATATAATGTTGCGAATCGCTCGAATCTAGATGCCGGCGATCAAAGATTCGCCGGCCGAGGCGGAGTCTAATCTTACGACTGACAATTTATTAAAGGAATTTTACAAGCGGCAGATTCAAGTTTTCGTTAGATCGATGCTGAGGATGTAAAAGAATCGTTCGAGTTTTCGCTTTTCCACCCGACAATTCGATACTCGTTGTCGATCGCTCCTCCGCTTGCGTTCTCGTTCGATGAGACGGAACTGCAATTTCGCTTAACGCACGCAGCTGGGACAAGAGGCTGCCTCTGAGAGACGCGGTGGAGCGTCGCGAGGCGCCTTTCCTCGGCGGCGTCGATTACGACTCCATTTGGATCGAGCCGTTGGCACCGCCGACTCTGCGGAGGACCCATCAGCAGACCTCCGAGCCCAAAGTCGTCTGCCACTTGGACTCCAGAGCCGCGCACCGCACCGACCCGTTCTCCTTGTTCCCGCAGCAAGTGCCCGATTTCAAGTGCACTCATCTGGTGTACGCCGCCGCTACGATCGGTAAACGATACGCAAACGATGCCACTCGGTTGTCTGGCGCTCACTGTCCGGGCCTCGTGTAATTTTAAGACGACGCCCGGTGCCCGAAATCTTTTTCTATGTTGCGAACTTTTACTTCTCTTTATTACAAAGCGATTTGTCATCGGTCATAAGCAGAATGGCCTTTTAGTTTGAGACTCCAGACACGAGACAGTTGTATGTGTCACTCAAGATAGAAGACTTGAGGCAATACGTTGTCTCGAACTGATAAGTCAACTATTCTACTATGATCCTCAGTGCTATATTTGATGCAACAATAGATGTAATAATGGTTGGTCGTTCTGTTATTCAACGCTTTGCTAGTATGACATCCATAATGATGGTTTGCAGATCCGCAGAGACTGGTCGTTGCACCCAGAGACCCGGAATACGATCGAGTCAAAGGTATCGATATCACTTTATTTTGTTAAGTTTACTGGATTTGCCGATTAAGACGCTATCAGATACTGCAGATACCGGTGTTACCATGTCATACGCAATATAGCTGCAACATAATTATTTGTACGGCATGTAACATCGATATTCGCATCAGCGGAAACAATTGAACCGATTCTGTGCCGTTGTTCGGGCGAACTTGGATTACGGAAGTGATTAAATCGGTTTTAGGTCGTCGTGTAAACATGTAGTCACAGGCCGGTATTCGTATTCAAATTTTATATTCAAGACCGTTTTAAGTCCATCTTCAGATGCATTATTCAATAGCCAATGAAAGGTATCTGAAGATCAACTTAAGACGGTCTTAAGTGTAAGATTTGACTATGAATACCGGTCATAGACGCGCATGTACAGCAGTAACATACGTTACACGATAGTTACTCTATCCGAGGCAAAACTTTTTTCCCCATATTGATGCGTTAAAAGTAACGAGCAATCCAAGCTTTGCAAACGCATATATGGGACATATCTTGTCTTTCTGATATTTCCGTGTACGGTAAATTTATATACAATCAGGCTAAAAAGTATATTCGATGAAACTGTTCGTATTGCTGTTATAAAGTTCGATTTTAGCATGACTATATCCTGGACTGGACAAAAGTAGCTCCTGCAGCTAAAAACTAGCTTCCACACGGGTGAAGATTATCCGTATGATACAAGTAAAATTTAATGAATTTAGCTGATTCTTCTTCCGGTGAACTGAATTTCAGTCGTATTATATGAGTAGCTAATTGCTTTCTCCGTGCAGTCGCGCGATACGTAGTAAATTGTGCTCGTCAGCATGCTTTGTTACTATTCGCACCGGAATTTCCGGCGTGCATTAAAACAGAACCGATTAACGCCCGCTGTTTTCGCCACGCACACATAGGTGGTTACAACGCCGCCACGGGACTTCGCTCGAGGGATCCAGCGCTGCGCGTGCTGATATCCATCGCGCCTCCCAATCGGGGGCGACTGTTCGCCGAGGTCGTGCAACGAAACTGCAATCTCCATTGCGACGATCTGGCGGTGTCTATTCTCAAGTTCCTCGAGGAGTACCGCTTCGACGGTATCGAGATCGATTGGCCGAGCTCCGCCGAGTACTGGAGGAGCTTCAAGCTCCTGCTGAGGAAGATCGCCAAGCCGTTGGCCGAGGAGGGTTACACCTTGGCGGTGGCGGTGAGACCGACGGACCCCGTGGACCCGGAGATCGCGTCCATCGCCGACCTGATACTCCTGAGGAGCTGGCAGGACATCACCGACCAGGGCAGGGAGAAGTTCGCCCTTCACCCGGCCCCGTTGAACTTCGTCGCGCGCAACACGAACAAATGGATCGAACAAGTCGGTTCCAGGCGAATCACCAAGATCGTTCTCGGCCTGCCGATCTTCGGCCAGGGCTTTACCTTGAAGTACGGCAACTCCACCGACGCCGGAGCGCCCGCGGTGGGACCCGGCAGAACGGGAACGCACACCAAGCACAAAGACGGCCGACTGGCCTACTACGAGGTAAGATGTCGCGAAAATGGACTCGTGAGTGGATATACGAGCGAGGTATTCCTCCGTTCCAGGTGTGCGAGAAATTGGAGGACACCTTGTGGATATCCGGCAGAGACGAGGAGGGGCCGTACGTGAAGCGTGGCGACCAATGGATCGGCTACGAGGATCCCATCTCGGTGAAGATTAAAACAGCGTATGTCCGCGCGACCGGACTCGGCGGTGTGTCCTTGTGGTCGCTGGATTTGGAGGACTTCCAGGTAATCGCACGCAGAGAATCTTTCTCGAAGATATAAATAAGGAAAAATTCATTAACGGGAAAAGTACCGGTCGAATAGTCCGGCCCGGTTAAGATGTAACGTCGAAACGACAGTATATGCTGTGACTGTCGCTTACAAAGTGAGTTCCGCAGGGTATCTGTGGGAACCCTTGGCCGATGCTGAACGCCGCCGTGCAAGCTTTGGGACGCTACGATAACGGTCCTGCGAAGAAGTGTACGAAGAACGGCCTCTTCCGAGACCCGCAGAACTGTTCCGGGTTCTACTCTTGCGTGAAAGGTAAAGGTTTCCGGCATTTCGCGAAGAGTCCCGCGCGCAAGACCCACGTTGACGATCAAAAGACCGATCTCTTTTCCTTCAGGATCGCAGCATCACGGCAATTGCGGCCACGGCAGGTTCTTCGACGTGAGCGAAGGACGTTGCGTAGCGGCCGCTGCGGACGTCTGCAAGCCGTCCACCCTCGCCCTTTCGTCGAACGAAATTTTGCCGGCACCATTGGTAGCGGAAATGGAGGACAAGTTGGAGCTGCTGGAACAGGACGGCCCGCGGGTGGTGTGTTACGTCACATCTTGGGCACTCTACCGCAAAGACGAGGGTAAATTCGTGCCGGAGCACTTGGACTCGCAACTGTGCACCGACATCGTCTACGCCTTCGCCGGCCTGAATCCTGAGACCCTGCTGATCCAATCATTCGATCCTTGGGCCGACAACGACCACAGTGAGTGAAGCAACTTGGCTCAAACGAGATTAACGGTCACCGGTTACCGACAGTATGATATTACCACTCATTGTGTTTCAGATCTGTACCAGCGGGTGACCTCGATCAAGGGCTCGAGGGTCCTGTTGGCCTTGGGCGGCTGGACCGACAGTTCCGGCGACAAGTACTCGCGACTGGTCAGCAGCGGCGCCGCTCGGCGCAAGTTCGTCGCCGGCGCGGTGAATTACTTGAATAAGCACAACTTCGACGGCCTGTCGCTCGAGTGGAGCTACCCGAAGTGCTGGCAGAGCGACTGCAAGAAGGGCCCGGATTCCGACAAGCCGAACTTCACCAAGCTGGTGCAGGAGCTGCGGCAGGAGTTCGAAAAGCAGAAACCACCGCTCCTCTTGGCGGTCGCGTTGTCGGGCTACAAGGAGGTAATCGACAAGGCGTACGAGGTGCGCGAGATCTCTCAGGCTGTCGACTTCATGTCGGTGATGACTTATGACTATCACGGGGCCTGGGAGTCGAAGGCGGGACACATAGCGCCGTTGTTCGGCGCTCCCGGTGACAAAAATCCTTATTACAACGTGGTGAGTCTCAGCTTCGATCGCGGGAAAGCGTGTGTCGTTTCCCGTTGCTCGCACGGTTGCGACGCTACGAGCATCGGAAACGTTTCAGAACTTCACCATGAACTACCTCGTCGGGCTCGGCGCCGAGAAGACGAAGCTTCTGCTGGGTATCCCGATGTACGGCCAGTCCTACCGACTCGCGACGGCGAGCCAAGCTGAACTGGGCGACCCTACGACCGGCCCCGGTAGACCAGGCGAGTTCACCAAGCAGCCCGGAATGTTGGCTTATTACGAAATCTGCGACAAGATCAGGCGACACGACTGGGAAGTGGGAGTCGGTGAGTAACGACTCGTCTTCGACTTAACCGTTGAAGAGTGGGAGCGAAGGGGAAGATTCATATCGAAGCTCGCTTCAACTCCAGGACCGAGCGCTCACTCCGACGACCAATGGGTGGGCTACGAAGATCGAGAGAGCGTCTACGCGAAGGGCAAGTACGTCACGGGAAACAGCTACGGCGGCGTCACGATGTGGACCGTCGACCTGGACGACTTCCAGAACCGCTGCTGCCTGGAGTCGTATCCGTTGCTGAAAACCGTCAATCGCGCGCTGGGTTCGTATCACCCATCTCCTGTTGTTTCCACCCACGGAAAAACATGCTACTACGTTCAACGGAAAGAAATTTCGTCAGTTAATCACGTCATCAAACGGCAGGTCGTCTGTCATCGCCGCCACCCGTTTCGGGGAACTGCCACCGTCCGCCGCAGCCGGTGACACCCGAACCGCCGACTTTGACTACCCACAGCGACGCTGCGGACGGTAGTCCGCGACCCACCACGTCGATGACGACATCCAGCACCAAGGTGACCACGTGGCCCACGTGGACGGAACGACCGAGCAGCACGACCCCGCAAACCACCACGTGGCCCACGTGGACCTGGAGCACTGCGAGGCCCAGTAAGATGCCGCAGGAGACGACGACGGTGTCCAGCACGACTGTATCGTCGCCTCAGCGACCGAGCGCACCTGCCAGCACCACGTTCTCCTGGAGCACGTCGAGGTGAGAAGATCTCTCGAGACGAGAAATCCGCGGCCGCTCTGAGCGTTCATTCAGGAAGACCTCTTTTCCACAGAGCGACTACGCGTCCTACGGTGTCCACGACGCGGGAGCCGGCCGAGTCGCCAGGTGCGAGCTGCATCAGCGGGGAGTATTACAGCGACCCTGAGAACTGCGGCAACTACTACCGCTGCGTCCTCGGCGAGCTGAGACGCGAACAATGCGCGCCTGGGTTGCACTGGGACGCGAAGCGACGTCTGTGCGATTGGCCATCGGCGGCGAAATGTCAAGTGCAGACCGGTGAGACGCTTACCTTATTTATCTACCCGCCCGAGATTAATCTCTTCAGCTGGATACGATTCGCTGCTTCTCTATCAACTCAGGCGATCGTCTTTATTCCTCTCTTTCTCTTTGCTCTTCCCTCTCACTCCTCTTCTTCTTCTTCTTCTTCTTCTTCTCTTGATCAAGAGAGAAAGAGGGAACGCGCTCAATAATTAAACGGCACGAAACGGTCGGGCGAAATGAGCGGTGAATAATAATCGGCCGGATGATTGGCCGTTTAGATGCGGGCTCGACGGGGATCGTCGGGGAAAATTGGCGGTTGGCGTTTCGTTAATTACGCGCACGGTCATCGCGAAATCGAAGGAGAAAATTAGCGTCGCGTGAACGGACTCCCTCGGTGATTCTCGAGAACGAGGCACCACGCCTCTCCATATCTCTTTCTCCTTCTCTTTCTCTCCTTGCTCGTCTACGCGGGTCTCTCTCTCTTCAGCAATTCAATAACTCACGGCGCGCACGTGGATGAGCCGGCACGGCGACGAAGCGAGCGGTCGCAAACCTGTTTCGCGAGTCACGCACGTGCAAATACCTCGCGGTCGTACATATCTTCCTCTGTCTCGTCTATCGCCCGCGGCCTCGCATCTCTCCTCGCATCCTCCCCCTTTTGCAGCTATGCTTCGCGACGAGGACGCCAGTACCGGCGAGGGTACAACGACGACAACGGCGTCGTCGACTCGCCGTCGCCGGCTGTGCGCGTCGTTGTTTCCATGGCTTCGTTTCTTGCCATGGCTCCACTATTTCACAGCTCCTGCGTAATACTGGCTCTGCTTTCGGCCAGTTGCGTCACCCAGGGAGTCTACAAGATCTCTCGTCGAGGTGTGGTCGTCGCCGCCTTCCCCGCTTGAATTCATGATCAATCTCAACCTGTCGTTCACTTTCACCTCAATTTGTCATTTTTTCATCACACATCGCATAGCTAATGACCGAGCGAACATTAATTATCTGCGTCTTCTCCTCAGGCACCTCGACCTCGACGACCACGAGCAGTCCTTCGTGGAGCTCGACGAAGAGGCCGACGACTCTAACAACTCCCAAAACTACCACGACGATAAGAACGACGTCGACGACGACGACTACTACTACTACTACTACTACTACTCAGCGACCCACGAGATTCACCACGACGAGACCCGTGGTCGTCGTCACGACGGAGAAACCGCACAAAGCATGCCAGCACGGGCAATACTACCCTTCCCCGGAGTCGTGCACGCACTTTCTGGTCTGCGTGAACGGCGATCTCGTCTCGCAGCAGTGCGGCCCGGGTCTGAACTGGAACAACGAGAAGAACATGTGCGACTGGGCCTTCAAGAAGCCCTGCGTCGAGAAACCCCACAAGAACGCGCTGCTGTTGGAGAAGGACGGCGCGTCGGAGGTGAGTAATTAACGCGACGCGTTATGTGCGAGCGAACGAATGCACCGACACGCTAGTAAACACGTCGATTATCAGATTATAAACAGACATTAATCATCATTACTGGCGAGACGTCACATCGATCTCTCGGCGCCGTTTATTCGCCGTTCGTCATCGGCGTACGCCTCACGCGCAGTTCGATAATTGATCTTGATATTGAGCGATTGGGTTATCGAGTAAACGACGTCACGTTGCAGACCTGCGTCTCCGGCAGCTACAGCAGCGTGCCGGGCGACTGCAAGAGTTACCGGGCGTGCCTGTGGGGCCGGCAAGAGGTGTTCAGCTGCCCGCCGGGTCTGCACTTCAACAAGGAGACTCGCATCTGCGACTGGCCGCTCCTCGCCAAGTGCGCGGAGGCGAACGACGGCGCGGAAGCGACGACGCAACGACCGCTGCCGAGCAGCACGGAGGAGCCCGGCCGGCCGCAGAAACCGGTCACACAGGTGATTGTCACGACGGAGGAGGCGTCGGTCACGTCCGTCGCGACTCCTCAGCCCACCACGACGACGACCACGACGACTCAAGCGACGTCGACCTTGCCCCCGGCGATCATAGACCCGGACAAGGTGTCCCCGTTGTCCGGCCACTACAAGGTAGTGTGCTACTTCACCAACTGGGCCTGGTACCGTCGCGGAATCGGCCGTTACCTGCCCGAGCACATCGACCACACCCTGTGCACGCACATCGTGTACGGCTTCGCGGTGTTGGACTACTCGGAGCTGGTGATCAAGGCGCACGACTCATGGGCGGACTTCGACAATCGCTTCTACGAGCGAGTGGTCGCGTACAAGAAGCGCGGCCTCAAGGTGCTCCTGGCGTTGGGCGGCTGGAACGACTCGGCCGGCGACAAGTACAGCCGGCTGGCGAACAGCCCGGCTGCCCGGAGGAAGTTCATCGATCACGCGATCCGGTTCCTCGAGAAGTACAACTTCGACGGGCTGGACTTAGACTGGGAGTACCCGGTCTGCTGGCAGGTGAACTGCAACAAGGGCCCGGACTCGGACCGGCAGGGTTTCGCGGCGCTGCTGCGGGAACTGAGCGCCGAGCTGAGGCCGAGGCAGCTGCTGTTGACTGCCGCGGTGTCGCCCAACAAGATGGTCATCGACAAAGGCTACGACGTGCCCGTGTTGGCCGAGTACCTCGACTGGATCGCGGTGATGGCGTACGATTATCACGGGCAATGGGACAAGAAGACCGGCCACGTCGCGCCCTTGTATTACCACCCGGACGACGAGTTCTACTTTTTCAACGCCAACTACACGATCAACTACTGGATCTCGAAGGGCGCGCCGCCCAGGAACATCGTCATGGGGATGCCGTTGTACGGGCAGTCCTTCACGATCAACGACCCCCGGGCCAGCACCGGTCTCAATTCGCCAGCGAGCGCCGGAAACGCCGGCGAGTTCACCCGAGCTGCGGGCTTCCTGTCGTATTACGAGATCTGCGATCGCGTGCGCAATCGTGGCTGGACGGTCGTGCAGGACCCGGAGGGAAGAATGGGCCCGTACGCTCACAAGGGCAGTCAGTGGGTCAGCTTCGACGACCCCGACATGATCCGGAAGAAGGCGCAATTCGTGCGCGACTTGGGACTGGGCGGCGGGATGATCTGGGCGTTGGACCTGGACGACTTCCGGGGCCGATGCGGCGACGGACCTCACCCGCTCATGCATGTGCTCCAAGAGGTGTTAGCGAGTCCACATAATGAACAGGACAAGCCCGTGAAGCCGCCGTCGGTCGGACAGGACTTGGACTGGAAGCCGCCGACGACACCAACAACCGCGCAGACGACGGCTGTGAGCTCACCGACCGATCGCGTGCACGACGATGACAAGGACGGGTTCAAAGTCGTTTGTTACTTCACTAACTGGGCCTGGTATCGGCAAGAAGGCGGTAGATTCCTGCCGGAGGACATCGATCCCGACCTGTGCACCCACATTCTCTACGGATTCGCCGTGCTGGACGGCTCGAGTCTGACGATGAAGTCGCACGATCCATGGGCCGACATAGACAACAAGTTCTACGAGAAGGTCGCGGCCTTCAAGTCGAAGGGTCTGAAGGTGCTGATGGCGCTCGGCGGCTGGAACGACTCGGAAGGCGACAAGTACAGCCGACTGGTGAACTCGCCGTCGGCCAGGCAGAAGTTCGTCCCGCAGGTGTTGCGCTTCATCGAGAAGTACGGCTTCGAGGGCCTCGATCTCGATTGGGAATACCCGGTGTGCTGGCAGGTCGACTGCAAGAAGGGCCCCGAGTCGGACAAGGAGGCCTTCAGCCAGCTGGTGAAGGAACTGAGCGACGAGTTCAAGCCGAGAGGTCTGCTGCTCTCCGCGGCGGTCTCGCCGAGCAAGAAGGTCATCGACGCGGGATACGACGTGCCGGCTCTCTCCAAGTACCTCGACTGGATATCCGTGATGACGTACGACTTCCACGGCCAGTGGGACAAGAAGACCGGCCACGTGGCGCCGTTGTACACTCTCCCCAACGATTGGGAACCCACGTTCAACGCCGTAAGTTCTCACCGATTCGCCCGATTGATTATCAATGTACGACAACGTGTAACTCAGCCAGGATTTCAATGTGTCACGTGTTTGCCGAGCAGAACTTCTCGGTGAATTACTGGATCGAGAAAGGAGCGGACCCGAGGAAGCTGGTGATGGGCGCCCCGTTGTACGGACAGTCGTTCTCGTTGGCGGAGAGGAACGAGCACGGCTTGAACGCGCCGACGTACGGCGGTGGCGAAGCTGGGGAGGCGACCAGAGCCAGAGGGTTCCTCTCGTATTACGAGGTGGGTTCTCGAGTCGAATACTCGGGTAAGAAACGAAGAGAATCTCCGGATGATATTGAGCTTAGGGGCGGATTCGAATGATAATAATAATGATAAATGACGATGATGATGATGATAACTTGATCGGCAAACGTCTTACTCTCGTTCTCTCGTTCCGGCAGATATGCGAGAGAACGCTGAGGAAGGGATGGACGGTGGTTCAAGATAAAGAGAGGAGGATCGGCCCGTACGCGTACAAGGGTGACCAGTGGGTGAGCTTCGACGACGCTCAGCAGATCAAGCTGAAGGCGGAGCTGATCAAGAAACTCGGCCTCGGCGGTGGCATGGTTTGGGCCTTGGATCTGGACGACTTCAAGAACAGATGCGGCTGCGAGCCCAGCCCGCTGTTGAGGACGATGAATCGCGTGTTGAGGAACTACCCGAAGGGCCCGCTATGTCCCGTCACGGGTGGTGAGTTGTTCGATTACGTGACGATTATTCTCATGAGAATATTCGAAACCGACGCGTTTACGAACGAATTATCGCGAATAAACGCGAACGTTAATTGACATTTCTTTTTACGTAACACATCTACGATTTTCGTACGACGAAGTAGGACATTCAGGTAAGATTCTTGGAAATTTGCAGACGCAGGATCGATCATGATCGACGTCGGCGGGAGCGACGTCGAGTCCACGACCGTCACGGAACGTCCCGTCCACGAGTCCACCACGTCGTCGAAACCGTCGTATCTGCCGCCGTCGTCGACAACGACGACGGAATCGTATCAGGAGGAGGACGTCGACGACACCGTCGAGATCGAAGCCGGCTCGGCGCCTCCGGCCGCCGCTCCGATTGGCGACTGCGGCGGTCGTTTGTTCATATCGCACAAGAGCGATTGCAACAAATACTACCTCTGTAACTTCGGCAAGCTCACAGAACACTCCTGTCCACCCAAGCTATACTGGAACGAGAACCGATGCGACTGGCCGGAGAACACCAAGTGCAAGAGCGTTCAGCGTCAAGTACGTGCAGCGAGAAAATGTTGGAAATTTGAACGTCAATACGTGAACGAGAATATCGAAAAAAGAAAAGTCCAAACGACGTATAAAGGAAGGATTTTTTTTTAACCCATGTGTAACGAAGACTAATAATGTTCGCCTTGTCGATTTCGCAGATCGGCGGAGCCGTCGCGATGAGAATCAGCGAGGACGTCAACAGGAAGAAGGTGGTTTGTTACTATACGAATTGGGCTTCGAGGCGAGCGAGCGTCGGCAAATTCCTGCCGAAGGACATCAACGGCGAGCTCTGCACGCACGTCGTATACGCTTTCGCTACGTTGAACACGCAGAGACTGTCCGTGGACATCGAAGATTCGGTCGACACTTACAACGACTTCCTCACCCAAGTGGCAGAGCTCAGGAAAGGGAGTAATGTCAAAGTGTTGCTCGGTTTAGGCGGCTGGAACGACTCGAAGGACGACAAGTACAGTAGACTGATCGGCGACAAGTCGGCCAGAAGGAAATTCGCCTATCGCGCCGCGCAACTCGTCGAAAAGCACGGATTCGACGGTCTGGACCTCGATTGGGAGTTCCCGGTCTGCTGGCAGGTTAAAATCTTTATCTTTCTTGGCGATTAAAAGAGAGAGAGAGAGAGATAAATCGTTTATTATATATTATTTATTATTATTATATTAACCCTTTGCACTCGAAGTTTTTTTTCATTCATATTACCAGCAACTCTATGAGCAAATTTATGATATATTTATGATATATTTATTACTTATTAGTTATTTATAAAAATATAGCGACATTGCTATTGGCTATTTCTCGAATCATCCGGAAGATATGAAAACATCGCGATGTTGATTCGCTCTCCTTTCTCGATGATTCGCGATATCCGCACTACCGGTGAAACTTCAGTCTCTTCGGTCTCTCGCGAAGAGAAGGAGACTCGCCAATCGAGGGTGATCTCAAGACACACTTCTCAAGGCTCAGTGACATTCCAGGCGGACTGCAGCCGCGGCCCGCGCAGCGACAAGGAGGGCTTCGCGATGCTGGTGGCAGATCTCAGCATGGCGTTCCGGTCCAGAGGGCTGCTGCTGTCCGCTGCGGTCTCGGCCAACAGGGTCATCGTCGACTTCGCCTACGACGTGCCGTCCTTGATCGAGCACCTCGACTGGATCAGTGTGATGACGTACGACTATCACACCTCCTGGGAGGGCGAGACCGGCCATATCGCGCCGCTCTCAGCTTATCCCGGCGACGGTGTTCCACACCTGAACGCGAACTACTCTGTGAGATATTGGCTCGACAAGGGTGCGCCGCCCGAGAAGCTCGTCATGGGTATACCCACTTACGGGCAGAGCTTCACCTTGTCTGAGGCGCCACGGAACCCTCGAGACGTACCAAACTTCCATGCCAGGGTCTCTGGGCCTGGGGAACCCGGCAAGTTCACGAGGTCGGCCGGTTTCTTGGCCTACTATGAGGTAAGGCGCTCCTGGTGAGCGCGAAGTCCGAAAGCCTTACTCCCGCTGTAACTTCTGCATTGTATCACATTGTATTCACAGATATGCGATTACGTGAGGAACGACGGGTGGCCGGTGGTGAAGGATCCGGAGGGTCGCGTGGGACCGTACACGTCGAAACACAACCAGTGGGTCAGCTATGACGATGTGTCCGATGTGGCGAGGAAGGTACGCGTAATTCGATACTTTCAGTGAACGCTTAACGCGATATTTCTCCCTCGCTGAGCTTTGACCTGTAGACGCGTGAAGAAACATACCAAGAAAAGGAGCACAGAGGAACAAAAAGGAACATTCAACCGAGTCAAATGAAAAGTTATAAATTTCCCAACCCTTCAACTTGATTTTTCAATGACTCCCTAATCATCGTCCAACCCCGGTTAGATTACGCGAGCCGTGTTCTGGTTTCAGGCCGAGCTCATAAAGGAGCTGAACCTCGCCGGTGGAATGTTGTGGTCGATGGACCTGGACGACTTCAACAATCTCTGCGGCTGCGGCAAGTTCCCGCTGTTGACAGCGCTGAATCGCGGACTCCGAGGAGGGCGCGATCGCGGGTCGACCGACTGCACTTGAACTGCGCCTCGGAACGCGCGAGAGGGTGACGCGTGCGATCCTCGAAGAGCGCGCCTATTATCGTCGCCCGCGAACAACCGCCGTCCTACGACGATCCTTTCCTCTGGCAATGTCTCTCTCGCCGATTCTCTCTCGTCTCTTATCCGTGTATTCCGCGTTCCTCGCTGGTAGAATTTCGGCCAACGAGGCTGCCGAGCAACATGCTCTTTAACTTAACGTTTTCCCAAAGCGAACTCTGTAAGCCGGCCTTCTGCCTTCAGCCCGACGAACGCGATCTGAGGTCAGCTATGTCGCAACTGTGCTCAAGCATCCCCTTGAATCCCTCCGCCTGAATGAAGAGCATAACGCCGAGTCACACTCTAGTTGCTCAATACGAAAAGTATCGTCAATCCGCCACATACGCTTTCTAAAGTAAACGTCGACGACGGAGTTGTTGCCCCCCCCCCCCCCCCCCTCACGCAGTATCGTTCGAGTGCTTCCGCGCGACAATAAACCTCGATCCTCAAGTACATTCTACAGTAATAAGTCCCGGCGGGGAGGGGTGAGTCAGCCGGCTGGATTGGCGCGAAAACTCTTTCGGACGACGTAAGATTACGTAAGTTTCTCGTGCGACGTCTCGACACACCGCGTGTAAAAAATCTTTCCGCGAGTAGATAAGATATATTTTATGTTAATATGTTATAACCGCTCAATGATCACGTATTCGCGACACTCTTCCGGATGACGCGAAGGGGAGGAGCGGGCGGGACGATGCAGAAAAGGAGAAGAAAACGTCTTCCTGACGACCTCCTTCTCTCCTACCCGTCCCGTCGCTATCGCGTCACCCGCGAAGATTAAGATGCGTTTCAGCGCGAGTGTAATTATGCATGCGTAATTATATGATTGCGCCACGTTCTCCCGATCTGTGTCAAGTGCGTACGATCGGTCGGCGCTTCCTGAATTGTAACGATAAGATGATTAAAGGGAAACGATAACGTTACATACACGTTGCATACACGTCTCGCTTTATATAAACACACCGACGGCGATAAATATGTATGATACGCGCACGATCATACCCCCCAGCGAATTCAGTTGGCAGCCGTTGCGGAAACCGTCATCGAACGCTTCGGGCGTGCGGCTGAGCACCGAGCAAATTCGTGCGAGCAAGTATACGCGGTGTTCGTAAATAACGTTCGTCACCGTCGGGGAAAACGCCGTCGAGAAATCGGTTGTGGAGGGAAGAAAAGCCGGGCCGAGCGGCTGTGTAAACCAATCGGGCTCAAAGCGTGTAAAGAAAGGAAGGAAGGCGGCGGTTTGGCGGGAAGAGAGGAGAATTGAGCGAATTCGCTGTATCCGTTCGACTCGGCTGAAAATCGGAGTGACCTGCGGGCGGTTGCTTATCGCGAAATATTCGCCATCGTTTACAGTTATGTTTCCGCGTACAATCGAGTCTTTATCCGCGTTGACGTGTTCCACGAGAGCTCGGCTGCCTGCGATACGCGGGTCATCGCATTAATAATCCCACCGATGAAAGCCGCTATTAAAGCCAAAGTCGCGGGATCAGGACGCTTTTCGTGCGAGGGGACTTCACCCGACGTGTCCTCCTCTAAAATATTAAAAGAACTGAGCGACCTCCACCGTACAAACACCATTCCCTCCAGTTCCGTCGAGTCGAGCTTAATCACTCGATTTAATTTCAATCGGTTTCAATTACATGCGATGAATCAGTCGATTTTCAAATATTAGTTGAACGTTTCTAATGTTCTACGACGGAGAAGTCCCGGAGCGTGGCGTAAGTCTACTGATAATAATTCAATTTTAATTAGGATTCATTCGAATCGCTAGTCGATTTTCAAAACTAATTGATTTCTCGGCGTCCTTCGACGGAGCGGAAGAGTTATCATTCGCTGTGACTCTGCGCATATTATTTATTCGCAATTAACCGACGAACAGAACTCGAGGCGCAACTAACTTCCACGACTTTGGCTTTAATCCGTGGGATTATTAATGCGATGACCCGCGTATCGTAAGCGTGCAGTGCGTGAAAGGCGGCTTTGACGTAGCCGATATCCCGCGGGATATCGAGCGCGCGTGTACGTTACTTTTTCGGAGATCGTCGTAATTTTTATAATCACAGGTTGTCCGCACACTATCAGCACGCGCAACCCGTTCGCCCCAACCTTGAGCTTTTCATTACCGCGACAACCTTGAACCCGGTCTCACTCGAATCGCACGCGCCCGGCTGCTTATCGCTAATTCACCGAATGCCGTCCCGGCGCCGAGTGTCCCCTTCACTTCCAACGTTTCCGTCACAATTCGGGCTCTTTTCTCAGCCAAGAGGGAAAGGAGGGAAGAGAGAAAGAACCAAAGTTAAATCGGAAAATCGAGAGGAACGCGCGACGCTGAAAAATCTCCTTTAATTCGAGGCTTCCAGATATACCCTCGCATGCATGCAGCGAACGCCATTTTATGGTAGATCGTCATGATAATTGATCAGATCATCAGTCAGTTTCGAAAAAAATATTAGCGGTTTGATAACTCGATTACGCACGATCCACTGAAATTTTGCTTTACTTCAACACGGGGAGGATGTATCTGTATATAATTATATTTCTTATTTTGTATAAAAGTTTTGTATTAAAAACGGTCTACCGAAATTGAGCGTTACTTTAACACAGGGAATGTGTATATATATAATTATTTGTTAACACAAAATTTATCATTACAAGTGATATAAACGATAATTGTATCATTAAATGATAATTACGTTGTTAACAGGAAAAAAATTGTTTCCACTGTGCGGGAGTAAGCGTTTAAAAATACATCAGGGGCCGCTCATGTGACAGCCCCGGGTGTAATCGAGAACAATCAAGAAACGTCGGACTTTAACTCGTGAGTGCTTGGACACATCTGCTGTGGTTCAAACCACCCATTGAAAGTTTAACGGCTATTTAGGCTAAATCTCGGGAAATGCGAAGAGGTCCACGGAAGAGGTCCATCGACGGATCATCGCGCGATATATCTAAGCCGAGCGTGTCGACGCGATTGGCTGACACGCCGCTATCATCGACCAATGACAGTCCGCTCTGACATCGGCGGAGTACCTTCGTCGAAAGGCGCGGAAAGAGTCGCGCGGCGTCAGTCGGGCCGCGCTGTCTGTCTGGGCTGGTTGGTGTGTGCGTCTTCAAGTTCCGCTTCGTGACCGCATTGTGACAGCAACAGCAGCTCGCCGTATCAACCACAACGACGAAATGGAGGAGAATCAAGGTAGCCGAAAATCTTATCGCGATGATTACCGAAATCTAATCTCCATCATCACAAATCGAGACGGTATCTGGTTTGCGTAACGGAACTTCCTTCTCGACTCACGGTGGTCGATTTGTATCTTACGACGAGCGAACCGACAAAACCGATTCGAGCTGCATTTCTATTCGAGCCGAGAAGATGACGAATATCGTTTTCATGGTTGAAGACCAATCTGGAATTAGTCTGTCTTAATATTAATAATCAACGTGTTTGATTTGTTCATTGTCAGGTAACTTTGAGCAAATCTTGTTCGCCGCATGTTCGCATAATTCTTGCATTAAGATAAAATTGGAGTCGCCTCGAGCCAGCTTATACATTCCATGTCCACGTCGGAAAAAAAAGCGCGACAACCAGCGCGAATGTTGTCTCTCGCCGATGACGCGTTGTTGTTACAATAGCGAAACCGTTAGTCAGACTTTGAATAATCGGGCCGAGCTGCACCGACCATCCGAGTTATTCGCAAACAATCTCATCAGTCGGTCGCGACAGGTGCACGAGTATGTACCTGTTCCGTCGTCGGACGAGCATCCCCGTCATTGTGTTTACCCACGTCCGTTCAAATGTGTACGTTACCTCTGTTACTCGTGCGCTTTGGGAATTTCAAAGAGCGTCGGGAAGCCGAGGGCGTATCGACGCTGCTATCAACCGCGCGATATTGCGAACGCGCCACAAGGACGCGTCATCTCGGAAGAGCGAGCGTCGCAATTACCGTCTTTCCTGCCGCCACAAGTCCGCGCTATTTTTGATCTACAACTTTCGACGTTCGAAAACTGAACGCCGCGTCGGCAACGGTATTCCGAGCCGACGGACGAGAGCGAGGCGATACACGCGATCCGAAGGGCAAACTCCGTCGATCAATCGTGACCGTTCGCATATTTCACCTGCTCACTTTCTGCTCAAATGAAATCGGCGCAACGTGCTGCAGGAGAACGGAGGGAGAGGAGCGAGGTAGAACGACAAGGGAACGAATCTAATGCGATGGATACTCTACACGCGTATGTTTTTACTTTTTCAACGAACTCGTAGAGCACAGACCTTCAAGGAACGTCCTAGAGACGTTCAAAAGATAACTATAAAGGATAAGCGTGCCGTATGGCCAGGTATGTTAATTACAAGAGGCGACAAATGTGTAAACTTGCAAGTCATAACCAATTATAATACGAGTCTCCGGAAACACGTAACGTCCGTATAGTACGTTCTACATACGTATCTACGTATAGAGTGTCCCGAGAAAAACAGATCCGACCGTTTCAACTGCATTCCGCTCTCCGTTCTTTGCTCCTGTTCGTTATGTCCTGTGCTTAAAGTGAAAGAAATATATGTTAGAAATTTCATGAATGATAAAGAAGAAAAGACTAATTTCAAGACACTGCTGTTAAAAAATCGTTTAGTTGGCGAGCTGCAGAATCGTATAAATATATTTACCAAAACAAGTGCAGACAAGTGTAATTAAAGTCGAACCTCGGTTTCTTTTTTCAACTTTTCGGTTCTTTTTTGGCAAGGATAGAAAAATTCGTTTAGAAAAATTCTCATGTTCGGTTAAAACCGGCCACATTTATTTTCTCCCGGAAAGGAGATAATTGCGTATATCTAATTGAGTTAGGTATACGCAACCTGAGGTTAAATGAAATTAACATTCTTATCTATTATTAACTGAAGTTAATACCATTAAAAGAAGCATATGTGGCAGGTTTTAACCGAACATACGTGAGTTTTTCCAAGCGAATTTTCCCATCTTCGAGAAAAAACCCGAAGAAACCCGCGGAAAATGGAAGAAACCGTTTTTCTTTAACTACAGGCTAAACGAATTCAATTCACCTCCGTGTGCATCTATAATTTTTCACTTCACGTATCATGAATACATACCGTTTCTCGTAGCTGCAAAGGCAGGGATGTGTGAAGGGAAGTAAAAACAATAGGAGAGTGGACACTTGTATACGACACAGGAAGAAAATTCCGACCTTCGCCGGCCAGTCGCCGTTATGTTCGCGCGCGAAGCCCTCGAGTTAGCGCGCACCGCTCTGAAGTTCGCGGCACAATGAATGGGTTCGCCGCGGAACGGCATTGCGGCGTGCATCTAACCTTACCTCGCAAGTACTGCGACCCATCCCCGGGCACTGCGGCTATCACCGGTCCGCGACACGTGCCGCGTGGCATGACGATAGGTAAAAGATCGGTTTCATCCTGCTGCACTTTGTTACACCTTTCGCACGGGGAAAAGAAGTCACGTGAGTGTCGCGCTCGGATATCGAAGAGCGAAGGAGAAGAATAGCGAGATTGAGGAGGAAACCTCTCTCTCTCTATTAGGTCATCCCCGAAAACGTTCGACCGTCGTGAAAATGCGAAAATCACGGCGAATCGCAAAAATCGACTTCGATCGTCCTCCTCGTTGATCGTCCCCCGAAAATACTTTCCTACGTCGAACCGATAAACTGTGAGCTGAAGGCGGCTGCTGTTGCACGATCGATACTACCCGCCGCGCGCGTGGTTTCAATCGCGGAAGATTGCACACCTGACCTGAGGTCGCATCATTTTTTCGTGTTATTCTTGCAGAGGCCGACGTTTCCACGCTGTGCATCGACGTGACGAAGGTGAAATCGTTGAACGGAGAGCCGCGGAAATCCGTAAGTCCCGCTCTTTCGCTGGATCTTCTTTCATCTCTTCTTGTTAAAAAAAAGAGGAAATTATTAGTCACGCCACTGCGCCTGTGTCGAATGCAATGTAGCAGGGACGGTGGTAGTACGGATTTGATTTTTCGACAGGTGTTATTAGAAAGGATATCGCGTGTGTAAATACGAACTGAGGATACGGCGCGTGTGTTTGTGTGTTTTGCAGAATAATTTATGGTATCAATAATTTGCTGATATCGAGTGATCGAGCGATTTCTTCGTTATCTAATAAGAAAAAATCTGTAAGAAAAAAAAGAGTTATCATTATGACAGTCAGCGTCAGTGCGGCAGTATTATCAAGTTTAATGAAGAAACACGATGTATACAATTACTCGAGTGATACCATTGTATTAGCAATCATTCCACTTAATCCTGACTTTATTAACTCGATCGAAGTGATACATATCTCAATTGTCACATCATATCATTTTCACCTTTTCTGAAAAGCGGATTTATTTCCCTTTTGATCATTTTCAGCACATTGGCATTACAGATAGTGAGTTTTGTTATCCTTTTTTTTCGGATATTAAAAACTGATTCTCAATTTAATATTATAATCTTGATGGTTTTCCGTTTTTAATAGTATATTTTTATATTTAATAATTAATCGATTTAAATATGTGTCAAAATTTGCATCGGCTGTTTAATTCATCAGTTTGAATTACTTAATTTGGTTTGATTCAGAGGCAAGGCTGCGAGAGCTGTTATCTATAACAAGTTTACTATGTAATTGAGATACGCTATCTATCTCTTTATAATAACAGAAACAAAGAGCTATATATGATAAATAAAATTTGTCGAATATACCTCTCGGTACTGTTTAAGGAAAATGCTAAGATTAAAATATTAAAATTTAGCTAATTACCGTTTTTTTTAACTTTTGTTTTCCGGGATACTACTAATTTGCACGGTCTCTCTCTTATAGGAGACGCGTAACAATGCCGCGTACGACGCCGAATCCGGTGGGTGGACTCCGCTGCTGGTACTGGCCGGTGCCACTTGTTGCCTGGGGTCAGCATTACCAGCAGGATTTAACATAGGCGTCATGAACAATCCCGCCGATGTTCGTATGGCCGATTTGCTATTCTGTCTTGATATAATACCACCTGAACAGTTCGGCGCCACATAGTACGTTCGTACTTGCAGCTGATGATGTCCTTCTGCAACCAGAGCATCAGGGAGAGATTCGGCACGGAAATATCCGTATACCAGCTCAAGATACTTTGGTCCTCTATAATATCGGTGTTTCTCATCGGAGGTGTGACCGGCTCTTTAGCGGCCAGCTGGTTGAGCGACAGGTTCGGGCGGAAGGGTGCGATGGCTGCCGGAAATGTCTGCGGAATTTTGGGTGGCTTTTTATTCTTCCTCTTGCCGATCACAAACTCGGTCGAGCTTTTCCTGCTCGGCCGAATCTTCGTAGGTGAGCCACGAAGCTTCGGAGAAACTTCTGTTGTTATCTTTGAAATACCCGGGGGAAAGGGAATGATTACATGTGAATTTTGTCTCTACAGTCTCTAATTATATGTGTCCCACGTGTAAAAAAATACTTTTACATGAATTTAATTGAAGTAAATACTTGTGCTTATGGCTGCCTACAATGTAAACCTTTCATTGAATCGAACTATTTTTTCCGTCTTTCACTCAACAGTATTTTTACTCCGTGTGGACATACATAATTAATAATGGACAAATAATTATATATGTAGCTATATAGAGACGAAAACCATACATCACATATAATTATATATATGTATATATATATATATGAATTTTTTCCCGGGTATTAAAGTTTTATGTTTTAAGCGGCATCCGATTGACGTAAGAACGCGGTTCACCACTGTAGGACTTTCCGGTGGCCTCGCTACCAGTCTGCTACCGATGTACCTGACGGAGATAGCTCCCCTGAAATTACGAGGTGCTGTCGGGGTCCTGTGTCAATTAGGCATGACGTGCGGTGTACTGATGGGCCAAATCGCTGGGCTCGACAGCGTCCTGGGCACCCGCGACTCCTGGAACATCATGTTAGCATCCTTCGCGCCGCTGTGTGCCGCTGCGCTGTTCTTGATCTTCGCTCTGCCGGAAAGCCCGAAGTACCTGTACATAATCAAGGGCCAGCATGGGAAAGCTCTCAAAGGTACAGCGCGTACAACGACGCGCGCGATCACCGGTCGATCGATCCGTAATGCAAGAATCCCGTGCAACCTTTCAGAACTCGGCCGCCTGCGCAACATGGACGTAATGCTTCTGCAAAACGAGGTCGCCGATCTGCAGAAAGAGCTGCAGAAGAGGTCGACCAGCGAGAGCTGGAGCATCAAGCGGGTGTTGAGCGAGCCGACCCTGAGACTGCCGCTGTTCCTGGTGTGTTTCATGCAATTTGGCCAGCAGCTCAGCGGCATCAACGCCGTTTTCTATTACTCGAACTCGATACTCAGGACAGCTGGGTTCGACCACGACGAGGCGGAATACGCGACTCTGGGTACGGGCGTCGCCAACATTCTCATGGCGATCGTGTCCGTGCCGGTGATGTCGTTCTTCAGTAGAAGGAAAGTGCTGATGCTGAGCGGCGTCACGTCCGCGATATGCCTTATCGTTCTGTGCATCTCCATCGCCTTGATCGTAAGTTGATCACTGACCGATTTAAATACTTTAACTTAGTGGACTGATTAAATTCGGTAATTTTTATCATAGGAGAAGATGCTGCATCTCGGACCTGTGTCGATTTCAGCGTTATGTAGTGATTCTGTGACCTTGTTTAACGTGGTTTAACGATCATTCAGTGGGTCTTACCGCCGTAGATGAGAATCCCGGCGGCGGACATGATGAACTATCGCATCAGCAAGGCGAAAGAATCACTAGATTCATCACGTGAAATCGACATGGGTGTCCAAAATACAGTGCCTTCCCATGATCTCGTGAATGAAGTTCGACGAACTGTCGCTTCCCTTTGCAGGAAACGTCACCGTTCGTGGCGGGGATTTGCATCGCTGCGGTATTAGCGTACGTCGTGTTCTACGGCATCGGCCTCGGCCCGATACCGTACTTCATCGGCTCGGAACTGTTCGACGTGGGCCCTCGGCCAGCCGCTATGTCCCTAGGCAGCATGTTCAACTGGGGTGGAAACTTCATCGTGGGGATGTTGTTCCCAATCATAGCAGCTGAAATCAACTCGTTCGCCTTCCTGATATTCGCCGGGTTCACGCTACTGCTGGTGGCGGTCAACAAGTATGTACTTACACGCGTTGTAACGTATTGTATTACGCTGCAATCGTGATTAACTGAAATCGTTATTATCCATTGTGCAGGATATATCTGCCCGAAACGCGGGGACGAAGCACCGCAGACATCGCGGCGACCATGACTCAAGGCTTCAAGTCGAGGCCGAACGCAAATTAAACCCGGAACGCAGACCTGGTGTTTATTACAGGGCATAATTCGATTAAGCACCTTTTTATACGACTTTTCAACGAGACGCAGGTTGTTGCGTTGATGCGACTGGTATTATGTCTCTCGCGTATTGCTCATACAGCTTATACCCCGCGAATAATTCGTGGTCGCGACGCGCTAACTTATTTTAAGCAATGACTTGCTCCGTTGAACAAAACGGACGATGATTTTCTACACTCGAGTATTTTGTACAGATTTTGTATACTTCTCGAATACCGGGGAATATCTATATTGTCGTCAGATAGAGAGCGATGACATCGATCTGACACCACGTAAGAATGAGTAAGCGGCTGAGATTTCTACGTTTATATCTCTCGACATACGTCCAGTTTAAAATTTTCTATATATATATATATATACAATTTAAATTTTCTATATATATATATATATATATGTGTATATATCGCAACGATATCAAGCAATGTCACTGCCGATATATGACATCAATTTTATTCAAACGTTATCTGCAATATTTAATGCTAACAATCTTAAAGTTATATAAAATCTTTCTTATCTCTCTACTACGTGTGTGTGTACGTAGATGTGTGCGTGTGTGTGTGTCCGCTGTGTGTTGTGTACTTAGCAAGTATAAATATAGAATTTATACAGAATCTACTAGCGTCAGTCGATTCGCGTTCTGAGCTTGGCGTACAATTGGTCTAGTTGCTCGTAAAACACCAAGCAGAGAACCGTGTGCGGCGCTATTCTCATCCACGTCGGGAACGTTCCTTTGTACAGGCCGGTGAGACCCTCGGTGCGAAATATTTTCACAAGTGCGTCCACGAGTCCATTGTACAGGGTGCCTTTTCCGGCCGCGTCTGTCTCTGCGTGTGCGTAACATCAAAACCAGTTAGCGTACCCTTGAGTAATAACGGCGGATTCGCATCAAACGTTGCGAGAGGGATTCTAGATTCTTCGGCAATCTATCTATCTATCGATGAGCGCATTACACCGACTCCTTGAGAGCTGACTATCTCTTTCTCTCTCGCTTACTGACCGGATGTCTCATCGAGAAGCCTCGTGACTCGTCTTCTATTGAAGGCATATTTATAGTCGCGCGCATACGACGGCCGTATTTATAATCACGCATACACCGCATTGTATTTATAGTCGCGCGTACTAGGTTGATATGATATTATCGTTATCGCATATGAGTGCACGATAGACGAAAAACGGACCTCGCTTTGCACAGCGTCCAGCTCATCCGTACGCGCTTTACGACCCACCGAATATTCGTACACGGAGGAAATATTGTAGTAAAAATTGTCACAAAATTTAGTAACGTTGTGCCATATCACGGCTTTAGAAGCACCACCAAGTCGGCACGCGGCCTTCGGTATATCGCGCTCGATTTAGAAACGCGGNCTCTCTCTCTCTCTCTCTCTCTCTCTCTCTCTCTCTCTCTCTCTCTCTCTCTCTCTCCTTTGTACGTACTTCCGCGCTACGTTACAGGTTACTCACGTTGATTGTACAGCCGCGTCGCCAGGACGTCGAACGGCTGCATAGTGACTGCCACGCAACTGCCTCCGATCGCGGAGGCCAAGAAGGTCAGCAATATCGGACGGTCTGGAAATATCTGAGAGAAATTAAGGGCGCCCCACGGGGCCCGCCGCGGCGCGCCGTGTTTCGGTTACTTACATCTAACGAGCGCAGCCAGTCTGATGCCAGTCCGAAGGTGGTCAGCTGCGTCGCCGAGCCGACGAAGACGCGCGGCAGATTCGCGTTCCAGCCCCGGTAGAGAGCTGTGACGCCGCCCTCCTTCCACAGCGACCTGAACGCGTCCCATGAGCCTGAGTGATCATGCTGGTGGCCTACGGCGATGGACTTGGCGGACTGCGCTTGCAGCTGCGTCTTCACCTGAAGCCAACGAGCGTCGTCTATTTAACGCCAAAATTCGAGCATTCTCGGGGGGGNGGGGGGGGACTGTCTCAGCCCACGACATCCTCGCGCTCGAGCCTACATTCAGGTCGGCAGCGATATATTTATATCCCGTATCTCCTCGCTGTATAAAATGAACCTTCGGTCGGAGTCCGCGCGTTCACCCGGCTCTGATCAATCTAACCGGCGACTCGAAGTTTCTATCTTGCCGGAGACGGATGAACATTATGAACTTCTCTTTGGTGCTGGCGATTCTCGTTATTGCTCATCCATCAGTTCGACCTGAGCCTGATAGTCAATCTTGTTCCCGAGGAGGAAACTAGTAGCGTCGTCTAATGTCGCGTGGAACGAACGACGCGGTGGAACTTTCAGTCTCGCGTCTGAAGCCGAGGTAGCCGATCGAATCGACGGAGAGCCGAGGAGACTCGAGAGATCGCTCGGAGGGAGACAAGTCGGGCACTCACAGTCAGATCTTGTACTTAACGTCGTCTCGAGATATATCGTACGGATCGATTTCATCGGCTACAACGCAGCCTAAAGGTGAACTTGAGGCGGTCTCAGATACAAGATCCGACCGGCAGGAGAGGAAGACGATGATGATTACCAAGTAGAACGGGCTGCCGAGAACGGCCCCGACGCAGCCGGCGGTGCCGGACACCAACAAGGTCCTCAGCACGTCGGTGTTGCCCTGCTTATCGAGGATCAGCTCGTACCTTTGCGCGGACTTGTACGCGCCCAAGCGAATACCGTTGAGTACCACTTGGAAGGCCAAGGCGGGCACGAGTCCAGCCTGCAGGGAGTGCACGCCCTCATACTTGGCTATGAGATACGCAGCGTGTAAAGTATTTTTGTATATCTTCTTGTACGACCCCCGCGCCTCCAGTTCACCTTGCAATTGCAATCGTACCTTCACGACGTCCACGGGATTCGTGAAGAAGCCGGCGCCTACCGCCGCCAATGCGCCGATCGCGAATTCCACGCCCAGCCTGGCAAACAGAAAGAGTTTACGCAAAGGGTCTGGCGGGACGAATGGGGTGAGAATTTGCAGGGCTGTCGCGCGGGATACGCGAAAAACGTTATTTGTATAATTCGAAACTCATATTTTCACGTACGAGCAAAAATATGAAATCTTACACGAAGACAAAACTTGCTCACACGAAGAAATAATATATTCTATGTGGCCCCGCTGAAAAATACATTCTTGTTATTCGAGAATATTTTTATGACCGGAGAGGAAAAACGATATTTTCGAACGAAGAATTGTATCGATTTCAAAATATTCTTTCTATTTTCCTCCCCGCTCGTGAACATTATTTTTGAATAGCAAAATATCATATTCTTAGTGGAACTATGTACCGAATTTCTTCATGTAAACAAGTTTTATCTTCATATAAGATTATATATTCTTTCATATATATATATATGAAAATGTGAGCTTTGAGTATTTCGTGTGGTTTTCTCAGAATACATCGATATACGGTCGAACGATTGTGAATAATCTCGATAAGGAAAACTAAAGTCACTTCGTTCTTTCCGCTAATCTACATTTAATACAAGACGCGCGATAAGACAACTAATCTGTTAAAATCTGTTAAAATACACGCAGTTGTCTTATCACGTGATTAAACTCATTGTCTATTTGTGCCAGCTGTGAAAAGGGGGAATAAAAGAGGAAAGAAATTAACATTCGTTAGATATTCGTCGAGCGACGACAATAATTCTCAGTGCGTATCTCATTGAGCAACGATACTCGTTCCGGTTAATTAATCAATAATTAATCAATAACCAATTGAATCGATCGGTAATTAAACGTCGTGATTTCGTAACAAGCTCCACAATTTGAATCAATTATTTTCAATATGTATAACTATCTGTCCTCTCGAAGAGAGCGAATCTACCGATCGAGACACGAATTTCCACAATTTCACAAACTGAGAATTCATGCTGCGAATTCCTTCCCGACTTCCTCCTCCACCTCTCCCACCGAATCCGACATATACGGATACGGTATGCGTATATCTTTCTTTTCTCTTTTCATTTATCTCTCCCCTAACAATCACGGTCGAAAATAGAGCACTGTTTGTGACACTCGCATCGTTCGAGCACGAGTGATTCCGGCCGGCCGGCCGTTACATAATAGTCATGAATCACGCGTCGTCGTGATAGCTTTTGAGAGACAGGTTGAACGGTAGTTAGACGATCGAGTAGTTTGCCGATAATCGAGCACGGAACAGAGGATAGACACCGCGCTGTTGCGCCCGACGCGACAGAGGAGAACAAACGCGGGGTGAGCTTGCTCTCACGTTTTGTCGGTGACCGACTCCCTGCTCATTTCCCAGGAGGAGGAACGAAAACCGCGGGCGACAAAAAGGGGGAGACAGAGAGAGAGAGAGAGAGAATGAGGGAGGGAGGAAAGCTCGAAATTTGCACGCCACTAAACCCGGAGAACGACGCGGAATTATATTAGACACAGCGCCGACGTCACGCGTGTCGTTATAACTGCACACTGGTCGCGCGCACACGTCGACGTTCCGCAACGTCGTGCTATACACTGCGTATCCCCTGTTTACACGCTGATATCCAGCGTGACGACGAATACGGTGACGTGTGATAATGATGATGTAAATTTCTACGCTCCTGGACGAACTTCGTCTCATCAGGCTCGAGAACACTCGGGGCATCACTTTCGAAAACTCGAATTAAGCTGATCGACGATAATAATGAGATTGACTTTCACTCAGATTCTAACTGAACCAATCGATGAATAATAATGAGAATTGCCAACACCAGTTTCCGATTCTATGACTCGTCGTTTCACAATAACGGAAAAGCCAATCGTTTCCATCAGCGTTAGCAGATAAGATGGGGCAGATGACACTCGATTGTTAGAATTTTAAATCGTCAATTAGATCAGGGCCGGATGAGTCACCTACACAATCGCGACTAATCGCACCCGGAGTAATGAGAAAATACGTTAGTTGAGTGAGAGGCGGTAACATTTGAGGAGAAAGTTTGTAAAACTGGTTTTCTACCGGGAAGAGAGTTCCCAGATAGCACAGTTAGTTCAATATACGTCCTCTAAATTTGTGTAATAACGATCGTGAAACATTGCATACTTAAAAAATGTGTATGAAACTAACACGTGCTACCTGGGTGGTTTATTACAAAGAACACAGATATGTGCGAGCTGCTTCTGTTGTCCATATAATCACTGACATCCGCAAGATTCGTGATAAAACATACAGTCATTGAGCAATAATAATAAACTGACGAGCGCATACGACGTCTTCCGCGATAACCTTTGCTAATATCGCTCGATGTTGGCGTGTAACATCAGCTGATTGCGCGAATGCACCCGCACTGCACCGGCTTGATGCACGCCGAAGGCTATCACACGCGAATCAGTTATTTACATGGGAAAGTATATAAATATTTTGAACAATTAAACGTCTAAATATCAATAATGATGTCATAATATTTAGTAAGATTCACATTCATTATTTCACTGTCGAAGTTATACTTTTCAAATTACTCAACTTAAGCTTGCTTAATTTGAGCTTGTGTTGCGCTATTGAATTTTGAACGGACGTTGTGCGCAGCGACCTTTGGTATGCACTAATCCGGTATAGCTCGGGCGATCGGATTCCTTACGAGATACACACGCATCAGATCGATAAGAACAAATGTAATTCGTCGATGTGTGTGAATAGCATATATACATGGCTTCTCATCGCCCGGAGGTGTCTCGACGGGAAATCTTTTTAGGGAATTCACACGCGATTACCAGTGTCAGATGTGTTCAAGCTGCGATTCGACCGCACGGCTCATTGTTCGTTGTTGATCAACTGGCGAGTAATCGCCACGTCATTTCGTTTCCGCGCAGCGAGTTCCCTAAAAAGGATGGCGAGGACATATACGTGTGCGCACAAATATAAAACAATTGGAAAATATATTTTAATCAAAGAGTGGAATAATTATTTCAGAATCGTGCTTACGTCGTATAATAAATTAAGAACATCACCAAAGTGTATCTATATATGAGTTGGGATTCGATTTATATACACTTTATAAAATTTCGTAGAGACAACTTCGCGTTCGCCAGAATGAAAACAACAGACGTGAGTCTGCGCCTTGAAGATTACAAGCTCTCGTTCCTGTGTACAAACGTCTCCGTTCCTTGGGGATTATTGATTATGCGACAGATAAACCTCCACCGACTTTGGAAATCTTTGCTATTTCCTCCTTGAACTTCGCGATGGTTTCCTTGGCTAAGGTCAACTTTTCCTTCAGATCTATCACCTCGAGTCTTATCTTGTTGCGTGCCTCCATTATGGCTTTCATCGTAGATTCCTTCTTTGCGTCAACTGTAACGATTATTATCGAGTTATCGCTAAAATCACCGAAGATGATACACTTTTTTGTACGCACAGTCGGTGTTGTGTCGCCAAACTCCAAGCGATATGGCTCTACTGGAACTCAGCAGGTGATGCATCAATGCCGTTGGATCTTGAAAGACTATCTCCTCGTAAAATTCAGACACCAAGTTCTTCTTGCCTAATTGTATCTCGGGTGTCGACTGGAACAGCTTCAGTACGTGATATATCGTCACCTGAAATTAACTCGCGCATTATTTCCTGTTATATTCAACACGTTACTCCTTGGAACTAATGTGTGTGAAACATTGTAAAAAGTGTTTGTCATCTTGCAGCAAAATTATTCACTCACTGGACGTTCGTTCGGATCGTGAAAATAGATCTTAATGACAATATCAAATTCTCCCCAGCCAGTTTCCGTCAACTCGTAAGGTGGCTTCGTCACTATTCGATTAGGATTATTGTAACTCTCGTGCAACTTGAAATGTACTTTCTTGACGTAACTGGACATATCCTCGTTATGATATGGTTTGACATAAACGGTCCACTGATGTGTATGACCATCCTCCTCTCGCTTTTTGCCAAAATAACGTGCTACATTACCATAAATTATAGGCTTAACTATAGTGATGCCCTGCAATAAGATAAATAATTGGAATGAAAAGAGAGGTAAGATTATTGAGTACGGCGAATTTTCTTCCAACAACGGAACTTTTGTCAATTGAATCTTTTGGCGGCAAAATATTAGAGGTTATGTCGTCAATGTATGCGTCCAACGTTACCTTCATTCTACCACCAGAATCGGGCCCGAATTCATTTATAGATGCCATTATATTAGTCATAAAGCAGCAATAAATTTGCAATCACACATGAATAGATATCACAAAGTATATAATCTTATCCAAATGTGTAGGGTTTCTTTTCTTCGGACACACTCTACGAGCTGTGTCCGAAAACACCACATTGAGGATAGAATGGCACCTAATTTGATCCAATCGAGACGAAAAGAACTAAAACTCGCGTCCGACAATGCTTGTTTTCTTGATCTGGTAACACGCTAAAAATTAACCAATCAGAACACAGAATTTCTAAAAAGTTACTAGACTTCACTAGATCAAGAAAACTCATCGTGTGACGCGGGCTTTAGACTCGTTATTTTAAAAGCACAATAACTTTTCCTTTACACGTTACAACTTGACAAACTTCACAAAAAAAATTTCATAAAAAATTTTGACATTATTGCTGACGTGCAAATTTATTATTTATTAATTTAAAACTTACCTTTTTCATACATATCTTCCATATACATATTTCCTGGTAACGTTCTGCACAAATATATTGGAGTATGAGGAAAATATTTATATTATTCTGCTATAGATATATAACAATGCTCATCAATGGTCATCGTCTATTAAACGAAAACTCATTCGTCTGTTCGTAAATAACGGGCGATTTACAGGACGGATTTACTATCGTAACTCGTCAAACAGGAATCCAAATCAGTAGATAAACTCGTAAAATTTCATGTTGTTTATTATATTTGTTCCTCATGTTCGTCGAGATACATATGTGTATCGGTAATTGAAATCTGTACTTTAACTGCTTAATATACGAAATTGCAACGTGTATATTCGATAAGAAGAATTGAATTGTATGTATTCGGTAGTTTAACACGGAAATGTTAACGCACAAATTAACGTATCATACTGCCTCGAGGATCATATTGTGTACTTTGATGTCAAATATTATCGTCAATGTCACAATTCACGTCACTTGGCTTGCCACGGATTGCTCTTTAAGAAAAAGAACTTTCGATTGACCCGAAAGGATCTCAAGATAATGTTTTAAACGGTTCAAACGATATATATATATATATATATATATATATATATATGCATACAAAAACATCTGCCATCAGCTGTGAATTCGCGAGCAAAATAATGTTTTGAAGTATTTTGAAGTGTTTATCGAACGAGAATAAGATACCGAGGATATCTTGGAAGCGCGTGTTGTAAGTGTAGATCTTTGTCCGTTAACACACCTTTTACGGTGAGAAGGAAATATTTCAAAGCACGCGCGTTTACCGTAGAATGCATTTAAATTACGCTTTGCCTTTTCCCTTCCTTTTTTTATCAGTGATCTTATCGCTAGGAGAATTCCAGAAATCTCACGTCATTTAGATGATACACGTCAAGCGTTTCCGCGATCATTTCGTTATCGCATAAATTTCTTCGCTCCCCCCCGCAGTAATTAATATCGAATAATATAAAAACCACAATTGCACACGCACTGTGTAGTCATGTGGAACGTATTGCTATAAACCACCATCTTCAGTCTGTACTTCCGGAGGACACATTCGTCAATTTGCAATTTTAGGTATATATGTGTGTGTGAGTGTATATCTCATTTTTTAGGTTGTCTGGCACATAGGGAAGGATTCGGATTCACGTACGCGAGAGGGGAGGGAGCAGCCGCGCGATCGCCGAGAATCTATGCCGCTTCAGCTTCGCTTATGAGCGGTAGAAATAAGCTGCGTCGATTTCTTATAAAACCGTTGTTATCACGTGCGTAGCACTTTCCCCTTCCCTCTGAATCGTTCCTCTAGATATCCTGGGATCTGAAAAGAGTGTCACAACGGGGATTTTAGCCACAAAACATGCCACAGTGTTTTCTGTAGAGAACGAAAGGAGGGAGAAACAAGCCGGGGAAAAATGGTGATGTATGAATTTTATCTCTATATACTCATATATAATCATATATAATATAATTATATATGTTCCACGTACTAAAACAATATTGTTATATGCATATAATTGAAGTAAATGCTTATGTATGGTTGTCCGATGTAAACATTTAATTGAATCGAACTGTTTTTGCCGTTTTTCATTCGACAGTATTTCTATTTCGTGTGGACATATATAATCATATATAATTATATATGTAGCCATATATAGACACAAATTTCACATATAAAACACATATAATTATATATAATTTTATATGATTATATATATATAAATTTTTCCCCCGGGAAGAGCAAAGACAGAGAGAGAGACACTACATCTACAACGCGCAACTACGGAAGGAATGCAGTTTCGTCGAAGGTTCACGGTTCTTACACGGTTTTCTGCGAAGAAGTTTTTATTACAAGTGCCAGGACAGAATTAGAATTCGATGCTACAAATTGGGAACTACCTTCGCATCGCGCGATCATATTAACGATGGACCTCACTAGATCCATGTGTCACGAATACGCGGACAAGTGTCCTCCGAGCAAAAGTAATAGTACAAAAATAGCGATGCTCTGAGAAGCGTATCACTTAGTTAACCTTATCGCATAATCGTCTACAGAATCACTGCACACAAGAGTAAGTAATATCGATCGAATGTGTACAAGCACAATAAAACAATTATCACTGTGTATCGCTTTGTAAGCCAGCTTAAGACAAATACACAGTAGCCTATTCAACACCACAGTAACGTGTCGCAATGTCGATTCTTATAGTAGTATACTCGGGAGGATGGGGCACAGACATCTCTAAATCACAGATAACTATAAATGCACATTAATTCTCCGCGGATGAAATCTCACTCTTGCTACAAACAACATAGCTTTCTAAAGTCTGAACGAGTAAACTTTCTTGGGGGGAGGACGCGAGAGTGACACGGGAGGAGTGCCTCTCGATTCCACATCGGGAAAATGCATGCGCGACGAATATCGTTTTTTTTTTGTTTTAGTTTTTGAAAGCTGTTTGTTTTTTTGATCGGATGCAGTAGGTAACTCTACGGTAGGGTTTCGGTTAGGTACGAGGAAACGGTCCGTTCCATCAACCGGCTAACGGTATCAGGCGCTCTGGGAACATCAAAACATAAGGAATGTATATAGGAATCAAAAAGTCCTTTTATTGGCATATATATATATGTATATATATATATATATATTACTGCAATAACGTGCAAACAAAGGAGGATACTCGTTATTGAGCTCTCGTTATCACTTTCTTTCTCTAGTTTTGGCAAGCAGAGCGACGCTTGATACGCTTTATTATAATTCTTTCTACCTTTGGTTTCGGCCGATGGGTGTCCACGGCTTCTATCGGTAGCCGGAGATGCTCCACTTTACAGCCGTAGGCAACCGGTGTTAGTTTGATGATGGTGTGCAGAGGTACCTGCAGATACGGCAATTCGTCTGAAAGAGAGAAAGAGAGACGGAGAATAACAGATTTCAACCCGAAGATTTCAGAACGTCGAAGATCGGGAGGGGATCCTCGGAAAAAGTCGTTGGGACTTTCGTAACCGACCGGTTTTTGTTGTCTTCCTAATACTAAGATAATGCCAAAGTCGAAGGGAAAAAAACAAACATGAGATGCTCGGGATACTGGATCCGTGACGTCTCGTGCAAAAGTCAATGTCGAGATAAAAAGAGAAATCGCAGATAACACACGTCGGCGCGATCGAGCTATTCTGCGACGGAATGAATTGCGTCACCGTAATTTGCGGCCGCATGTATGGGCAATTCATCATTTCTCTTTTTCAATACGACACGTTTCTTCAATACGTCCAAAGTCACAGGCTGCGTGTACACTGCCGAGACACTTCGATGTTGCTATTCTGAGACGTGTCGGGTTTCACTCGATTATTAGGCGTCTCGATAGCCCATAGTTAGATTCTTCCTAGACCATTGCGCAAAGGAATAAGAAATTAAATATATTCTCTTATATTTAGGACTGTCTTACGTTTATCCTCAGATGCCGCGCTGACCGTTTCATCGGCTACGAAGCATCTGAAGACTGAACGAACTTAAGCAACCTTAAATATATAACATCTGACTATGAATATCGGCCACATAGTGATTAGAAGTTGACTGACAATTAACCTTCAAAATGACTAATAATCATTAATATACAAATGAAAGTCAGTTTGAGTCAATCGATAATTATCAGGAAAATGATAAAAGTGTTAACGTGTGGCGACGAGTAGAAACTCGTTAGAAAATATGTAGTAATAATGATGATCTCGTTTTAAGACGTCCTTGTATCTTATTTTCCATCCCCTTTATTTCGTCTTAACTATAACTCATTCCTAATTCCCCATATTTCACTCCTTATTCCTTTCATGGTCCTTTTCTAGGCTATCTAATCGATCAATCGTACCGACCTGCACTCTTGTCCAGGAAGTAAGCAAGTAAGCAACGGAGGACCGCCTGATGGCTGACGACCAAGACGTTACCCTGACGCTCCAGCTCCATTATCACAGGTTCCAAACGTGCCACCAAGTCCTCGTAGCTCTCGCCTCTCGGATAGCGATACGAGAACTTGTTTTGATCCCGCGCGGCGAAGTCCGTGGGATACTTTTCGGCGATCTCTTCGTACGTCATCTCTTCGCAGATACCCTTCGGCGCGAAGTCGCGGAAAAAGAAAGACGATAAGAAACCGGGGGGGGGGGGGCTGAGCTCCGCTCACAACTCCGCTCCTCAACTTACGGCGTCGATCTCGTTGAGGGCCTTCCACCTTTCCTGCGGCGCCTTCACGTCGGCCGCCGTTTGAATGGTCCTCTTCAGCCAGCTAGTCCAGACTCTTAGACCCTGCGAACGCCGAAATACATCACTCTCTCATCGTGATAACGGCGAGACGAAATCCGAAATCGAAAGATCGATCGATCGCGAGGTGGCACGCGAGCAAGCCGTCCTTACGTAATGCGCGGTACGTATATTTGGACAATAAATTTTATGTAACCGTACTTTTTTTTTTCTAAGTGATTTGCCACGGTGAGGAATAACCAAGAGGTCGAGAAATAATCATCACATCGGCACTTACGTAAGAGTAATTTGCATGCGCAAATATGATTATGAAACTGGCAAAAAATGTAACAAGCTTTTTGCTCTAAGCGCGAAGTTTGTGACGTAATTTCTAGCAAACGGCGTCTCCAGCGCTACCAGACGTCCTAAGATCAGAGAGTTATTGAGAAGACCTTAGGTAGCGCGGGAGACATCTCTTGTCAGATATTGTGTTACATATTGTTGCTCGCAACGGAAGGCTAAAGGATTACTATACCTATTGTGGATCCGGAATGAGAGATTGTTACAAGGGAAAGTTTCACCCTCTCAAAGAATAATATTAATATTAAATATGTAGCACCAAAACATCCGTGCTCGGCTCCTATTGGCCATTTGCAACATACGCATCTTAAAGAAGAAGGTTACCTGTATGTCCTGGCTGGTGATGAAGTTCGCCAGCGCTTTGGAGTACTCGCGTCCGCGGTCGCTCAGGTCCGAGTCGCCGCCTATCCTGCCCTCGAGATTCATCAGGCTCTCACCGTGCCTGGTTAAGTAAATCGTGCGTGGCACAATATGAATGTTCATAAGATAGTAAACTATTCTACTTTGTATATGGCCTTCGTGCTTATGGACCAGCACCTTCTCGCCGGTGTTGTATATTTTCATGAACGACAGGTCGCTCTCGTGATTCTCGTCTAACGGCCGATACCTCTCCTGGTAGTGCTCGATTCGCAGCATGAAGTCCGCGAGCACCTCCTCCTTGTTCATGTTCGCGTAATCCGGACTGCTGACCTTCACCTGCACAACAGAGACCGCGCGTGAATTCATGTTCCTTCCCTCTCCTCACATTCTTCTTTTTTATTCCTCCTTCTACGCCGACGACGCGACAACAATCTGTCATTATCGTTCCTCAATCTATCCTCGCTATTCTTTAAACCGTCCGTCCCTCCGGAATGCGCGCGAAAATCACCCTGGCGAACGCGTACTTCCATAATGTTCTGCTCGACGATCTCCGGATCGTTGCACACCGACTCGACGAAGAAGAGCTTGAAGCCCATCTTGTTGACGACGATGTCGCGTATCAGCTGGCGTCTCTCCACAGTGGAGTTGGTGGCGTCGAAGACGGCGACCTCGCCGTCACCACTTTCCAGCCACTGGCAGACGTCGTTGAGGGCGTCCATCGCGCACTGCGTGCGTATCGCCATCGCCTTTATATTGTCGGGACGGAAGAACTCGTGGCACTGATAAGCCGTGGTGGCGTGCCGCCTGTACTCGCCCAGGTTGAAGACTTTCGTGCTTATGCCGATCCAGTTGAGATACCTGCACAGTTTCTTCGAGATGTAGGTCTTGCCGCGTGCCGGCAGACCGACCATCGCGATCACATGAGGCTTGTTCACGAAATTCGCGCGTTCACCTGCAACAGAAGTGAAAGAGAGAAAGAGAGAGGTGGAGAGTGAGAGTAGCGGATCAATATCGAGGGAAGCGAAACGTGACGATCACGTGGAGATTGTATAACGGTCTCGTTCGGAACACGCTCGAGAGAGATTTCGATCTTCCAATTATCTCAGAGCACTGTTTAAGACAAATTTCTCATTCCATCTTTCCTTCCGGCTTCGCTATTTCTGCAGGATCCGTCCTGACGGCCGGACGAAGTAAAAGCGCGTTTCTATATCGGTTCTATAATGTCAACTGCGATAACCCCCCGAGTCTCCGTGAGTCCTCAATTTTGAATATCGCGCGAAACAGCAGGGCAGACTCTACGAGGAAAGTGTGAACTTCATTATATTTCATCTCGTCGCGCCAATTAATTTTATCGACGCGCTTCAGTCGGCGGTGTTATTTTTATTCTTATCTGCGATGTATCGCGTCTCATTGGAGACCCCCGGCGCTCACCTCGCGCCGCAAAACGCGGCTGAAACCGCGCGACGACTTCTGAGTATCTCGCAAAACCGGATTGGACAACCGATGCGCGACGTTCCGTGAAACTGGGGAGTCGATTGTGTATCCCGAAACGTAGTGAGAATTTTACAAAAGTAAGCACATTCTTTTTGCTTATCTGGAAAATATAAGGATGTATGAAAATATATGAATAGATGAGTGTCTAAATATGTTATTTCGTCAAGATATCACGGAGATATCGGAAAGATATCTCCGTCTCAAAATTAACGTGCGCTCACCCGCGCGTTCGAGGTTCATTTCAACGTCGGAAAAGTTCCCAGCCCCCCAGGTGCCCAACACTTCTCAAACATCCGAGTCTCATCGAGATATACCGCGACGACGATAAGATACTCGGTAATTTGAGGGCGAGGTGCTTCTGCGAATTATCTCTCTCTTTTTCCCTTGAAAAATAACAGTCACCGCTTCCCGAACGACCATGCCAACGACGAAGTCGACGAAGAGAGCATTCTCGAGAGCCGGTGGTCGAAAGAAGCTCAACATCCGGCATGTTAACCGCGACAGATCGGAGAGATCATGGATTTCCTTCGCGCAGCTCACGTTTCCACCACGTGTTTATGCGCGCGGCGGAAAAACAGACACATTTACACATTCGAAGGACAAACAGAGATAACGAACGAAAGAGAGAGAGAGGGTGAGAGCACCCAAGGTAAGTCGATAGGGACGTTACCTCGTATCGGGAATGGCTTCGTTTGGATGGTGTCCGACGTCGGCGGCGTGTAGTGCATCTCGATTTTCGGATCGGTCATCTTCGCGACTCCTCCACTGTGAAATCAGGGGCGATTTAAACGTCGGCAGAGCGAAAAGGAGAAACAGAGAGAGAGAAAGAGAGAGAAAAAGAACGAATGTATCGGAAATTATCGCAGCACTCGCACGAATCTCTCGCGAGGTATCGACGTACTGGCCAAGAGATCGAGCAGCGAGAACGACTCCACCGCTAAAATATACACACGTCAGATCGCAGACCGGAGTGAGGGAACGTGCGGTTGGACAGCTGCCTGACCGGGTTAGGTCAACGATAACCGAGCTGTCACTCGCTTCCCGGGACGGTTGCCGCTCGCAACAGCGCGCGAGAATGGAGCAGCCATTCGAATTCGCGCGAACATGCGAAGGTGGCCGGGCCACCGTCGGTCTCACTCAAGTTGCGAATGGGAACCAGGTACAAGTCGGTGTATGTATGTACACCTGATATATTTATTACCTGATAAGGTGTGTTTCGCGTAACGGAGTGAACCAGGTGAACCCAGCCCGAGGTTTCAGCAGTCCCGGGTACTCAGGACTCTCCTGGTTCAGAATCAGGGGACGGTCGGTCGTGGAAGTGACCTTAATTAGCGAGATATTCGTGATTGCTTCTCTCTCTCTCTCCCTCTATTTATATTATACAGGTAGAAGCACGAGATTCCCCGCGAACCTGTTGGCTTTCTCACGATCGGCTGCTTTCTCCTCCTGCCTCTATCTCTTTATTTATATCGCAACCAAGCAGGAGCCAGGGTTCGCGAGAGCCTCGACGAGGCGACGAAGATAGCCGCAGTCGGGTTAATCAAGGCCGCGACCGACTACCTCGAGGAGCCGCGATGAAACACTACCGCGAACTAAGGTTAACGCGTGCGCACGCCGCGGGTCTTTAACTCGCGGCATTCTGACGAAGAGGAGAATGCGAGAGCCGATCTCGTCTCGTCTTTCTCTCTCTCTCTCTCTCCCCCTCCCTCTATCTTTTGTACCCTTTCTCGCGCGGATCACGCGATCCGCCGTGACGTCACGCTCGTCTCTGTGATTACGCACTTGCGAGCCTAGCTACGACTCGCCAGGATTAAAAATATATGGCGAAGTCTTCGATCACGCGGAGGAGATAGAGACGACACTTGATAGGAGGGTGTGTATGCACGTGTCCGGTAGTTCTCCCGCAAGCAATGAGAGTTGAGAAGATGCGCGCGAGTTCAACCGGATGTTTGACGAATAAAATTCGAGTTCGCTTCAAAATTCGTCTAATTTAGGTGATTAAATTAATTACTATCGATATTAAGATGAATGTACCAATGCCTGGACACGTACTTAACTTAATTCGGGACATTCTTGTCTCGGTTTTTAAATACGAATATTCAAACTTTCAACATAAAATATATATGTGTTGAGCTGCGGTAGGGCCTATAGCCACCGCGCGTGTAGAAAGGAAAAGGAGAGGAAAAACTCCAGTACGGGTAGCCCTTGGGGTGTGCGCTAATGAAGCGGAGTCCTTATGACTGCCCACACGCAGCTGTATTTTTTGGCTAAGTACAAACTCGCAAGTGTAACAAAGGAAAACGATGTGCTAAAAAAATTAAGGAACACGGCGTAGAACGAAATGGGCGCGACACACCAAAAGATGGCCGCGCGGGAACAATAATGGCCGCAGCGCGGGACGCAGAAATCGGAACGCTATTTACAGTAGAAGCTCGGCTCGGGACGCAGAAAACAGAACACTATTTACAGTAGGAGCTCGGCTCGGGACGCAGAAAACAGAACGCTATTTACATTAGGAGCTCGGCTTCTCAGGACGCGAGGCCGGCTCTCTCCCTCACGCGGGGAGGGATCCGAGACGCAATTCCCTCGAGACGTCGCGACGGCGGCGAGCGGCGTCGCGCGGGTAACGGTCGCTAGGGCGTCGAGAGGACGACGCGGAACACAATGACATCACTCGCACTCGCCAAGCTCTTGCGGAATCGCGAACGGCGGAACACCGGCACTGATACGCGCAGGCTCGTATCGTCAGAAACGGAACGCACTAGGGTGAACCGAGAAGCACTCACGAGCACGTCCGCGCTGTCCAGAGTCCGTGAAGAAAGAGAGCGAGCCGGAGTCGTGACACGACCGCCGGGACGCTTCGAAACAAAATACGATCGCGCCACAGAACACGTGATTAGCCGGCGGGGTCGCGTGACACTCTCGTGGTTCCGGCGGTGCGCGCGACGCGCCGGAAAAGCCGGATGGCGCAGAGGCCGGTCAAAAGACCGGGCGCGGTTGCAGATCTTGCTTCCTCATGCGCACGGCCGCTCTGGGCGGCGGCGGGCGAGGCTCGACCGCCACATATGTACCCTCACAGCAAATCAACGTAATTCTAGTAA